GGCTGGGATACTCAAAGGGAGAACATCTAGAAATAGAGTCTTAGATCTTTAGATAAAGTTCTAAAAGTAGTCTACTATAGATAAAAGGGAAGTGTCTGTCTGTCTGTCTCTTTGTCTGTTTGTCTGTCTGTTTGTTTGTCCCTCTGTCTGTCTGTTTGTCTGTCTGTTTGTCTGTCCCTCTGTTTTTCTGTCTGTCTGTCTGTCTGTTTGTTTGTATGCGCGAATTCTCGGCTCCCCGTGGGCCGATTTGAATGAACTTTTTGATTAGCTAGGGAATTTCATATAGTTTTACATCTGCTATTTCGTTTTTCAATCTTTGAGATCGTTTTTTGTAGAAATCGGAAAAGCCGCTAAACCACGCCCCTTTGCCTTTAGTGACTTTTGGGAGGGCGTGGCCGAGCTGGCTAGAGTCCCGTCTACAAAATGACTGTATGTGCCGGGTTCGATCCCCATCCGTTCTAGACTTTTGTTTAATGTTTTCAATTCTATGAAAAAGAAGTGACTGATCCGGATATTATTTTGAAGGATAGTCAAGTTGAGGACCGCAAAGCAGACACCTCAGACAATGGTTACGATCAATACTGTAGCTAATCAAAAACTGTCGCTATTTTGTAGTAGGTAAGAAAAAGATTTCGCTACAACTATGCGCCAGCTTCTACATTTTGTTATCTACTGTACATAAAAGGAATTGTTTGTCGGCCTGTCTGTCTGTCCATATGTCTGTCCGTCTGTCCGTTCGTCTGTCCGTCCGTCCGTCTGTCTGTCCGTCTGTCCGTCTGTCTGTCCGTCCGTCCGTCTGTCTGTCCGTCTGTCTGTCCGTCTGTCTGTCCGTCTGTCTGTCTGTCTGTCTGTCTGTCTGTCTGTCCGTATGTCTGTCCGTCTGTCTGTCCGTCTGTCCGTCTGTCTGTCTGTCCGTCTGTCTGTCCGTTCGTCTGTCTGTCCCTCTGCCCGTCTGCCTGTCCGTTCGTCTGTCAGTGTGTACGCGCGAGTTCTCGGCTCTCCGTGGGCCGATTTATATGATTTTTAGTTTCTTATGCTTAGAATTCTATGTAATGTGCATCTCATATTTTGTTTTTTAAAAAGCAAAAGTCACCACACAGCTTACGCAGCGTACACAGCCCGGTAAAAATCCAATCGATTTTATGCCGAACTATGCAAAACCCCAAGCAACCAGCGAGAAAAGCGGCGTTAACCATTAGCCACTTTTTCCCGCTTGTTTTATTATATTTTAATACGTACAAGGTTTATCATTCATTTTTACTTTTATTTTCAAACATCATCGAGCGTTCTTTGTCCCAAGAATTGCCCCACAAAGTGCCTTCATATGAGCCGTTTCTCGAAACATTCCCAAAAATGAAAAACAAGGAAAGACGCTTTAGAGACATTCAGCAGGAAACTCTTCCCCTTATCCTTTTTGCTAATAATTAGCACTTGACTGAAGCCAAGACTTAGCCAACATTCTCAAAATTGATTTCAAAACTTTGGTCTCTTAAACTTTTCTGTTCCGTGGCCAGCTTTGGATTTTAGATTCTAGGTTTTTAAGGGCTTTTTTTAAAAGTTTATTAACCCATCCCCAATCTTGTAGACAATTGTAATGAATTCTGTTTTTAAAATGTAAATCCAAAGATTTCAAAGATTATTCTGTGCAATTCTGCGTTGCCAACGTTCGCCTTTTTGCCTAATAATTGAATTTACTTCGGCTTTTGCGCGACCTCAAAAAGATGAAATAGAAAAAAGTTTTGTACCAATCGATAGAGAAAGACTTGGTGCGTCTAATGATACCAAGCATATTTAAATTGGACAGCTCAACACCAAGATATTTGAGCTCAAAGAAAGATTGCCAATGGCAAAAGGGGCGGAGCTTATCAGATATCCGATAACCTCTCCAAGTCACTCCATTGCAACCAAATTCGACTGACAACTAGCCTCGTTTTCCTAGAGCCAATTTAAAATGTAAATCCAAAGATTTCAAAGATTATTCTGTGCAATTCTGTGTCGCCAACGTTCGCCTTTTTGCCTAATAATTGAATTTACTTCGGCTTTTGCGCGACCTCAAAAAGATGAAATAGAAAAAAGTCGATTCTTTTTTAAACTCAAGAAATTATGCAAAAGTTGCTAATTCTAGAGCTATTTTAAACTTTTAAGGCTTTAAAGTGTGAAAGAAACTAAAAACTGAGATGTTTTGAAGAATTCTATGACATCTTTGCTGATTTGGTTATGTTTTTGTATCCATTTGACTCTTTTTTTTTCCCCATTTCTCTTTGTAAGCTCTTGTTAGCAAAATGTAATTAAAAATTCTATGGACTCTGTGTTATTTTCTGTTTTAATTCTAAGGCTTAACTAGGAAGTTCTGTCTTTTTTAATTCTTTATAAGCAAATATGTCTTCAAGAGCTTTTCTGCTATGTTCTACTGTGTTATTTTCTGTTTTAATTCTAAGGCTTAACTAGGGAGTTCTGTTTTTTAATTCTTTATAAGCCAATCCTTCAAGAGCTTTTCTGTTATGTTCTATTGACAAAACGAATCCCCGATCCCCGAGCTTACTATGGGTTAACGATCAATCCCAAATGAATACGAATAGCTAAACTTTCGAAATTGTTTCGAGAAATTTGCCAAGTTCTGAGTTTCTTTTTTGACTAGAAAGTTTTGTCTGGACTTATGACTTATGACTGTCTCCTATAGGAATTAAGCAATCTAAAGAGTTTGCGTTTCTGTTTGCATTTAAAGAGTTTCCCATATATAGTGTTGCGCTTTTTTTTTCATCGATCTTTTTGACTTTCTAAGCTGGAAAACAAAAATTGATCATAAAATATACGTGTAATTTTGCATAGAATAGAAAAACCGTAATATTTTTTAATGACTTTGACAACTAGAGTGTGCTTTTCTCAATTCATGCTTTCTAAAAAGTGCTTAAACTACATACCGTAAATACTGTAATAGTATCCCACCCCCCCTCGTACAGTTACGTAGTCGCAAAATTTTTTAGTATTTCATTTTTTTTCAGAGCGCCTATACTTTCAAAAAATGTGTCTTTGGTGTCAAAAAAATAGCCCTGAATTTCAGCTATTTTTTGATACCTAAGTGCGCATTGTAGCATAAACCAGTGTCAAGAAAAACTCGTTCAAAGCTAGACTACGCAACTCTCCGTACCGTCATTATGGGGTTGGGGTACTATTACAGTATTTACGGTAGTTCATAAGTAGAAAGTTACTTTCATTTTTCAAAGTTTCTTTTCTTTTCATCTTCTTTCTTACGTTCTTTCACTAAAGAAAACGAATTAACCTTGGTAGATTTTTAAAAATATCGAAAATATACAGAAAAAAACTGTCCTGGCAATGGCACAGTGTAGAGTGTGTTCCTTGCGAGTAAATAATTACTCGAGTAAAATTTGCATGAGTAATTTTTACTCGATTAATCGACGTTTTTCGCCGAGTAACTACGAGTCAATCCTCTTTACACGCCGAGTAAATTGAATATCTTTACTTGTGAAGGGAATTTGGCACCAAATCAATTAAACAGTTGAATATCTTTAAAAGAAAATTTTTTTCGCGTCAATTTTTACAATAATTTGCGCTAAAAGTATGGTATTTTTTTCTCAAGTGTGCTTTTTTAAAAAAACGCATTACTCGTGAGGAACACACTCAAGTGGTGACTAGAGTGTGATCCTCGGGAGTAAATAATTACTCGAGTAAAATTGCCTGATTGATTTTTACTTGATTAATTGACCTTTTTTGGTCGAGTAACTACGAGTCAATCCTCTTTACACGCCGAGTAAATTGAATATCTTTACATTTGAAGGGAATTTGCCATCAAATCATTTAAACGACTGAATATCTTCAAATAGAGCGGTTTATAAGTTGAAGCTCGTGATTTTTTCGCGTCAATTTTTTGCAATAATTTTCGCCAAAAGTATGGTATTTTTTGCCAAGTGTACGTTTTTAAAAACGTATTACTCGTGTCAGCTCCGAGACAAACTGATATTTTAGTCACTATTGTTATTATTGAATGCTTTCTCTAATCTTATGCAAATGTGTTCTCCTCATCTGCTTATCCCTTTTATTGCCGAGAAGGGGCGGTCCTTAGGATTGCCTAGGAGGGCAAGTGAGACTCTCATTAGGAGTCCCTCCTTCCCCTTACACTCATTTTTAATCTATTCATCTTATTGTATTACTGTAAATAAAGATATGTATCTTCCGGGTCTATGCAACTGCAGTGCAGCTACAGGTCGGTCATTTCACAGGGACTCCCCTCTAATACGTTGGAGGAGTTGAGTTGGGTTGTCGGGGTGTTAGAGATGGCGGGATATCAAAAGGGATCCGCTCTCTTTAACATAACCCAAATTCTAGTCCACATCCGTTTACACCTAGGAACGTATACTCGCGAGAAACTCTAAATCCTATATATGGGATAGCCTGCAAGTTAGTAAGCCAGTTGGTGAGGATTCTTATTGCAATGATTCTTCACAGCTAGGCTGGTCATGATTACATTTTTGTTTCTTATTTCCTGACTAGTTGATGCTTCTTGTTAGTCGCTTTCTCTTGATAAATATTTTCATTTTCTCATATTGCCCTTTAGTCTTCGATTTGCTCATTTACGAGAAAACAGGTGCAATTCAAACACCATTACAGCTACTAACAGTCAATCATTACAGCTACTACTGGAAAGATTTTTGTTTAGCCAATTTGCACAGCTTTTTCTAGACAGATTCTAAAAATATAGCTAATTTCTAGAATTTTAAAGGAAATCTTGAAACTCAAACAAATCTTTTTCCATCTATTTCTCATTTGCAAAATTCCAATCTCTGCATGTTTTATTCACAAAAAAAACATGCAAACTCTTCTTTTTAGCTCACTTTTTAGTGAGGTAAGCTGATACTTTCAGAGTTTCCCTCTTGCTAAAATCCAGTTTTTACAAATTAAACCTTTGTTTATTTTTGTGTTTTTGCTATCATTTTCAAAACTTGACTGTTTTCTTTATTGGACTTGTAGCCTTCTCATTCCAGATGGTGGTCGAATTGCTAGCGAACAGCTTTGGCTCGTCTCAATACCGGAACACCTCGCAAAACAATCTCACTGCAATTCAAATCGAATACCGAAAGTTGACCGATTTCTATGATCAATTTTTCACGATTTTCTATTGGATCGCTGGAACGATTGCTATTCCGATGAATGTTCTCTTGTTGTATTTGATTATCAAGAAAAGTCCACCGTCGTTGAAGGTTTCTTTGCCTTACAATCTACAAATCGAATAAGCCTAGCCAACTCAATAGCCCAATCCAAATGATTGTCACATTTGATAAGCCCTTTGTCATTGGCAATCTAACTTTGAGCTCAAATTTCTTGGTGTTGGTCTGTCCAATTTAAATAGTTTTTTGTACCAATCGATAGAGAAAGACTTGGCGCATCTAATGATACCAAGCATATTTAAATTGGACAGCTCAACACCAAGATATTTGAGCTCAAAGTAAGATTTCTAATGGCAAAAGGGGTGGAGCATATCAGATGTCCGATCACCACTCCAAATCACTCCATTGCAAACAAATTCGACTGACAACTAGCCTCGTTTTCCTAGAGCCAATTCTTTAAACTTTTCAAGCTAAACTTTTAGATATTTAAGCCAAACGAAATCAATTTCTAAACTCATTTATTTGAGAAAAACCCCTTTTTTGAGGTTCGAGGTGATTTGTACTCTCTGGGACTTCAAAAAAGCATCTTCTGGCATCCTAGGTATGGGGTAACCTAGGTATGGGGTAACCTAGGTATGGGGTAACCTAGGTATGGGGTAACCTAGGTATGGGGTAACCTAGGTATGGGGTAACCTAGGTATGGGGTAACCTAGGTATGGGGTAACCTAGGTATGGGGTAACCTAGGTATGGGGTAACCTAGGTATGGGGTAACCTAGGTATGGGGTAACCTAGGTATTGGGTAACCTGAAGTGTAAAAGTCAAAAAGCTTACAGAATTGACGGTGCTTTTATCAGTGCTAAATAAAGAAATTGTTTCGATAGTTAAATTGATCAATCAAACAACAATTTCCCCTAGAATTTCGTCTATAAAATTGATTTTTAGGTCTACAAAGTCTTGCTATTGAATCAATGCATAACGGATTTATTCTACGCACTTTCGATCACTTTTCTACAACCGAGGTGAGTGTGATCAAATTTATTCTCAAGCTTTTCGTTGAACCCAATTCCAGAATAATCCCCAACAAATGGGCGTTCGCCTACGTGGCGCTAGGACCAGTGAAATATCTTGGCTCTGAGTTCGCCTATGAGACATATTGTGTACAGTTACATTCGATTTTCTACACCTTTCTATCATTTCCGCTGTCTTTTGGATTCAGGTGCGTTGTTTAGACAAAAAAAAGGGGTGAATTGAGTGAATTCTAGCTAAGGTAAGCTAGTAAAACATTATGATCTATTTAACAATGACAATGATCCCTATAATCCCTCCTCCTGACAATGATCCCTATAATACAATGACAATTATCCCTATAATCCTCTAAAATTTCTCTAAAATTTCAATTTTAGATCCTCTAAAATCCTCAAAGATCTCAAGATCCTTAAATCCTTTAAAATTTCAATTTTAGATACTATGTCTTAGTGCGACCTGTACCACAAATCAAAAGTCTAATAATGCTCTTGCTCTCCCTATGGAGCATTGCTATTTTTCAGCATGTAAGTGCAAAAGAATTGCTCTTTATTAACTTTTCTTCTAGGTGTCATTCATTTTCTCTGAATGGGATTCAAAAAAAGTGTTAGCTTACTTGGCAATCAATAAGCCTCACTACAATATGAGTGGCTTGATTGTTAGTGGAAATCATATGTTGGAAAAGGTATTGGAGATAAAGTTGCTAAAATTTTAAAGTCTAGCCAATGACATCTTTCGTTTTGGCAACCATCGTACTACCGATGTTCCCCATCTACGTCCTTGTTGTCTATTTTTATTATAAAGTTGAAGGATTCCTCACGGCTAATGCTGATGTAAGCTTTGATACGCTTTAGTTTATGATTTACATTAATTAATTACGTTTTTCAAGACTTTGACTCTAAAATTTAGAAACTTCGAGCACAAACAGTGAAAGGACATCGGCGATTACTTATGGTAAACTTGTAGAGTCATTTTCTGTAATTATTTTAATTAAGGCATTAACAATTCAAGCAGCTCTACCGGTGTTCACAATTTTCCCACCAATCGGAATCTACGGTCTTTACCATTTGGAGCTGATAAATGTGACTGTTATTGAGTACCTCGTTTATGTCCTTTTTGCCTTCTATCCAGCTTTCAGGTTAGTAAATCGGCATGAACTAGAAATAGAAACAAGACTGAATAAAGTAAAGAAATGAATGTCAAAGAGTTTGGAACCAAGGAGGAATCGAACTTCGACCTTCTGTTTGAGCTATCGGCGTCATCAGATGAGCATTAGATGCTTTGAGCATTAGATGCTTTGAGCATTAGATGCTTTGAGCATTAGATGCTTTGAGCATTAGATGCTTTGAGCATTAGATGCTTTGAGCATTAGATGCTTTGAGCATTAGATGCTTTGAGCATTTGAGCATCTGAGCTATCGGAATCTTCTTTGCCAAAGAATAAATAGGAAAGACAAGAGAAAGAAAGAAAGAGAAGAAGTTAGAGTCATTGATCATGAGAAACTCTTGAAATAAGACAAAATCAACTTTAGCTGTAAACAAGGCTTTCTTAGAATCCAAATCATCGTCTAAAGCATTTTGTACATTTGTACGTCTAAAGCTTGTAAAATAAACGCAAATCATTACTGTCAAGATTTTAGTCCAATGATTACAATCTATTTCGTCAAACCGTACAATATGGCGATTCAGCGAGCAACTGGTCTCTATGTGCGCAGGTGAGAAATTGCCAAATGATTTACCTTCAACTCTATGTTCTTTTATCAAAGATCTCAAGATTTAAAACCATTTAAATCTTGAGATAGTGAAGTGAAGTTTTCTGTAAAGATTTTGTGCTAGAGGATGTTCGAAAGAGAAATAGAAGGCAAGGTATTTGACTTTTATGAAAGTAATGATCAAAAAACCACTAAGCAATCGGCTTCTTCTTTGCTCAAAAAGAAATATAAAGCTAATAGAAGACTAACAATATAAGCTATTAACTGAATATCGAACATCCTCTCGCTAAATGTCTAATTCTTGTCATTTTTGGTTCGCCTTAAACGCTTCATAATTAGGTTCACCCGAGCTTTCAGCCTTACCCAAACGACGACTGGTTTCATCAGCGAGACGATCGGAGGAGGTGGTCGCTTTTTTTCTCCTTTCTCCCCACAGGGACAACATATTTGTCCGATTTCGGGTCTGGTGTTCGGGTCTGATTGGTTGAATGTCCCCGTGCAAGAACCCAATCATCAGTCATTCATTGAAAAGTTCTCGTGAGTCCCCTGAGTGTCCACCCCTATGCTATGTATGTTTCGTATCCTCTTCGAGTGTCCTTACTGTCCTTAAGTCGGAGGTAATTGGCTATAGAACGGAAGAAGTCTATGTAGGGCTGGTCCTAGAGGCCATAAGACTGACTCTGGTTCGAACCCATGAGGTAGAAAACTAGGTAACCAGTAGAACCAGCACACTAACCAGTAGAACACGCGCTCAACGAGCCGCGCAAAAGCAATTTGTGTATCTATGGTCGAAAAAAGCCATGCTGTGTAAACTTTGGAGCTGAATATCATGCGAATTTCAAAACGTCATCTCTAAACGACCTAGATGTTCGGAATCAGCGCAAAGAAATGTACTAGAAAAATTACGTCTAAGCTCAAAAGCTAGATGTAAATCAAAAAGTATCCCTAATGAGTTTAGGTTGAAAATTTCGTTCTTGAATCAGCCTTGCTTTTAAAAAATGGCCCCTACTCCTTTAAATGAATCTCCCTACTCCCTGAGCCTCTACTTTGTTAGCTCAGATACGTCTACTGAGTACGTAATAGCGCGCCAGATAGCTTACGTTTATTAAAGTAAATCAATCTTGACTTTGATTCTGTGATTGAGATCTAATGGTGAGAAAATTGAGAAGAAAAGTATCTTGGTTATTGATAAGATTTTCTTGGACCCTGTAAACTGGCCTAAACTTTCTAGGTTGTATTAGCGAGCAATAAAGGGATAAGGTACATACACTACTGGACAATGAAATATCATATTTGAAAAAAGATCGTCACTTTCGCGCGTCTGTAACTCCCTTGTCTTTACCGTATTTCTAAATATTAATACTACCATTGTGTAGCCCTTAAAAAGAGCTTTCAGAAAATGTCTAACACTAATAGTTTAAACTCAAAGACAAGGGAGTTACAGACGCGCGAAAGTGACGATCGTTTTTCAAATATGATATTTCATTGTCCAGTGCTGTATCTCTGAAAGAAATCAATTCTTATTAGGTTGGAAAGAAAGTTCTCGGAAAAAGTTTGACTAGAATTTCTTAAAAACGAATCCACCAATTCTAGAACGGTTTGTTCTATTATTTACAAGTCCAAGAAATTACTCGTAAAAAAAATGAGTGCAGCTTTCCCTTAAAATTTTAGAGATCTTTGAAAAGGTATTATTAGGTTGTCCGGAAATAAATAGGTGATTCTGAACAGTTAAAGCATTAGATAAAATGTGCCTTTATCACAAATTTTCCCTATTTTAAAGTACTTGATTTTAGGTTTGTGAATGGGATCCATTGCCTATCCATTAACCGATTAAAAACTTGTCTAAAGTGTCTTGTCTTGTCTTTGGTCACTCAAAAAGTAACCAAGTCACTTCAGCTGAAGAAATCTCTTATTTTTTTGTCAAAAACTTTTTGAAATATAGTCATTTATAAAAAAATCTGGAAAGAATTGATAGCTTGGTTTTTGAGAAATCACTGTGCAAACGTTTTCTACGAACTTTCTTGCCAACCTAATAGTTAATCCAAAGCTTTCTGAGCTGCCTGGTAGACATAGATACAGTTTCTCTTATTTTGAACAGTTCTTTTGAACGTTTGCAGTGTTTGACTCCTCCTAACAGCCTACTCAGTGCCAAATAACGGAATGTATTTGATGAATACTGTTTCTTATTTTTGCAACAAGCATGTCTATTTTAAAAATTGCTTTTAACACTTTTTCTTTAGTAAATAAAAAATTGTTTTTTGTTTAGAAAAGCAGTTGGAGATGCGACGACCAATTATGGAGAAACTCGGCTCTTCAAAAAGGAGATCACAGAAACTACACAGGTGAGAAAATTGTGAAGAAAAATTATCTTGATCATTGAGAAGATTTTCTAGACAGTACACTTGTTAGAGGCAAGTTAGCTTATTTTGTAGATAAAAGCATGTTTACGGAGCGGGAAATACAGTCTTGTTGGGTGGATTAGACTTTAACTTTGGTCATAGTCATGGCCTTAACATTGCTTGGAATTTAGTACTTTGTCCGAGATTTACATTTCACCAAAAGCAATGAATCGTTCAATCGTCAAGGAGAGATTCCCTTCTGCTTTCCTTCCCTTTTCACTTCCCTTCTCTACTCCTCCTCTTCCTCTCTTCCTCTCTTCTTCCTTTCCTTCCCTTTTCACTTCCCTTCTCTACTCCTCCTCTTCCTCTCTTCTTCCTTTCCTCTCTCCTTCTACTTTTTCATTTTTGTTTTTTGGAAAAGAGGCAAAGAAGCAGTAAAGGCAAGGAAAAGAAGCAAAGAAAAAGCAAAGAAAAGAGAACTCAAAAGAAAACGAACCAGCGACCTTCCGGCTGCTAGACAGAAGCTCTACCACTGACCCAGAGACGCTTGTTTCATCGGCGAGAAAGAGGATAGAAGAAGAGAGAAAGAGTAGATGCTATCTCTCAAGCGAAAGAGTAGATGCTGTCTCTCAAAGTGCTTATCCAAAAGAATTAGTGTTGTGAACTAAACCGTTTTCTAAAGCATGTCAAAACTATCGTAATCTTGGCTCTATTTTCTTCAATTCGTCTAATTTTTTTTTTGTTGAAAAAGTGTCGACTCTAACTTTCTCTACTTTCAACAAGATTTTTTCGCTTAACAACAGCAAAAACGATTTACAATGCATAATCTATTCACCAAAAACTCATATACCCAATACGTATAGTAATCCAGTCGTCGAGTAATCCAGTAATCCAATCCAATACCTATACTTACTTATATTCCAGGGAAACGAAGGAGTCTCGTCCGTTGCAAACGCACTTTCCCGACAGGCACAGTACATAGAAAACGACAATTGCTAGCTATTTTTTTTTTTTGATGGAAAATAATAAATTTCAAATGAAAAGAATAAAATAAAACTGCAAAAGCGACAAAAAAGCGACAAAACTTGAGTCAACAGACAATCAAACGACAGACAGACAGACACAGACAATCAAACGTTCTCCCCAAAAAATTAGCGACAAAAAGCACAAATAAAAATAAACAAACGAATATTTTCTTTTTGAGATCTCCATTGTCTCTGATTCACACGTTCACACTTTCGAAGGCTGAGCAAATTTCGAGGATCTCACTTTAGCACTTTGAATGAGTATAAAAGGTGGTGGAGATGGCAATTACGCATTTTAACCGATTCAATCTTTCGAATTCATTCGGAATCCAATACATAGTAGGCATTTAACAATTTATTTTTACTGATAAACTTTCTGGGTAGAATTTTAAGCTTTAAACATTATCCCATAGCGTTTCAAAATTCAGTTTTGGTAAGTTTACATAAAAGTAAATTTCTTTGTATCTTACTAGGGAAAGGGACAAGATCAACTGTACTCATAGTACTGTAGATCTGTAGTACTAGATATGTAGTACTAGATATGTAGTACTAGATCGGTAGCACTAGATATGTAGTACTAGATCTGTAGCACTAGATCTGTAGTACTAGATCTGTGGTACTAGATCTGTGGTACTAGATCTGTAGTACTAGATCTGTAGTACTAGATCTGTAGTACTAGATCTGTAGTACTGTAGACTTATTAAAACAAACCATTACCCTAATCTACCCTACGTGACTTCCAGAAATGGCCAAAATCGCATCATTCGCCCTCATCTGCGCCCTTCTTCCATTCGCCTCTGCCACTTGTTCCAGTGATAGCGATTTTAGCGGACGTACGTCAACAACTTTAAAACCAAACTCGATTACTTCTTTTAGCATGTATTCCTCCGCAAGTTGTCGGCTCGAGCTGTGACACAACTGGTGGTGTCTGTGCGGCTAGTTCAACGGGAGATGTTCAATGCTGCCCCGCTTCAGCTCTGGTCGCCACCACGTCGCTCAGCTCACGCACCAGCAGCTCATCGTCAAGTGTGTAACTGTATTAGGAGCCTTTATTTGAATCATTTCTTATCTCAGCATCAGCACTAGCTATGAGTCAAGCTTTGACTCAAAGTGAAATCGCACTTTTCAGCACTTTTTTTGAACAGAAGCAATTTCAGCAATTTGTCAGAAGCTTTCCAAGATCTATATTGTAAAGATTACAATGTTCAAGTATTTCTTTAGCCTCTTGCTACGATCGATTGAATCCCCGAACGGGAACCTCGGATTGTCCGGCCCGTGTCAGTCTCTGCACCAACTCCGCTTACAAGACACTAATGGCTGCGCAATGCCCAAAAACCTGTGGTCTCTGCTCGTCATCATGTACGTAAACAAAAAAATATTGCGAAAAAACATTGCCAGTTGCTAGATTGCTTGCAAGATAAGACCTTAAACACCGAATTTTAGCAAGCTGTGTTGACAAGACGAACGCGGCCACCGGCATCTCTGATTGTCCGGCCAGAGCTGCAGCTGGCTACTGTACACGGTTAGTTTTAGCTTTTATAATACTATCTACAGTTAACTTTGATATAATTTACTTATTTAATACAATTTTAGCAAGTACTACACCACTTTGATGAGAAAACAATGCCCCTCGTCGTGTGGTTTCTGCTAAATTGATTGGGAAAAGCATTGGCATTGTAAATATGTATTTTTTGCAAAAGAAACCATAGAATTATTCAATAAATTGTTTCTTTTTTATCGGAAATCCTTTTTTAAGCAAGAAAAATGACTCATCAACAGACGAAAACGAACAAACGAAACTTCTTTTGATAAGACTGTTCACAAAATTTCCCCAAATATCGACTCAATTCTTTTTTTTTTCTTTCATAATCTCCAAAATGATTCAAAAGCTTTTGCACGACTTTTTTCAATGGTATTCGAAACTGAGAAGATCATTGAATGGTAAAGTTTTTGATTTTAAAAACTATACCCAATTTAGTCACCGAGGAATCTGAACTTTTTAAACCAGAGGGGATTTTCCCGCTTGAATCTTTGCCTAATGAGTTATTGGTGAAAATCTTTAAGGCAAGTTTTTAAAGCTTTTTTAAAAAACGTTTTCAATTGATAGCTTTAAAATTTCAGAATATTACTCACAAAGATGATCTGCAAAACCTCTGCCTTACTTCAAGAAAGCTTAACAATTTAATCGATGAATTTGTTGAGCATTTTGTCCGCATCAAGGAGAATTATTTGCTACAAATTGAAGATGTAAGTGTTAAAAAGGTGTAAGATCTGTAAAAAAAGTAGAAGAGCTTAAAAATACTATACTTTTTTCATTAAAGGAATGCGATTTTTACCCTCATTGATGATTTTTGACAAGATGACAAAACTTTTGACCTTTTGATCAGTTAAAAAAAGTAGTTAAAGCTCTTGAATAGTTAAAGATCAACTCCATAAGATCCCGATTTTAAAGTGAAATCAAATTTCCGTCTATCATTCAGTTTCTAGTTCAAAACTTTTAGGAAATCCGCTTCGTTTACACAAAAGAGCTCTCGGTGGTCAGCAACTCTAAATGGGAATCGTTGCATCAATTAGAAGAAAGCCTTAGAGAATTCTTATATCTCGCAAATACGGATTGGACAGTAATCAACTTTAGCAAGAAAGTAAGTGATCTTTAAACTTCAATCTTCTAAAAAAGTAATCCAGACAATTTTCCCGAAAGAGATTGTCTCAAAACTGGCCGATATTTGTCGCACTTCTCGTTGTCTATTCGAACAAGTGCGGATCGATATTTGGAGTGATTTTCAAGTTGAAGATGAGGAATTGAATGAACTGATCTGGTAAGAAGAAGGAGAAGTTTAACTAACATCTACACTACTGGACAATGAAATATCATATTTGAAAAACGATCGTCACTTTCGCGCGTCTGTAACTCCCTTGTCTTTACCGTATTTCTAAATATTAATACTACCATTGTGTAGCCCTTGAAAAGAGCTTTCAGAAAATGTATAACACTAATAGTTTAAACTCAAAGACAAGGGAGTTACAGACGCGCGAAAGTGACGATCGTTTTTCAAATATGATGTTTCATTGTCCAGTACTGTAAGTATACAAAACCAAGTCTACTTTTCTACAACCAAATTTAATGAGGATTCTTTTAAGAGCAATTACAAGTGGATTCAATTCCTATACCTCCAGTTATAGACCAGCTTATAATGTGACTTAACCTCAGGAAAATTAAATAAAAGTAAAATAAAAGTAATGTAAAGTAATGTTGTTGTGGTAATTGATGAATCAATTACCTTAGAAGGTCAACTTTGACGCAAATTTTCTCTATGTTCTTATACATACACTACTGGACAATGAAATATCATATTTGAAAAAACGATCGTCACTTTCGCGCGTCTCTAACTCCCTTGTCTTTACCGTATTTCTAAATATTAATACTACCATTGTGTAGCCCTTAAAAAGAGCTTTCAGAAAATGTATAACACTAATAGTTTAAACTCAAAGACAAGGGAGTTACAGACGCGTGAAAGTGACGATCTTTTTTCAAGTATGATATTTCATTGTCCAGTACTGTATTTTAACATCTAGGGCAATGAAACCTCGAACTCTTCAAGTGAACTTTCACGGTTGTTCGGGTCTGATCAGGCTTCCTAGCTCTACCACGAAATTCAATGGCACCAATTGTTATATTGATTTTCATCAAAATGCTCGAATTCGAGGATTTAGAGTGGAACACCTGTTGAATGCCGCTCAAGTCATCGAGGTTTTTAAATCAAAAGTTCAAGTTCAGCAGTGTCAGTGAATTTTAGCAACTGCAACAAGGCAGCATCAATCTCGAGAAGTGTCAACGATTTCATTTCTATACGGGAAACACTTTTGAAGTAACGAGAAGAATTAGAAGAATAAATTCAATTTTTCATAATTTTAAGAAATTGAATAATTTTAAGCATCCAATACATTTATTTTTAGCTTCCCAGAGAAAACGAATGGACCATTTCCTTATCAAATCCTGAAAGAAAGCTTTGGAAAAAAGTCAACTCAGAACTAGAAATTTTACTATCAGGTGAGATTTAATTCAAAGATTTGACAAAATTTTATAGAAAATGATACAAAACCGAATGGGACAAATTGTACGATGGGCTTTTGTCTCTCGACAAACACTGGATGCGTATTACCAGCTGATTGGTTGTTGGGGAAATGGTAGATACCAAATAAATCAGATTTTCAATATTGTACTATTCTATTAGCATTTGAAGCCTTTCTTTGTTTGAATTATTAAACAAAAACAATAAAAGCTGCTTTTGAGCAAGAAGAACTCGCATTTTTCTGCATGTACAGTTTGCAATTGCTATAAGCAAATTTTCTAAATCCTGAAAAAAAGCCATTGAAAAGTGAAACAAATTTTTGATAGCTTAATAACTCCAAAGAGTGAAAACAAAGAAATCTTTCAATAACCCTGTAATGTCGGAAAGTTTCTCGAAAGAATACTAATTGGTTTACAAGGAAACTCACGTGTAATACCAAATACAGGCAAATTCGTCATCATTTTGATCTAAAGAATACAAGTGTTTAAGACCTGTTAATGCTTCAAACAAGAAATAAGTAATAAATTTCACTTGGCAATGCGCCTCTGACTTGCCCCCATGGTCGACTTGCTAAGAGCCCTGTATCATAATCAGGCAGTCAAGGGTTCAACCCCTAGATTATTAGTTCTTTTGTCCCATATATACGGGCTTTTTTCCTCCCTACATTTAGGGGTTAGGGGTTGTGCTTGTGTATTGTTTGTACCACATTATTCGTGTGGATAAATGTTTTTTAAATTGAGTGAAAGCATGCAACAGGACGTTGTTCAAGTCTTTATTGATTCACTGAATGCATACATACGTACAAGAACCCGGAATCATATGAAATACCTATCAAGGTATGTATACAGAAGAACTACATAATGAGTTACACATTCGCTATTATTCCAATTACACACGGCACGTACCATTGGCTTGGAAATGATTAAACATCATCCGACTGATCACCATTCGCTAAATTATTTTCTCAATAGTTAATTTATTTTCGAAATACCTGAATCTGAGAAGTGCCTTCGTAAATCTGATAGATTTTTGCATCACGCATTAGCTTTTCGACCGGATACTCGCAATTGAAGCCAGCGCCTCCAAAGATCTAAACGGAGACTCTATCGAAAAAGTTGCCTGAAATCGGTTATCGGACATTTGATACGCGATCTTTTGCCATTGGCAATCTAACTTTGAGCTCAAATATCTTGGTGTTGGTCTGTCCAATTTAAATATTCTTGGTATCACTGGATGCGTCAAGTCTTTCTTTGTGGATTGGTACAAAAACTTTAAATTGGACAGCCCAACACCACGATATTTGAGCTCAAAGTTGGATTGCCAATGGCAAAGGGGGCTGGGCGTTCCACAATCTGTCAAAAATGTTCCACATTCTGACAATTCTTTACCTGAACAGCATTTGAAGCCGTTTGATTAGCAGTGTCCGCCGCAAAACATTTGGCAATCGATGCATAGTATGAAGAACGAACCTGAAGTTTCAATGGGATTGCGTTTTCTATACCAAAAATACTGTACTTTGTTATCAACATCGGATGCTGCTTTATAAGTGACGAGTCGAGCCAGCTCAAGATTGATAGCCATGTCAGCAAGCATAAATTGAACTGCCTAAATCTTTATTGAGCTTTCACAACAAATCGCAAACGCACTTGATGATTTGCAATTTGCGTTCCAAAGGTTTTCCTTTCGAGGGCATACTTTGTTGACTCATCAAGCGCTCTCCAGGCGAGACCCAATGCTCCTGCAGCCACTCCAGGTCGTGTCATATCAAATGCTCCCATTGCAACCTAGAAAGGCTTTAGTAGTTGTTTCTTAGGATCAAAGCTGGTCCTAGAACGGATTTTCCAAGCCAAGGCAAGCGTCGAGGTTTTAAGCTCAATCCAACAGAAGGGTCAAAAGTCCTAGACTTGTAATGAAAACATCTTTCGGTCCTTTTTTTGCCGTTGACAATTTAAGGTTTTTCGTGTTTTTCTCAGCACCAACACTTCGATTTAGACTATTTTGATTATTATTCGATGCAGAATAAAATTGCGCACGGAACGATACCAAAATTAACTCAAAATGTAATATCCATGCAAAACTATGTGGCAAAAAGTTAAGTCCCTCCCATGAGGAACGGGGTTTAGGTTTTTAACCAAAAACTTTGCGTGGAAATTACATTTTGAGTTAATTTTGGTATCGTTCGACGCGCAATTTTATTCTGCATCGAATGATAGTCAAAATAGTCTAAATCGAAGTGTTGGTGACAAAACACAAAAAACCTTAACTGCCAACGGCAAAAAAAGGACCGAAAGATGTTTTCATTACAAGTTTATTTCAGACCAAGGTCGATTTAAAGCCATTGTCTTGTCTTTGGCTTTGTCTAGCCATGGCTCTTGTCTTTCGGAACAACTTTGCTTGAGATTACTTACTTTGAATCCGTCTCCTGGCTTCATAAGAACATTTTGAGCTGGAACACGGACGTCCTCAAAAGTGATTGCTCGAGTGTCGGCACATCGCTGTCCCATGTTTCGTTCTAAATAAATTTCAAATGTTTGCTTTCACCTTTAGTTTTCAAAAGATACCTTTCTTTCCTCGAATGATACCCGGCGTATCTCCATCGACGACGAAAGCCGTGAACGCCTTTCCAGCCGGAGTTTTTGGATCTGCATCAGTTCGTGCGAGCACAAAGAACCTGAAACCCGAGGTCTTGAAACTAAATTGGGGAACTCTTTACCATTGTGCATATCCACCTCCAGTAATCCAGGCCTTATCTCCATTAATCACCCATTCATCACCTGCAAATGGATTTACAGCGTTAGATTATTTCAATACCTTTCTTCTCAGCTCGTGTCCTGACCCCATTCACATCCGATCCAGCTCCAGGCTCTGTCACACAGTAAGAAGCAATTAATGGCTCAGCTGCGAGCATTCCTAGGTACCTGGATAAAGATTTTTAAACATCCAATTGCAAGCTGAAACTTTTTCTTTTGTTCTTCGTTTCCCGCAATCAGTACCGGCGCAATAGCAAGTGATGGACCCATAATAGCAAGCTAGAAAATTCAAGTTGGAAATTTCAATCAACCCTAACCTGCAGTCCCGTACACCCGTAACTCAATGCTTCTACGATCAGCGCGGTTTCCATTGTGGTTAATCCAGGTCCGCCTGAAAGCAAATATAAACATCAAGCAATTCACTTTACCATATTTTTCGGGAATTTGCGGATTCATAAAGCCAAGGCTGTGTGCTTCTTTGACAACGGCCCAAGGAAATTCACCAGTCTGAAAACGAAAATTTATTTTCAATTCAATTAGATACCTCATCATGCTTAGCTGCAACTGGAACTAGTTTTTCACGAGCGAATTTGAGCGCTGCTTGCTGAATGTCCCGCTGCTGATCAGAAAAGTCTGAAAGAAATGTTTCATTTTCTGTAAGGTAGACATAGGCTTTTTGTAGAAAACAAGTCAGTCTTACGTTTTAGCAAATAGCTCTTGTTTTCTAAAGCATGCATACAATGATATTTCGAGCTTTAGAAAACAAAAGCTATTTGTTAAAATGTGGGACTGACTCGTTTTCTATCAAAAGACCATGTATACTATTACCAAATGAAATCGTCCGAACTCCAGTTTGTCTCGAGATTGCGGAAGCCCGGAGAAGGTGACGTGAAAGCATCTGTAATAAAATTCATTTAAAAATTGGTAGTGGCATAGGTGTTAGATCGGATCGTATCGGATAATATTGGTACAGATCGCATCGAATCGTATCCGATCTGATTCGATCAGATCCAACAAAAATTGCATCCAATAACATGTTTAATTCATAAAAGCAAACATCAAACGGTCCAAATCCGCTTAAAACTCATTAGACAAATTCATTCATGGTTTATTTGCAGACCCGAATAAAACATCAATTCCACACTAAAAGTCTATGTTACAGAAGAAAACAGAACGTTTAAAAATCCAGATCAACGTTTAATAAATTCCATTCTCCTTGACACGTCCCAAAAGTTGACGGCTGATCACAAGGCGCTGAAGTTAGTCAATGATAATTGCTTGTAAGATGCTTCTAAGATACCTGGACTTGCGATGTGCCTTCATAAATCTGGAAAATTTTCGAGTCCCTCATAAGCTTCTCCACTGGGTACTCGGTGTTGAAACCGGCTCCACCGAAGATCTGAATTGAAGCTAGATTCAGTAGTGAAGTAAAACTGTACTTGAACGGCATCTGATGCCGTTTTGTTGAGCGTATCGGCAGCAAATGCTTTGGCAATCGACGCGTAATAAGCTCCAGGGCGATCTTGATCTACTTCGTAAGCACTGCGCAGAGTCATTAGCCGTGAAAGTTCAAGATGAATGACCATATCAGCGAGCATAAAACTAACAGCCTAAAGACTAAATTTAAGACAAAACGTCTAAGCACTTGTAACCTGGAAGTTTGCGATGTGTTGCCCGAAAGCCTTTCGTTCCAATGAATATTTGGCTGCCTCGTCGAGACATCTGCAATTGGATTTACTAATTGTAAGTACTAGATCTTGAAAAATTCCAACCCGAACCTAACTCCATCTTCGTTTTCTCGGCCGTTTCTTGGCCGATTGCTCTGCAATTTTATCTACAAGCTGAAAATATAGATTTCTATCTGTAAACAAAATTTCAGAGCACAGTTGGCCAAGAAAACGAAGGTGGAATTAAGTTCGGGTTGGAATTTTCCCATATCTAGTAAGTCCGATTAAAGCTTTTTACCTGGCTGCCAATCCACATGCCATTGCAGCTACCATTGGTCGAGTCTTATCGAAGGTTTTCATTGCAACCTAGAGTCAATATTTAGCAAAAACCTTTTTTAAATCAAACCAAAAATCCTTTTCCTGGTTCTCCCACTACATTCTTGGCTGGCACGTGAACGTCTTCAAAAGTGATGCCACGGGTGTCCGAACATCGCTGACCCATATTGATTTCTAGAACCAAAGTGTTGATTTCAAAAAGAAGCTTTCCACCTTTCTTTCCTCGAATAATCCCAGGAGTATCTCCTTCAACGGCAAATGCCGTGAAAGCTTTACTCGCCGGAGTTTTTGGATCCGGGTCTGAGCGAGCAAGCACAAAATACCTAAATTTTATGTTTTCAATCAAAAAATGAGCTAACGTTACCAGTTTGCGTGGCCAGAGTTCGTGATCCACATCTTGCTTCCGTTCAAAATGTATTCATCTCCTGTAAAATTTCTTAAAAGACTACTTACGAGACAAACCTTTCTTGACACATTTCGTCTTAATCCCAGCCACATCAGATCCAGCGATTGGTTCGGTGACTGCATAAGACTGAACAGTAGCATTTCGAATTGATCTATTGGTCGATTACTTACTGCAACAAGAGGTTCTTCCAGCATGCGTCCCAAAAATCGCTTCTTGATGTCGTCATTGGCCGCAATGATTAACGGTGTTTCGGCGAGCTCATTGGTCAAAACGGCTGTAGTGATTCCAGTGCAGCCATAGGCGAGAGCTTCGATGACAAGAGACGAGGAGAGAGCGCTCAAGCCAAGTCCTCCTGAAATGTAGAATTCAAGGTGCAAAAAAATTCCCCATTTCAACTCAAGTTTCTGAAAAAGTTTAAGTGGCTCAAGATGGTGACGGCTTTGGTGTGAAAGCTGTTTTTCTTGGCGTCATAATTATTTTGACTTTTTTGGAGATTTTCCCGATTATATTTCGAATTGATCTATTAATTGATCACTTAAATGAAAAATTAACAAAATTGAAACTTATTGTTGTGGTGGTGATAAATTTTTCATGTCCGGGGGCCATGTAATCAAGAAAATCTCCAAAAAGGTCTAAATTGTGACGCCAAAAATCAGATTCGACACTAAGAACCTTGAGCCACTTTTCAGAAATTTCCGTTGAAATGGAAAATTTTTTCAACACCCTGTAGCATAAGGTATTTGGTAAGAGAACGCTTTCAAGTTTACCTACCAATATCTTGGGGAACAGTAGCATTGACAAATCCGAGCGCGTGCGCCTTTTTGATCACATCCCATGGGTATTCCATTGACTTATCATATTTGGCGGCCACGGGAATAATCTCTTCTTGAGCAAACTTCTTTGCAGTCGCCTGAAGCTCTTTTTGTTCCTCCGTCAATTCTAAACATTTCTATTTCTATTTTTAAAGTTAGTTTCGAAGTTAAAGTTAAATCTATCTGTCAAGTCTATAATTAAATGTTTTCATAGGTGATTTGATAACAGACCAAAGTTTAATCCCGTGCTACTGAATCTTTTCTGCACGCCTTTGAGATGCTTTAGCGGGGCAGTAAATCGTGAGCTCAGCATCTGAAAAATGGTTTTAGCCATCAAAACACCCCAACAAGTGAGAAGATCAAAGCTAGAAGCTTAAATAAGGATAAGAAGTGATTCAATACTATCAATTTCAAGTTCAACTCATATCAAGGATCGATGTAGGTTTTCGCGAAAGCCACTAAAAGTGCCACGTGGGGGAATCTCGGTCTTTCCTCAAAAACTGAGCAAAGTGCGGAATAGAATTAGGGAGAGAGGTGATTAGGAGAGCCGAGACAAGAAGCGATAGGTAGACTTTGACCCCCTGACACATTTTGATCAAAGCAAAGAGAACGGGAAAAGAGGAACGATATGGAAAAGGGGAAAAGAGGGAAAGAGAATCGGTCAAAAAACTGTAGTCTATAGCTTTGTTTCGACCAAAACATTCAACAGCATATTTTTGGCAATTATACAAGTAATATTGGGACAGAATACCAAATTTTTTGCCAATTAAAAACGCTTTAAGTAGTCGATAAGAGCCAAGAAAACGTATCACAGACAGAAGCATATTTCTTTACAAGAAAATGATTAAAAAAATGCAAATCTTTTCATTTATCAAAGAAAAACACAAAGTGATCGGTAAAAAAGGCTATGTCCAAGTGATTTGAGCAATATCGCAAGAGAAGGAATGCTGCAAACTCAAGAAGTTCAGCCATTTACAGTCGTCAAAAAAGTCTTGGTCAGTCAGTGTTCACTTGGTCCATAGAATACATCCAAATATAGTGATCACAAATAGTTTTATGTAAAAGGTTGTTAAAATGAACCATTTAGCTTTTCTATATCCTTTAAACTAAGAGTTTTATGATCGTAAAACCTTATTTGAGCATGATTTTTAAAAATCTGTATTTCAAGAATGAATGGATCCCATTGAAAGCGGTTCAAATCATAATGGCATTGGATCGTCTATTACTTATTTATTAGTTTTGTTCTGGTGAAAATGACAGGCTACTGGCAGTTTTGAAGCCTTGAACAAAAGCTGAAAAAAAGGACCTTACCCTCTTATGCAAAAGTAGCTTGAAAAATTCTATTTTTAGAGCGACAACAAAAATCTAAGAATATCATAAAGCTCTCACAAAATACTACAAAAAAACTAATTGGGGTCACTTTATTTGAATGCGATCTAACGGGAGAAAAATGAGAAAACATTGGTCGGCCCAGACTTTTTTGACGACTGTAGTTAAACTCACGGTACTTTGATGATTGGGAGGGGCCACTTTTGGTTTGTTTAGTCGAATCTAGTGTTTGGAACGGTTCGTTTCGATACTTTTCATCTATTCCGAAGAAAGAGGTATATGCTGAAGCGATTGGTGCTAATTTAAGAGAATCCTATTCGATGATTTGCCCTGTGTCCTAGCCTTAACCACCGAACGTTATCTCAAAGCTGATTATACTTGGAAAGCTGCAATATTAACTTGAAACATGTTGAAAATACTCTAAAATTAGCACCAATCGCTTCAGCATATATAATTATCCTGGAATAGAAGAAAAGTATCCACACGAATCGCTCAAAACACGATTCGACGAAGCAAAGCCAAAAGTGGTCCCTCCCAGCCACTAAAGCACCAAACTCACTCTAGTCGATTAGATGAATAACGTGGTTGATCTGTCCTTCTCATACATCAATCTGGCCCTTCTCATAATCTGTGAGCGGTTTTTGTGTACCATTTATCTGGAAATTAACAAAAATTATAAACTTTATAATAAAATATGCGCAACAAAAGGAAAACTTTTCAACATTAGCAAACACGGGTGCGTTTAAAAATTTGAAATCGTTGATTTACGAAAAGGTTTGGTACTACCCCAGTTGGGGGCGGGGCAATTTTTTTGTCAAAACCACTTTTTCTAGGGTAGTTTTATGCGTAGATTCCGAAAAACACAAGCTCGGGAAAAGGCGCTTTAAGATTAGTTTCGGGCTCCAAAGTGCGCGCTTCTATAGTGTACTTCACTATATGGAGCCCAAGCTATCGACTATTGGGGCACTTTCAAGATCAGAACTAGAGTTAAAACCATTTTTAACCATTAAATAATAATTTTCTAACTTAAATTGACTGGTAGAGGCAAAAAAATTGAAAAAATTTTTTTGGGATTTTTGACTCATGTAGGGGTCCACATGGTCGAAAGTTTGAAAAAAATATTTTTTTATTTTGCTCCAATTTAATCAGAAACATAATCAGTAGGTTAAATTATGCCAGAAGAAGTGTTTTTCGCTTCAAAAAATGTTTTGAGAGACCATTTTTAGACCTTTTTCCTATGTGTCTCCCTCTCATCACACTGTATGAGCGCGCACTTTGGAGCCTCGAAACTAAGCTTACAACGCATTCTCCCGAGCTCTCGTTGTGTTTTTCGGAATCTACGCATAAAACTACCCTAGAAAAAGTGGTTTTGAAGAAAAAAAAAATTGTTTTTCGTTGTTCAAAAAATCTTGATTTTAGGCTGCGCTTAAGAATTTGAAATGCATGTAATTCGTGAGATGACTAAAATGAAGACTTAAAAAATGATTTGAAAAGCAAAAACCGTAATGATTGTGCGATTTTAAACTTTCTAAAAGCTGTTACAGCAATATTACAGCCAAATTCTCTGCAATCTGCAATTTTTGCTTTTTCTTTCATTTTTATCCGAAACCCTTCTCCCGGGTAAATACTTAGTGGATTTCCTTTGCACAGGGATGAGTTCGGAGAGTTGAGTCGGGTGCCCGAATTCGATAAATTTCTCGGCACGCCTCGTTTTCTTCTCGTTTTCGAAAAGGTTCTGTGGGTGGATAAGGAGAGGAACTAGTCGAGGATAAAGAGAAGAGTCCCATTTCGGGGAAGGGGCATTGATCCCCAGAAAAACTCTCTTATCTCTAGAAAATCTTTTATCCACTTCAGTTCGACCTCTTTCTTTCAGATTTCATCAACTTTCTCAAGATTCTGACTTTTTTTAATGTAGAAATGACTAAAGTAAATTGGTTTACCGTATTTTCTCTAATAGTAGCGCACCCCAGCGAGCCGAATTGGTGACTATTTTACGGTTTTCAAGCTTTTGCAAAAGCTCAACACTCTAATCACCCACTAGATCTCATCGTCAGCTACATTTCCCGACCCCACATCGATTGGTTCTGATAAGCGGTTCTCAAGACTTCGAGCAATTTAGGCGACGCTCAGGGTGCACTACTATTAGAGAAAATACGGTATTAATAATTTAACAGTATGAAATAAAATCAGCCTTTCAGGTCGATTTCAGCCTGATCGAAGATCTTGAGCTCTAAACTTGTACCCGGGGGTTTTCGCGGTCGGCGAATCGATTCAACCTATTCGTTTTGTTGAGTCTAATAACTGAAATCGGGTTTAATTCATCTCAACTTTTACTCATTTACAGCAATATTTTGTGCCTTTCATTCTTTTCTAAAAATTTGAATAGAATCTCTCCATGAAATTCTGTTACTACGGGAGCAAAAATCTCGTAAGATCCTTTGAAAGTGCCCCTCGTTTCTCTCAAGTGGGTGAACATCGAAATATCACGGACATTCCCGGCCGTCATCACCCAGATGGGATGGGGCAATTGTTGGGTGTTCATAAGAAGTCCTTTCCCCCCATTTCTTCCTCCACATTCGACAAAGCCTTCATATTGCACCCCATCACTGCCCCACAATTACCCCTTTCTTGAGATCTTGAGCTCCCTTTCACTTTCATCAGAGAATGACTTCCACCTGCTCGATTTCCCAAAAGTTTTTTTTCATGGATAAATCAATAACTCAACTTTCTGTGTTTTGTTTAAATTTCTACTCAATTTCCTCATGTTCGCTTCTAACCGAACAATCTTTTAAAAATTCATAGACTTCTGCAAAAACTCTTTAGAAACCAAAAAAAAATGACAAATTCGAAAAATTTGAGTAACAAGAAATTTTTCCGTGCTTCGGCGATTTTCAAAAGGCGTTTGAATAGGGAAATTCTCTCTTGGCGAGGGCGGTTCCTAACAAAATCTAACAAAATTCAAAAAAAGTTGAAAATATTTGGAGAACAAAATTGTGATATCTTTATTTTTAACAAGTTTTAGAAAAAAACGACTTGATTTCTCAATTTGCGAATTCTTTTCAATGAAAGAACTATTTTTGATTTCAACTTTAATGGCTATATCTTTATATCTTTTAAAGTCTAATAATTCTAATCTGAAATGAAAAATGCAATTTCACTCTCGCTCTAAATAAACAAGAAATAGTTGGCAGCCGTTTTGGAGAAGAAAAGCGAGTCCCACGGCTAATTCCGGCAGAAAGAATTCCCCTAAGAATCATTGACCCACTATATTCTTGTTTTTGAATTTATTTTGAGTCAGAATTTATTTCTTTTAAACAAAACACTCAGATATTTTGAATATTTGATGAAAGATGACTTAATCGTACAATGGGTTGTTGTCTATCAAGTGATGAGCGTGAAGAGGAACTTCTTGCCGAAAAGAAGAGAAGGTTTGTTTAAAAAAAGAAGAAAGGTGTTAAAAATGAAAATTTCCGTTCTTCTTAGATGATACAATTATTTGGTATAAGATTCTAAAGTATTATTAGCATAAGAGAACTGTTTAAGAAGGGCGACAAGACTCTAGTTGCCTATCATTCATTGAATTACAATTTGTAACCAATTTCTTGTACTCAAATTTCTTTTATAATCTATTTCTTTTAAACTAACGCAAAACTTCCCAGTCTTTCAAATCACAGCTTCTTTTTTCTGACTTACTTTATCAATCAGTTGAAGGGAAATCGAATTCAAAGAGACGAGAAATAAAAGTTCCGCTTTTCAGAGAATTTCTCTGAGTTCGTTGAGAACTAAATTCTTCAAAAACAAGGAAATCTTAAATCTAACAATTCAATCTTAAAACTAATTAAGTATCTAGTTTTTCAGAATCATACAGGAGCTAAAAATCGTCGTCACAAATGAGGAGTAAGTTGGGGAAAATAGAGCCGTAGCTTCTAACAAGAATTTTTTTCTAGAGAACCTATAGAATTCTTAGAAATGCTTGCAAGTAGTGCTTTAGTTTCAGAGAAAATTTCAGAGAACAATCACCACGAGGAGTGGGTATGGGAGTGGCAATGATGATGCAGCAAGCGGGAGTCCTCATCGGAGCGAATTCTCATCTCGCTCCACCTGATCCAAACACGCTCGTAGCTCAAATACGTAAAGCCAAAGTGAGTTTAAAAAGAAATATCAGAAAAAGCAAATAAAGCCAATATCCAGACGTATCTTTATCTAAAATCAGAAAATTTGACATAAACTGGGACTTACAGTGTTTAACCTCTTCACAAAAGTTTAAGGAACTATGAAAATTATGTCTGATACAAATCTTCTAACAATTGGTTATTTTAGATTTGATATTACAGTAACTATAGCTATCATAATAATTTTGTTGTCAAAGCAATTAACTCCATCTTCCAGGCCGAGGGACGCACAGTCACTCTCGTCAACGGCAACCTTTACTTTGACTATCATCTCGTCTGCCGGATACCCCCTCACTATAATCTTCAAGTTTGATCCTATTTGAATCTATTTTTTTACCTAACTAGTTACCTCAATTGTAAAAGAAGTTATTTTCATTAATACCAAAGTCTCTAAAGTGTCTCAATCAGTACTTGTATCTATCTAGCAATAACCAAACTTTTTGCTGTTTTTAAAAGTTGCCAAAATTTGCATATTTGTCGACCTTTTAATATCAGATGTAGTCAAAGTTTATTTGTAAACAGGCATGTTAACTCCGCCGCTTTTTGGTCCGTTTGCCGTTGGCAATCTACCGTAAATACTTTAATAGTAACCTATCTTCATGTTGGCGGTGCGGAGTGTGGCGTAGTCTAGCTTTGAACGAGTTTTTCTCGACACTGGTTTATGCTACAATGCGTGCTTAGGTATCAAAAGATAGCTGAAATTCAGGGCTATTTTTTGATACCAAAGATAATGACGATGCGGAGTGTTGCGTAGTCTAGCTTTCAATGCGTTGTTCTCGACACTGGTTTATGCTACAATGCGCGCTTAGGTATCAAAAAATAGCTGAAATTCAGGGCAATTTTTTTGATGCGAAAGACGCATTTTTTGGAAGTACAGGCGCTTTGAAAAAAACTGAAATACTAAGAAACTTTTGCGACTACGCGATTGCGACTGCGACTGCGACTACGCGATTGTACGAAGATGGTGGGGTACTATTACAGTATTTATGGTACGTATTTTGCTCGTATCTTGACCGGGTTTGTTTGAAAAACGTTGAATTTAACTTTCATTCGACTCGAAATGAAATTTTCCATCGAATAAAAGTAAATTCAGCGTTTTTCAAACAAACCCGATCAAGATACGAGGAGAATTCGTAGATTGCCAACGGCAAACAAACGAAAAAGCAAACGAAAAAGGGAAAAATGCTTGTAAACAACTTTCCTATTTCCTATAACTGTTCAATTTGTTCGTGTGTTGACCAACATGGTGCTAAATTCGAATGTACCAATTATTATGATTTGTAGAATATTTATTATTTGAATAAATTTTTCATTAGACTTACTTCATTCACCAGAATACTCACAATCGGTAAGCGTGATTCTTTTGTCGATCACTAGTCGTTCACCATTTTTCGCTCTAATCTTTACATCTCCCTGGAATAAAGATCATGTTTATATAGCTTATATATTGATTATATAGCAATAGATTATAGCTCTTAAACTTGATAAAATACCAGATTTATGCTGTTTAAAGCTTTACAATTTTGCTAGCTTAATGACTTACAATTAGTGTCACTTCTTCCTCAAACCACACATCACCCTCAACAATTAGAGACCTCAAATCATCCATTTTTGGAAAATTTTTGAATCTTTTTTGAAAGTTATCAACCTGAACTTTTAAAATCAATGTTTTAGGATTAGTTTTTCTCTACCTCCTGAAAGTGACTCGATAATGAGACAAATGGTGCTGGAGTTGATCGAGAAAGCTTTAAACTGAAAATAAACATTTCAAGGAAGTACAAGGAAGTACAAGGAAGTACAAGGAAGTACAAGGAAGTACTATTTTTTTACCTAAAATCTTCCTGAAGTTTGTATAAATCTGAAGAAATCGTTAGTAAATCATCGGTTTTTTTGACGGGTAAGAATCTGGCTCTTGGAACGTGGATGCCTGAAGTGAAAAGGATAACTTTCTTTTTATTTAGATAATATTTATCTAGATTATTGTCAGATATAATCCTTTACATTTAACAGCAAGTTGCATTTGTTAACTTTACTTACAATAAGCTCTTTCAAAAGCCCGAATGCTTCCACCAATCGACGTCTCCAATTGAATCACTTCTCTCCCATTTGAAAGCTTCTAAAAAGTTTCTAAAAAGTTAAACCATAAATTTTAAGGTTTACTTTTTTTTTCTAAACCATGAATTCTTCGTATTCGGAACTTAATTTTTCAGCTAACCTTTTTGTTAACGATAATTTCACTCCTAATCTCCTCCAATCGTCTCTTCACAGCTCTCAAATTCACCCAAATATTGTTGGTGTTGAAAATCCTATGATTTAAATAATGAGCTTGAAAAACAAAGAATTACTTGAAGACTCTTGTGCTACAAAAGTCATCAAGGTGTTGAGGAGGGACTTGCGGGATCTCGAGATGCATGATGTGATTGTCAATCTCGATCAACGTTCCACCCTAGATTATTAATATCTTTGATAATAATCCAAAATCTAGTTTAACCAAAAGTTAATACGATTTTGTAGACTTTATATTTTCTATTTGATGACCTACCGTATTTCTTCGAATAGAAGACCGCGTAAAGAGTATCATCGCGTACTCCTGCGTCGCAGCCCTTTTTAAAATTTCTTTTCTGCCTAAAAGCTTTCAATCAAGTGCTATAGAGCTGGAAAATGGCTCAAAAATCTGTTAGCTCATGTGGTATTTTTGAGCCATTTTTCAGCTCTATAGCACTTCATTGAAAGCTTTTATGCAGAAAAGAAATTTTAAAAAGGGCTGCTACGCAGGAGTACGCGATGATACTCTCTTTACCCGGTCTTCTATTCGAAGAAATACGGTAAACCAAACAGCTTTGCCACGTCGTATTTTGGGTTACTGTATTCAGTGGGTATAAAACTAGAGTTTTTCAATAAAAATTTCATTCTGATCATTATTGTTAGCAGTTTTAGTAAACTCATTTGTTAATCTTTTTCTGAAAATTATACAAAATGAGATTTTGTACACTTTTTAGACGTTGAATTGAATGAATTGAATGAAATGAAAGTTTTTTCAAGTAAGAATACAAAAATCAAGTTTGTTGACTAATGAAAGTTGTCCAAAAAATAAGCAATCAACCTTTATGTCAGCCTGTGTCTTCAGAGTACACTCCATTGCGTACTCTGCATCAGCATCAACGAAAAACTGAAATTAACTATTGGGTTGGTGAATTGAAAACTTCGGGCTATTGTCATAGGTGACAGTTTGAGCACTTTCTTCAAAAGAAGTGAAAGTAGGGAGTGAAATTTAAACAAACAAATGTTTACAGATTCACAAAGCTTGAGAAATGTCGGAATGATTTAGCAAAATATTATCTGCAGCTAATCATTTTTGTTTTATTGGGTTGGTGAATTGAAAACTGCGGGACTTTGAACTAAAATTTATTCAACATAAAACCATCAATTCATTCCAAATAATTTCCATTATTATTGACGACTTCTGCCCATTTTACAGGCAATTTGCGGATTCCTCTTTCGTAGTAGGATTTTGGTTTTGAATCGAAAAACTTCCAAAACCAATTTTTGACTGCTTCTTCCGAATCGAAGTGTTCTCCCGCAAGCTCATTACTCATGATCCGGAATAAATAGTAATCAAAAGGGGCGAGGTCCGGACTGTATAGGGAATGCGCCAAAAGTTCCCAAACAAGGCTATTTATTTTAGAGCGATTCAGTTTTGCAACATCAGGGCGAATTTTATTATATTGGGTTGTTGAATCGAAAACTGCCGGACTTTGAACTAAAATTTATTCAACATAAAGCCATAAATTCATTCCAAATAATTTCCATTATTATTGACGACTTCTGCCCATTTTAAAAATCAAAAATGGAGGACTGGAGATGTCCCAGTTTGAGCACTTTCTTCAAAAGAAACCCATTTTAGTGTCAATAGAAAAGTTGTAGAGGATCAAAAATTAGGCTTATAGCCAAATTTCCAAAAAGATACACTTAGTAGTTTCGGCTTAAAATACAAGTTTTGGGAAAATTCGTAAATTTGGCATTTCTTGAAACCAGTTTTTGAATCGTTTTGAAAATTCGGAGATAAGCTTAATTTTTGATTCTCTACAACTTTTCCATTGACACCAAAAGGGGTTTCTTTTGAAGAAAGTGCTCCAACTATCACATATGACGATAGCCGGCAGTTTTCAATTCACCAACCCAATAGATTGAAATTAGCCTTGATTTGAGGAGAAGTCAATGTCCAATTTGAGGATTCGGAGCCGGCCAATTTGAGGATTCGGAGGGCGAAGAGAGAGGGAAGGTGGTCATGTAAAGGCCCTGCGCCAGACGACGAGCGATTACGTGGGCCTACAAAGAACACGCAGAACACACAAATTTTAAGCGAAACTACTAAGTGTATCTTTTTGGAAATTTGGATATAAGCTTGATTTTTGATTCTCTACAACTTTTCCATTGACACCAAAATGGGTTTCTTTTGAAGAAAGTGCTCAAACTGTCACATATGACAATAGCCCGCAGTTTTCAATTCACCAACCCAATATTAAATCCTTTCTTAGGCTTTTACTTTCTGCTTTTGCTTGTGCTTTTAAAACAAAGAAATAAGTGAACTAGAAAACTTGTGTTTCCATACAGAACATAAAGTACACCTTTTAGTATTCTCACTTGTGCAATAGCTGGCTCAATCACAGCTCCAGTGTTATCAATATTGGAAACAAAGATGATATCCCTGCCCTCAGCCAACAGTCTATCCAATTCTCCAGAAAATGCTAATGAAGCAAAGATGTTTCCATGGCCAGGAGGATACCATCTTAAACTTTAGAATCATTAGAATCATTCAAATCATTAGAATCATTCGAATCATTAGAATCATTCGAATCGTTTTTAGAGTTTACTTGCCTCTCACTTTCTTCCTCTACCGGTAAAAGAGTATCCGAATAAATTCTTGGACATCGACTTTGCTCAAATTGTCGCACTGCTCTACCAGCAAGCTAAAATAAAGACAAAATTCTTGAGATTAACTAAAATTTGCGTAATAGAAAGAATTTCTTATCTCTTTTCTATTATTTTGAACTTTCAGATCTCTGAACTCACCCTTTCAGTTGTTTCAGTGAATGTGTTGAACGAATCCATCAATAAAAGCGGAATCTCAGACTTATGCTTCTCATTGAATATCGAAAAAATAATAAAATAAGAAAAGTAACTTATAAACTTGTACCTTAACTTGTTTAAACGCTAGATCAAGAAACGAGAAGCCGTCTTTCACTCCGATGAAACTCTTTGGTCCTTGACAACCCATTGAAGTGCCCAAACCTCCATTCAACCTCACAACAACAAGCCTAAAGAATTTATAAATCTTGAAGTCAATTTATTTAAATCCAAACCTATCCAAGAAAGTTTTCTTTGAAGAATTAAATGGTGGTAATTCATCGAGATTTCTTTGCACTTTTTCTTTTATGAAACTCCACTTTTTCCAATCAATATAAGCATTTTCACTCAACAATTGTGAGTACAATTTTTTGAAGACAACTTCATCGAATTTTGATTTCTAAAAGATTTTCTTTATTATTCTTTATGATTTCTAAAGATTTTCTTTATTATTCTTTATGATTTCTAAAGATCTAAAGATTTTCTTTGATGTTTTTATTACTTCATCATTTCCAGTTGATTTCTCATACCATTCATCAAGTCTATTCAGCAATTCATTTCTTCTTTGCGCATCGATTTTCATCTTTCTAAAGTTCAAACTGATTGCAATAGAAGATTTCAATAGAATATACAAAAGCTAATAACTTGAAGCTTTTAAAGATCACTTGAAAGGTGAAAAAAGTGAAATTACGAATCTTGACAGCTTGTTCAGCTATTGTAGTAAAGCAAAACTAACTATAAGAAGCTTTACAGTAAAAGTTTATTATTGAATTCTTGTTTTTTTAAAAGAGTTTGCTATTGAATGTAAGTTTATATTTAGATTTTTATTGTTTGCAGATTACAATCGAAGATCTGACCTCAGAGATTTAAGAAAACATTAGCAAAAATAGCCATGACGTGTTCTTTTTGCCCGCACAAACCTCCAACGTGGCACTTTTGAGTTGGTAGAAATCAAGGGAATCATTGGGAATTGTTAAAATATGTTAAATCTTTCAAATTTATTGATTTAAAATTAACTTCCTTTGATCTACTGCTTACTTTCAGCCGACTGACACAACTTTTGAAACACTTGATCGATAGCTCTTGAAACACTTGATCAATAGCTCTCAAAATCTTCAATTTACGAAATTCTCACTCAATTTCTCGCAATTTTAAAACTTTTATTTATATTTTGATTCCATTTCTTCAATATTTTGTTGTCTATTAAAATTCCATTTCCTTGTTTATTATGGTAAAAATGGTCCCATTCAAGGGAATCATTGGGAATTGTTAGAATATGTTAAATCTTTCAAATTTATTGATTTAAAGTTAACTTCCTTTGATCTACTGCTTACTTTCAGCCGACTGACACAACTCTTGATCGATAGCTCTTGAACACTTGATCGATAGCTCTTGAACACTTGATCGATAGCTCTTGAAACACTTGATCAATAGCTCTCAAAATCTTCAATTTACGAAGTTCTCACTCAATTTCTCGCAACTTTAAAACTTTTATTTATATTTTGATTCCATTTCTTCAATATTTTGTTGTCTATTAAAATTCCATTTCCTTGTTTATTATGGTAAAAATGGTCCCATTCAAGTGTTGGGTTTCTTTTTTTTTTTCAATGATTAACTGAACAAATATTAAAGTGAGAGGCTTACAGTTAGACAAATAGAAAGAACTTTTAACAATATTATTTTGATTAAAAGTGAATGGAATAATATTTATCTAATATGGGCTTATAGATGAGCATTGAAAAATTCTTAGCCAAGCTTTAAGCTTTAAGTTTTGCAAATGACTCGACTTTTCATTAGATTTATACTAACAACAAAAGTTCCTACAAGAAATTGACAAATTCAGTGCAATAGAAACGATGTGTTTCCATTCTCTAGCACAAAGTATACAGTAAAACAAAGTAGAGTAAATCTAGTCTTATTTGACCCCTAAATTTTCTATCTTCTTTCTCAAAATCTTCGTTCACCCATTTACCCCCGCTTTTTTTTTACCTCATTCAAGATCCCCAGTTCTCCAATTTCTTTCTCTTTTATTTGTCAAAAGAGAAAGAAAAAAGAGGGAAAAGAGCGTTGGAGAGGGGTGGACGCATGTGACCAAGGCGACGTCCACACACAAACACACACACGCACATAAACAGATCCCCTTTCGCTCTTTTCTTCTTTTCTTCTTTTCTTCTTTTCCTTCTTTACCCCCATCCTTTCTATCATTAAAAATTGACTAAAAATAACCCCACCTAGCACTAAAAATGGAAAAATTCGCGTCATCACCCATTCAATGAAAGATAATACGTCAAAACTATTTTATCTGATAAATTGACACTGTTATCTAAAATAGATCTATCTAAAAATAGATCTATTTTTACGTTCAAAGAGTTTCAAACGTTTTTTTACGTTCTACGTTCAAAGGATTTGTGAATAATTCATGAGTTTCTATGTCTTTGGTCTTTGATCTTTGGACGAAAAACATTCAGTGAAAAACATTCATTCAAAATAGGAACTAGATTGGAACCGTACGCAAATCATTTACTGAAATTGTTATAAGTTGAAACTTTGACGCAAATGATTAAAGAAAATGAAAGAAAATTGTAAAAGCAAGACAAAATGATTAGGATATATATCTTGCAGTCTTGGAACGAGAATCAAACGAATATCAGTGATCTGTGTCAAGGCCATTGATAGTAGTTGATTATTTTTCAAACAAAAGTACAACAATATAGAAAAATACGCGAGTTATTGTCCTTATAAATAACAATTTATGTTTTTTAGTTAACAATTGAGATTAATTGTTATACAGTTGCATTTCCAGCTCTTCATTTCCAGCTCTTCATTTCCAGCTTAAAGCTCTTCCAACTCCAGTTTCAAATCTTGGAATCCTTTTTTGTTGTTGTCTTTTACTTCTAAATCTTTTAAGTACAAGTTTTAGTTGGTACAACATCTCAAAAATTAAGCTTACCGAACTGTTTCAATTTATAATCCAGTTATAATCAAATCCATTCAATTTCTAAGTCATTAAAGTATTGGATTAAAGCATTAAAGTAGGAACTGTATTGGAACCGTATTGGATCAAAATGGGAACTAGATTGGAACCGTATTGGAATCGTATTGGAGCAAAATAGGAACTAGATTGGAACCATATTCGAACCGTATTGGATCAAAATAAGAACTAGACTGGAACCGTATTGGAATCGTATTGGATCAAAATGGGAACTAGATTGGAACCGTATTGGAATCTTATTGGATCAAAATAGGAACTAGATTGGAACCGTATCCGAACCGTATTGGATCAAAATAAGAACTAGATTGGAACCGTATTGGAATCGTATTGGATCAAAATAGGAACTAGATTGGAACCATATTCGAACCGTATCGGATCCAAATAAGAACTAGACTGGAACCGTATTGGAACCGTATTGGATCAAAATGGGAACTAGATTGGAACCGTATTGGAATCTTATTGGATCAAAATAGGAACTAGATTGGAACCGTATCCGAACCGTATTGGATCAAAATAAGAACTAGATTGGAACCGTATTGGAATCGTATTGGATCAAAATAGGAACTAGATTGGAACCATATTCGAACCGTATCGGATCCAAATAGGAACTAGTATCAGGTTTAGATACTTAACTTTACTCTAACCTTTGACCTGTTTTACTTGACACTAGATGACACATAAGCTTACAGTGACAAAAATTCATTTCCAGGATTGTATAGTATTGTACCTTCTAGTCTATTATATGTCACAAATAGATTTGTGACAGCTTCTTCTCTCTTTTCTCATTCCATTTCGTTCATTTCAGTCAGAAATCACAAAAATCCAACGTTTTTCTGATCGAAAAAACCCTTTTGTGATACCGAGAGCTCTTTGAGACCAAACAGACAGAGATCACCACCGATCTTTTCTCGAATATTCTTTTCCCTATTCTTTTCAATCCGTCACTTGTCGCGTCGCGTATCTCTTCGTGACGTGCGGTCGCATTGATTGGATCTAAAGAGAAAAGTGGGCGTGTCCTTGCCGAGTCTGACTCATTCCCCATCTATCCATTCCCCTTTTCACCCGAAGCGATTTCGCAATCCCCTTCTTCATAAATTTTACGCTAGCTAAAAGGAAAGACCCCGCCTGATAATCCATCGATCATTTTTCTAGTTTTCTTTATTCATAACAATCAACAAGCTGTATCCGAACGAAGTCTACTCCCTTGGCGATCGACGCCCCCGCAATATGGAAATGGTAACCTTTTTTTGATCATGTGATTTCAAGGAAGGCTTCTTTTAAATCTAAAATTAATCAAGTTCTTCTAGAATTTTCTTTAAACTTTCTAAAGCTCGTAATCGATAATAGAACAAAGAAAAGGTTCTTTTTGATAAAAATCACGTGACTTCTTACTGTCAGCTTAAACAGCTTAAACAGCTTAAACTTCTTCAAGAACATTCCAAAGCATTCACTTTAATTCAATCAATATTTTAGGACAAGGATCAAGACGACTTTATGGATAATGAGCCTTTCCGCCATGATGATGGCAGCTATACAAATCTGAATCCAATGACCTTTCATCACGTGAATCCACTCTTCGCGAGACAGGTTTGTCAGCACTAAACTTTGGTTGTTTTAATTGATCATTTGAGTATTGATCAGTATTGATCAAAGCACAAATATAACTAGTTCTAAAGTTTAATAAAAGTAGAATCTTTAATAAATCTCTACTTTAGAAACTCTTTACTTTAGTTTTAAATCCAATTTTAATCTTGTAATCAAAAAAATTCATAGATAAAACAAAAATTTAGAAAGTTATATGCGAATTTTCTTCACAAGTGTAAGAGCTTTAACTTGAAAAACCTTTATAGAGCTTTCCCTTTTCTTTAGAAACAATATCAAACCACAAAAGGTGGAAAAATCGAGAAAAATCGGCTTTACATACTTACAGGCATCTATTTTAAGCTAAAATCCTTGATTTTTTTTTCAGTTACTCGTTTCAGCTTAAAGTATTGAGCATAGAATAGCGTCTGGCTACTTCGTTAAGCCACTTATTTCCCTTTTTGTAACAACTTTTAAAAGTGAAATGCAAATTTTAAAAAACAAATCCCCGGTTTTCCCTTTAATAATCGACTTGAATCAACGAAATTTTCTCTCTTTCAATTTTTTTCTGAATAGTCACCACTTGCCCATTTCCATTTTTCTATTTTCATCTCATCTCAACCGATGATCTCATCGAAATGATTGATCAGACATTCCAATGATTATTCACTTTTCATCCATTCATCGATATGCCTTGCTTTTTTGTTTTGTCTCATTCGTTTTTTCCCCTTTCACCCAATCAATCTGATCGCTAGCTTATAATAAGAAATTTTTACAGAATTATTGATACAATTTTGTATTTTGATGCTCTCTAGTCCTTGTACAGACACCATGGCGCTTTTTGAGTTTCGAAAATTTGCGTAACTTAAACAAATTCCTGTCCTGAATAGATAAGACCGTGAAAACAGCTGATTCTTTAGCAAAAATTTTGATATTTTATGACTTCTGCAAGGAGAAATTAGAGTTTAAGGCTTGAGATTGCAAGATTTAATGCTTTTCTTGGTTCTACGCAAGCTTGCTTATCGACTTTACTGTAGAGAAGATAAAACTGAAAGCTGAAAGTCTTATCGTTAGCATTCAGCATGTTAGCATTCAGCATTCAGCATTCAGCAGTCTAAGAGATCAAGCAAGCTCTCGCTCTTGATTGAGACATGGTACTTGCAATACCTGCACTTAATCTAATCAAGAATCACAAGTTCTGAAAAGCTCTAGCTTCACAATATTCCCTATTTGGCCAAACCCTAAGCATCCCTCAAAACCCGAGCCGCTTGTTTACATCTTTTTTGCGCACATGGTCATAATGGTCCCCTTTTTCACCTCTCCGTTTCCCACAGCTGATTGACTTGCCCTCGTGTTGTCCTTATTCTTTTTCTTTTCCCCCAATTTTTCTTATTTATCTCTTTGTGAGGAGAGTTGTGTACGACTTTGGACGCACGCGCAGCCCGCATCGCTTACCTCACCCCCACATTCTCCTCCCCTTTCATCCCCACTCACTTTTATGTCTCGAAAACTCTTCACCATCGACTTCTTCTCATATCTTGCACAATGTTATTCTGAGCTTTACATTTCAGCCTCTAACTATAAGAATTAGTTCTGGTTTTTGATTTTTGATAAGGATTTTCGTTGCTTAAACTTTTGATTCTTCTTGATTCTTCTGTTTCTTTGAATTGTGCAATCTTTAAAGTCCAAGAATATTTACAGTAAAGAAAATTAACCTTTACTTCTTCTATATTTAGTTTTAAGTCTTGCAAGTCTTTATAAGCTTTGCTCAAAGTCATTCTCTTTCTGTAACTTGTGCAATCTTACAGACTCAACCCTTCGAAACAGCCATTTTTTTTTCTCGTTTTCACATTTCTGCTTTGTAGCCTTTACTTTTCTTTTTCATTCTTTTATTCTTTCATTCTTTTACTTCTGAATCTCATTACAGTATTGATCTTTCAGAATTTCTCACTACAAATCTACAAAAAAAAAATTCATCGACATTGCATTTCCCGTCATTTAAAACCGATGAAGCCACAGCTGCTGCGCAAAGGCGTAATTTTTTATTGTTCATTAAGATTTTATAAATTTTAACTCATATCCAATCCAATTTCTTGAACTTTTACCTAAAATTTCTTCTATTCAAGGAACTTTTCCCAATTGGCATTCATCCAATTCTTTGCTTTTATTTTCGAAAATCCATAGCTTCCCAAAAATCACGTGAACAAAACCGAAAAAATCGCGTGATGACAAATGAGAGAATAGAGAAATTGAGGAGACTTAGAGAAACGGTCGAAAATTCATTTGATGACTCATCTCCGTCACAAACCTTCCGGCACATTCTACAGCTGTTTTTCTTTCGTTTCTCTTTTCTCACTCTCTTTTTTGCCACGTCATTACTTGTCTTGATTCCTTTTCTTTCATCCACCCCCATTCCTGGATCCTTCATTTGAGTCCAAGCAAAAGTTCAGCTTCATTTGAGTCCAAGCAAGCAGTCACTACTTCTAGTATCTTTGCTTTATTCCTAAATCTCATTCATCTATGCTATTTATTAAATCCTCTCCATCTATGGTTGGTTTTAAGGAAATTTTTGGGAACTCTTTGAGACAAGTTTACTTTGAAGACTTCAGCGTAAAGCTGATTAAATTGATCACTAGTTAAAGTGCTTCATTTATTCACTTGCTATTTACTGAACTCTAAAATTTTTATCTATAGTGCCTATGAACTATTTGAGTTGTTTTTCGTGTAAACAAGGCTGAGTGCGCAAGACTCGTCTGTTTTTCAGATCTCTAGTTAGAAAATTGGCGTAAACAAGCGAATTCTTGAATAGAACAAGGCATCTAAGGGACCTAAAACATTAAAGATTTGAAGAATATATTCAATAAACAATTGTGTAGCTTACAAGGAGAATTTCTAGAAGTCTTAAGAGATCACTTGGCCTGACAATTGGTTAGCTTGGCTTGGTTGGCTTGGCTTGGTTGGCTTGGCTTAGTTGGCTTGGATTGGTTGGCTTGGCTTGGCTAGTTGGCTAGAATCATTTCAGTAACTGATTTTGAATTCCTTGAAATTCGGCTAAAGATAAATAATCATTGAAAGGCTAAAATCTGTATTCATCCATTGAGAAAACTCTATTATTCAATTTTCAATTGAATCTTCTAGATTGTTCAGACTGTTTTCCAGGAATTTGTCTAGGCAATGACCTTTGTAAATGCTAAGATCTATCATTCATCCAACTTTCAAAGTCTCTTCAAACATCTCATTCTCAACTCTTTCTCCACCTTTCTCGAATCCTCTTTCCATTCTCCATTCTCCTTTCTTCAAATAGTTCATTTGTCCTCATCTTGCCCTTTCCTATTCCCATCGTCTGACTCGCTTGGAATTAGCTACGGGAAAATATTTTCCTTTTTGCTCTTTTTGGTCTCATCCTTGCCCCGCCCACTCTTTTTTATATGACCCGCCCCTTGGGCAATGAAAACCCCTCCAAATCTTTATACATCCAAATCATTCAGACCAACAAACTCACATTTCTTACTTTATGCATTACGGTACGCCCCGCAACGCTAGTAATATGTATTACCCGTTTCCACGCTTTGGGGTAAGGGTTTAACTATAAGATATCTTTGCTTAATAGCTATAAGATATCTAAATGATATAAGATATCTAAAGTTATAAGATATCTAATGATATAAGATATCTAAATGATATAAGATATCTAAAGATATAAGATATCTAAATGATATAAGATATCTTATCTTAAAGCTTTTATGAGTCAGATATGAGAGTGATATTCTTGTTAATTCAAATATTTTAGGATTCGCTCTCAATCGCGGCCGAGCTGCAGGAAAAGGACAAACAACGCAATCCAAATCAAAACTCTTTCATGGAAGCTGATGTGAACATTGAGAATTACTTGAAGGTAACCTTTCTGGCTAGATTTTAAGGCATACTGGTCATACATTAAGTTTCCCAAGAAGATTCTTAAACATATATTTTCAAGTTTCTAAGTATAGGATAAGATTCTAAGGTTCTTAAATAACATCAACGAAGTAAACGAAAAGTTCAACACCTTGAATCCCTTCCGTAGTCTATTCTGATCATTTTTAATTCTTTTCACTACATCACAACCACTACAAATACTCCAAACTACACCATGATTCAATATTGCACAATATTACGTAATACTTTAATCTTTTCCTTTTACAGGAGCTTCAAAACGAGTCGATCTACAGTGACGATCCGATTCAAGACGATCCAGACATGGCGAAAACCGCCTTCGCCATGGAACAATCAGCCGCTTATGAGTCAATGCACAACAATCGTCTCTCTCATCTACCACATGGTGTGTCGGCTACAGCCATTTCATTTCCCGGACACAATATCAGTCTCGGTCAAATCGAGCAGACCCACCGTGGTCCTATGCTTTCAGATTCTTCTTTGTTAGGTACAAAAAGATAGGTCTAGAATAGTTGTAGTCAAACTAAGCTCAGAATTCTTCTTCAAATTATCCTCAAATTTTCAGATGATGGCATGGATGATGTGTTCAACTTTAACACTTTACCATCAAGCTCTCATCATCAAGGACCGATCATCAGCACTTCCACTGCACCACTCGTCAACAAGGTTCTTATTCTGAATTTTTTTTTTCTAGAAACTTTATTGAATAGATACAAATGTGCTGTGGAAATTTTTTTGATTTATAAATTCTACCTTTAGGTCAAGCACGAACCATGGGAGGATGAGCCATCGACCTCGGCGATCACTCGACCAACTGTAACTGCTCCAAAAGCCTCTGTCCCGAAATTCGCCACTCCAGCTCTTCCAAAAGCTGGCTCTTCATCAAAGGGAAATGGCTACACCTCAACCACCAGAGCCAGGAAATACAACTTGAAGCCAAAAGAGGTACAATACTCTTACAGTATTATCTTTCTAGTCCACTCGTAAATACTCTAGAACGTCATCTCAATAATGACAGTCTAACTTTAAACGCTCTGTTCTCCGCCTGCTTTATGCTCAACTTTGCACTTTGGTGTCAAATGATAGCTCTTGTAATCTAATATTTTTTTCGTATCAAAAGTTTATTAGGGAAAATCTAAGAGCTGAGAAAAAATGATTTTCTAAAAAGAAGTTAGGCTACGCTACGCGACGAGGTCTATCCTCTTCTCTTTCTCGTTCTTGAGACCCTACACTACTGGACAATAAAATATCATATTTGAAAAAAGATCATCGCTTTTGCCCGTCTGTAACTCCCTTGTCTTTACCGTATTTCTAAATATTAATACTACCATTGTGTAGCCATTGAAAAGAGCTTTCAGAAAATGTATAACACTAATAGTTTAAACTCAAAGAAAGGGAGTTACAGACGCGCGAAAGTGACGATCGTTTTTCAAATATAATATTTCATTGTCCAGTACTGTAGGTAAAAAGGAATTGCATTAAATGCTTAAAATGCTCTCCGTTTACTTTAATATACTTACTGAGCCACTTTCGAACGATCAAACTCGATCACTGAAATCTTACTCCAAGTTCGACTCAAAGCGACTTTAAGCTTGTTGACAATCATTATTTGACGATCGTTTTTCAAATATAATATTTCATTGTCCAGTATTGTATATTGTAATTCATAAATCGTCTATATCGTAATCCATAAATCATTTCAAATTTCAGGAAAAGGAGACCACTAACTACAAGATCAAGCGAATGAGAAACAACGATGCTGTTCGCCGAAGCCGTATGAAGGCAAAGGAAGAGCAAGAAAAGAGGGACAAAGAGTTGATGGATCTGAGAAATGAGAAAAACAAGGTTGAGCAGGATAACAAGGTTGGTAAAGGGTAATGATGGAAATTGATTGACCTAACTAGGAATCTTGTCGCTCTCAGGATAGACAAAATATTGTTGCTACAGATTTTACTCCAAGCTTCCACTCACTGAATATTACTGCTTTTCTACATAATTTCAAACTAAAATTGATTATTATAGCAAGAATTTAAGTGACTTACGATTAAGCATAGCTTCAAAAAGTTTAACTCTCAAATTTCCAGCACCTTCGCGCCACTCTTCTCGAGATTCAACGCAAATGTCGTTGTGGTCATATCGGCAATTTGAAGATTTAAGAAATAGCCTTTCAACTGAATACGTTAAGAAATTTTAAAGCTTTTAATCCTCATTGAGCAGTTTGAAAGAGAGACTCTATTTCCCCCCCCTCGACCAACTTTAGACGCCTCGTTCTCAGCCCCATTTTGAGATATTTTTATTTTTAATATACCAAAAGATAGAAGACATTAAAGGCTATCTTTTGGTATATTAAACATAAAAATATCTTAAAATGGGGCTGAGAACGAGGCATCGAAAGTTGGCGAGTTGGCCTAATCCTCTAATAAACTTCCCCTCGCCCTCGCCAACTTTCGACGCCTCGTTCTCAGCCCCATTTTAAGATATTTTTATTTTTAATATACCAAAAGATAGCCCTTAATGTCTTCTATCTTTTGGTATATTAAAAATAAAAGTATCTTAAGATGGGGCTGAGAACGAGGCGTCTAAAGTTGGTCGAGGGGGGAAATACGGTAGCGCAAAATAGAAAACAGCTTCAGCTTTGCTAATTCAAAAACCAGTATAAATTCGAAATTTACAGAAAAGCTCGTTTTCTATTTTACACTATTTTCTTGATAATCAAATCTATTTTTTCTAAAAATTGCCTTCAGCTTACCACAATTTTCTGAGCCTTCAATTTCAGCACCCATTGTGACCCTGTGATCTATCAAATAAGAATCTTATAACTCTCTAAGTCATCATTTTGTCAAATAATTTCGTAAAATACTTCAGCTTTTGTTAAATCTAAAAAAAATCAGCTTCAATTTAGCCCTTTCATTTCACATTTCCTTCGTGTAAATACTTTACATTTTCGTGCTTTCTCTAATACATTTTTGAATGCTAATTTTTCCATCCGAGTGACTAAAAGTTGAGTTTTTTCTCTTAAGAAATCTATCTCTTTATCTCTTTTCTTAAAATTTACATTGGAAATGCTGGTATCATTCATTTTTCTCTCCCATTTTTCTCGGTTTCGCTTAAAATTTCTAGAAATTTTCAGGTGTTTTTCATTTTTTTTTTCACAGATTTTGCCATTTTTGCGTTTGTTTTTTTTCTCTTTTTTTTTTTTTGCTTCTTCTTTTAAATTTGTCAGAAATAAAGACTGTTTTGGAATTTGTTTTTAAGGAAAACACAGGAAATGATTAAGAAGAGTAGAAAGAAATGAGTAAAAGACATTAAAAAGTCTTACAAAGCGAACCTTCCAAAGTTACTCCAAAGTCCAAGGTTATGATGTGATATAGGTGTCAAAAGAAAGGCCTGAAAATGTACGTTCAGAAACTGGTTTTAAAAATCGCTAATCGGCAAAACGCAAAAAGTTATAGTCAATTGAATTTCGAAAAAAATTAATGCTTTTCTTTGTGGTACACTGAATTTTGGAGGAAAGCGGAAAGGTTTTCCTTTCCCTTTGTTGGTTTTTAGGATGGCCAGCTTGTAGCCTAGCCTAGCCTAGCCTAGCCTAGCCTAGCCTAGCCTAGCCTAGCCTAGCCTAGCCTAGCCTAGCCTAGCCTAAGCCTAGCCTAAGCCTAGCCTAGCCTAGCCTAGCCTAGCCTAGCCTAAGCCTAGCCTAAGCCTAGCCTAGCCTAGCCTAGCCTAGCCTAGCCTAGCCTAAGCCTAGCCTAAGCCTAGCCTAAGCCTAGCCTAAGTCTAGCTCATATTGTAACTAGCGGGTAACTTGGGAAGATTACCTTGTTAGAGATCATGTAAAAATAAAAAATGAAGCAATATTTGAAGAGATACTGGAAAATACTGAAATTTAGACTTAAACTTTTTGCAAATTTAGCTCAGATTTGTCTTGAATGAAACTTTTTTTGTTCGTAAACTGACTTTCATAAAGATCGGCTTTCTTTTTTTAGCTCATTGAACAAATCAAAGCCAATCAAACAAAGCACAAATGATTTTATCAAACAATTTCCCCTTTTTGACTTTGAAACTCCTCTCTTTTTCTTTGAAAATCACCGATCATTGAACATTTTCGAAAAAAGCATCCCATCCCCTCACTCCAAATTCATTTATTCGCCTTATCAAGTTCATTTTTTCTTCACTAAATGCATTTTTCTAGTATTTACTTGTTTTCATTCATCATTCTCAACTTTGTGCCAACGATTTTATCATTTGGCCCATTGAGCTCACACTTTGTTGAATGGTTGAAAAGGTAAAGTGTCGCGAAAGGGCAAATCATGACGTTTGTTTCGTGGGACTTTTTTTTGTCCTTTTGTTTTGTCCTTTGACCTATCTTTTTAAAGTGTAAACTTTAAAGGTCTATTGCACTAAAATATTCTTTTTGATAGTGAAGACTGGAGTAGATTGTTGTGTCTAGAGGTTTTTCTTTTACAAATGACAAATTACAAATGAAGGGACTCACCTATTTACTTAACTTTAGCTTTAAAAGTCTAGCTTTAGAATTAGATGGTTTAGATACAACTTAAATGACGATTGTTTCTAATTTTTAGTTGATAGGCTTATCGCGATCGAATCAAGCTCTAAACTTGAACACAAAAAAACACCAAAACTAGTCGTTTCGACTATACTAAAGAGTTTGTTCTCATTCTAACAATTGTAAAAATTGTAAAAATTGTCCCCATTCTAGGCCAACTAGGTAACGCATTGAATTCTTTGACAAACAATTCCAGAAAGAGTGTGTTTCTTGGTCATAAAGTATGTTCAGCTCAGTTAGAAGATCAAAACCGATGTAAACTATTGACAAGATCTTATAGGCAAGGTTCTATAGACAAGATTCTATAGACAAGGTTCAATAGACAAGATTCTATAGACAAGGTTCAATAGACAAGATTCTATAGACAAGATTCTATAGACAAGGTTCTATAGACAAGATTCTATAGACAAGGTTCAATAGACAAGATTCTATAGACAAGATCTTGTAGACAAGATTCTATAGACAAGATTCTATAAACAAGATTCTATAGACAAGATTCTACAAACAAGATTCTATAGACAAGATTCTATAAACAAGATTCTATAGAAAAGATTCTATAGACAAGATTCGATAGACAAGTTCCTATAGATTTATAAAGATCTCCATATTGAAACAGAATCTTAAAGGCTTTACATTCCTATCCTACCACCTGATCACTATTAGTCATTATTCATTTAGCAATCACTACGATCACTACGATTTCTCGAGGCTAGACTATGGAATCAATGGAAGCTTTGGAGGGAAAATTGATGAACATGATCAAGTATGAAATTTCAATCTCTTTTCCTATTCTTAAGCGATCCTATTCCTATCAGAAACTCTTTCCCTAGATTGAACGAACGCCGATTATATTTTTCCATGGAAACTCGGACGCGGCGTTGACCACAAATCCGCCAATGTTGAATGGATTCGTCGAGCATTTAACCTATTATACAAATAAGGTAAAAGGGATTTTAAAAAGGGATAAAGAAATTCTTCAGGGCTACAAACTTTCCGAACTCTACTCAACTTCTTGGCAAGACAATGATATGAAAAAAGCAGCGATCAGGTAGCCGATTATCGATTTTATAATTCTATGAAAGAAAGGAAATAGTAAAATTTAAATCTAAGCATTAAAATCTAAATCTAAGCTCCCCAAATCAGTTTTTACTTGCAACTTTCAGAACTCATGATTGTGAAACAATACAACGACTTCGAGCCTTTATGAATGCTGTTCTTGGTTATACTCAGGCTTTAAAGATTAGGTTAGACAAATTCTATAATATCTATTTATAAAATTATATAGAAAATAGATATAAATGTAGAATAATTATATATTGGATTGTCCAGTTCTACAGGGTGCGTCATAATTATTGCAACAAGAGTTCAAAGACCGTTTGTGATGTCAAGAATGTGATGTCATGGGCGTGTAAAGCCAATAACAATCAAAATTGGACCTTCATGCAAGATGGAGCTCCCGCTCACACGAAGAGGACGGTTCAGGACTGGTGTGTGGCCAACTTTCCCTCAGTGATCACCAAGGATGAATGGCCTCCAAACTCACCGGATCTCAATGTGATGGACTTTTCCATTTGGGCAATCTTAGAGGCTAATGTCTGCTCTCGAAAACACAAAGGATGATTTGACCAAAGGATGGAAGGCGATTCCTCAAGATGACATTCGGGCCGTAGTGGAGGCATATCCGAACCGATTAAGGGCTGTTATCAAGGCAAAAGGCGGTCATATCGAATGATCTCTTGTTTCCTTATTTGTTACTGTTAAATAAAGCTATTTCTGTTTAAAAATCTTCTTCCAGTGAAACTTCTTGGTGTGCAATGCCTTGAGTATCTTGTTGCAATAATTATGACGAACCCTGTCAATGCGCGTTTTTTACTATTTTGTAAATTTCTCAAGATACCGAAATCAAGAAAAAGATATATATGAGTATTATTCGAAAGCTGAAGATCTCCTCTACATTTTGATATAAAAATCTTTTGAATTTGTTCAGCTTTTGGGCAAATTGACTGCACAGAAGAAGAGGTGGCCAAAAAATGGATGGGTGCCTTTGGATCAAGTTTTGGCTCCGCTCAAATTGAGTTAACTGTTTGATATTTGGCCAATAGGTATATCAATACAACTTTTAAAAAAATATAACAATTTCAGAGCATCTTTACTTTTCTGGGCGGTTATTTTACACCATAAAACTTGAGGAATAGCTAAGCTGGAATGGGTTTTTTTGCGAAAACGACCTCTCCCTTTGTGCAGTCAATTTCCCAAAAAGTTGAATGAATTCAAAAACTTTTTTATTCCAAAATGTAGAGGAGATCTTCAGCTTTCGAATGATATATAACACTCATATACATCTGTTCGATATCTTGAGAAATTTACAAAATAGTAAAAACGCGCATTCATAACTGGACAACCCAATATAAAATAGATATAAATCTAGAAGAATTATATAGAAAATAGATAAATCTAGAAGAATTATATAGAAAATAGATAAACCTACAATAATTATATAGAAAATAGATATAAATCTAGAAGAATTATATAGAGAATTGATATAAATCTAGAAGAATTATATAGAAATAGATAAATCTACAATAATTATATAGAAAATAGATCAATCTATAATAATTAAAAACTATTAGTGTTGTCTCTCATTCAATGGGCGTCACATTAGCGAGAAAAGTGATTAAAGGAGGGAGAATTGAAGAGGGAACGACGGGTATGTCTTTAATCAACTTTTGAATCATTGAAAACTCTACAAAACTGTTTTCTACTTCTGTTTTGTACGTCACAATAAGCAAATTTAGAAAAAACGTGTGACATTGGACCTTCGTTGGCCGATCGAGTCGAGGTACATGTGGCGATCTCTGGCGGGAATCAAGGCCTTTGTACGTGTCACGGACTTTCCGAAAGCAATCAGTATCCCACTTGTAACTCAAAGGTTGGCAATCTAATTTGAGAATTATGTCTTTACATTGACTGGGAAATCTTTGAATCTTTGAATGAATAAAGTAAAAAGCTCTCCCAACAACCATTAGGATTGCTAAAATTGTTCTTTAATCAGCATATTTATTCTTGAAAATAACAAAAGAATGGACAAGAAATAGACAATTTAGAAATACTTTTTGAATCATTTTATAATTGTTGGGAACTCTCAGTCAATTTATGTCATTTTAGAAAGCTATCGTCAGACCTAGGTTTATATTCAATCAACCAAACTTTTGTATTATTTGATGAGGTCCAGTCAATGGTCACAAGGTCAATGGTCACAAGGGTCACAAGGTCCAGTCAATGATATAAAGATTAAGTTGATTGAATGCAAATTAACAGTTTGAATACAACTCTAGACTATTGACATTTTCCATCGTTATTCGCATTTCGAAGAGATCATTGATAAGCCTTCTTCTCTTCTTACCGTAAATACTGTAATAGTACCCCACCCCCTCGTACAGTCGCGTAGTCGCAAAGTTTTTTAGTATTTCATTTTTTGCAAAGCACCCGTACTTTCAAAAAATGCGTCTTTGGTATCAAAAAATAGCTGAAATTCAGGGCTATTTTTTGATACCTAAGCGCGCATTATAGCATAAACCAGTGTTGAGAAAAACTCGTTCAAAGCTAGACTACGCAACACTCCGCACCGTCATTATGGAGGTGGGGTACTATTACAGTATTTAAGGTAGGTACTGTTGACTGTACTGATGTCGGCAAAATATCTTTGAACAGATAATCCTAAACTCTTTTAAGAGTTAAAGTAAATTTTTCTGAAACTTGACAAAAAAGGAATCTTACTTGAGACTTTTGATTTGTTTTTCTTTTGATTTCACCAAAGCTGGAAGAAGGCGGCCGATTTGCGATCCCTATCGCTAAATACCAACTCTTGATTCCTCTCCGCTTTCAGTGCGGCTCGTTAGGCTCATTCAAGTTTCTTTTATCGCTGTGCTTGACCTAAAAAGCACAAAAGCTCTTAAGCTACAAGTCTAAGATCGTCTACAATTAGAGAATGTGCTTATAATGAAATATTTACGGTATTTGTACTATAGCTGAGGATTTTGGGTGCTTCTCTTGATACTTTCGTTGATAAGGCTCGATATATTGTAGTCAATTCAGTTAGCTTCAAAAAGAACAACGAACCATTGTTTGCTAAAGTGTGTCCTTTTCTGTCTTCGTACTGTAGCAACATTTCAGCTACCGTATTCTCTCCAATAGTAGTGCACCCAAGCGATATCTGAGGATTTTGGGTGCTTCTCTTGATACTTTCGTTGATAAGGCTCGATATATTGTAGTCAATTCAGTTAACATAAAATAGAAAACCAATTGAAATGAGTATATTGTTTATTAATGCAATGTTTTACATATTAGCTTTCTTTTCTTGATTGTTTTTTTCAGAAATCGCAAGCTTTTCTATTTTGAAGAGAAAATAAGCAATAATTTATTGATTTCTAATAGAAAACAGGGTAAAAACTGAAAAAAATCTTATCATATAATCTAAATAATAAATTTAAGAAGATTTCAAAATTTTCAGAATGGTTTTTGGGCCGGTGATCGATGCAATGAGAACACTGATTGCAAGCAGTATCCTCTTGAAGAGGATTGCACTCAAAGAGATTACTCTCTTTATTTAAAAGATTTGAATAATGGTGAACCAGAAGGAGAGTTCGTTTTTAGTTTATGGAGTAAAGGTAGCTGATATCTATTAACTTATTTTCTTTTCTTCGCAGCAGATGAGTTGGTGAAAGCGGGTTGCTGGAGTTGGGGACAGCCGACTTGTTTGGTTCCGGGCAGCCACGGGAAAATGATCTATGATGGATTGAGGTGATTATAACAAATAAACCTTTAACATAAGGTTTCATTTTTTTAAAATAATCTATTGATGAAATGGAAATGTAAAAAATGCTTGTAGATTTACCGTATTTTCTCTAATAGTAGTGCACCCCGGCGAGCCGAGTTGATGACTATTTTACGGTTTCCAAGCTTTTGCAGAAGCTCAACACTCTAATCCCCCACTAGATCTCATCGTTAGCTACATTTTCCGACCCCACATCGATAGGTTCTGATAAGCGGTTCTCGAGATTTCGAGCAATTTAGGCGACGCTCAAGCTTAGACTTAGGCTTAGGTCCAGGCTCAGGCTCAGGGTTAGACCTAGGCTTGGACTTAGTGCGAAGGCTAGCGGCTAGCGCCTCGCACTAAGTCTATTTGGGTTTGGGCTGAACCCCCATTTTCTGGATTAGACTTAGCCTAGGCTTAGGCTTAGGCTTGAAAATCAACGCACTATCCATCAATGAAAGCTTCAAAAAGAACAACGAAACATTGTTTGCTAAAGTGCGGCTAAAGTGCGTCCTTTTCTGTCTTCGTACTGTAGCAATATTTCAGCTACCGTATTCTCTCTAATAGTAGTGCACCCAGCCGAGCCGAGTTGATGACTATTTTACGGTTTCTAAGTTTTCACAGAAGCTCAACACTCCAATCCCAGACTAGATCTCATCGTCAGCTACATTTTCCGACCCCACATCGATAGGTTCCGATAAGCGGTTCTCAAGATTTCGAGCAATTTAGGTGACGCTCAAGGTGCACTACTAGTAGAGAAAATAAGGTAATAGAAATTGATGATTATGCAAGTACTTTCAGCCACATTGAAACTCGAGATCTTACTCCTATTGATGTCTATTCAATCCTCACCGAGAAACGAATTCCTATCAAAGTCAAACACGAGTTGTAGCAAAACTCTTTTATGAAAGTGTAATAAATTTTATAAATTCCGAAGTGATTATAAAAGAGCTTTCTAAAAAGATTTCAACACTGAAAAAGACACAACTCAATAGAATCTTTTGCTTTAAATTTATCTCAAAAGAAGTGAAGAGTTTAAACAAAGCAAAAGTAAGTTTTGACAGTTTTTTTTTGTGAATTTCTAGGTTCGTATCAGGCTCGGTAAGCAAACAGGCAAAGATTATTTGCCTGTTTTTTTTTGCTTTATCTTTGATCTATCGTAATATATTTTAATCATTTATTGTAATCAAATGTCAAAAGATATAGCAAGCGGAGAAATTTCATTTTTCAATTCAATTCCAACAATTCTGAATTTTGAATCAAAGATCCATCAAAATAAAAGTAACGAAGGAAATAAAGAATCAAATGAAATCAATTTTTAAATCTCTCAAATTTGATAAAGAGCTTTACTCTCAAAATGCTATGATATCTGGTTTGAAAAGATTTAAATAATGCTAAGAAATCGACAACATTTTGCATGGATTCATTCATTTTTCGATTGAATGAAAGATTGAATAGATTACCCTAAAGTCGCGAGTATAAGTTCTGTTTGGTTTTCGCATGCAAATTGACGGCTGTCTCCGGTGCGGTGTGTCGAGGGTTCGAACCCCGCTGCAGCATAACTTTTTTGCTTTTTAAGAACAATAATAGAAGTAAATTTATTGAGGGTTATAGCAATTTTATGCTGTTATTTGTTGCTCCGGGCGTGGCTCGGCGCGTCCGCCCTGCTCCTCTCCAGTGCTCAGTCTTATGGATCCCTCCCTGGCCTCTTCATCCGGCCAAGGCCCACATCGACGGTCGAAAGAGATGCTTCCCAGCCTCTTCTTCAACACTATCGTCTGGATGTATCCATGCACATAACAAATAGCAATGGTGATAGGCTGTCACCCTGTAGTATCCCGCGCTCCAAGAACAATAATAAAAGTTTATATAACAATAAAAATGTATAAAAACCCAACAAAAAGAAATTCAAAGCAATTAAAGCGAATGTAAATTAAGGCACAACTTATACTCGAGACTTTAGGGTACAAAGAATACAAAAGATTTCAAAAGAGAATAACTTTGCAAATCGATTCGGGAGACAAACTTATGAAGCATCAAAATTGCAAGAGATAACGAAACTTTTTCAGAGTGACCATCAGAGTCACATGAGCTCCACAAAGAAAATATTACGCCAATCTAGGCCCAATTCCAAGAAAATCCAAGCGCAAAAACTGGTTTTTGTGCGAAAAATTGATAAAAGATGATATAAAGGAATTGATAACTAAACAAAAGTAACGAAGGAAATAAAGAATCAAATAGAATCAATTTTTAGATCTCTCAAATTTGATAAAGAGCTTTACTCTGAAAGTGCTATGATATCTGGTTTGAAAACATTTAAATAATGCTAAGAAATAGAGAACATTTTGCATGGATTCATTCATTTTTCGATTGAATGAAAGATTGAATAGATTACCCTAAAGTCGCGAGTATAAGTTCTGTTTGGTTTTCGCATGCAAATTGACGGCTGTCTCCGGTGCGGTGTGTCGAGGGTTCGAACCCCGCTGCAGCATAACTTTTTTGCTTTTTAAGAACAATAATAGAAGTAAATTTATTGAGGGTTATAGCAATTTTATGCTGTTATTTGTTGCTCCGGGCGTGGCTCGGCGCGTCCGCCCTGCTCCTCTCCAGTGCTCAGTCTTATGGATCCCTCCCTGGCCTCTTCATCCGGCCAAGGCCCACATCGACGGTCGAAAGAGATGCTTCCCAGCCTCTTCTTCAACACTATCGTCTGGATGTATCCATGCACATAACAAATAGCAATGGTGATAGGCTGTCACCCTGTAGTATCCCGCGCTCCAAGAACAATAATAAAAGTTTATATAACAATAAAAATGTATAAAAACCCAACAAAAAGAAATTCAAAGCAATTAAAGCGAATGTAAATTAAGGCACAACTTATACTCGAGACTTTAGGGTACAAAGAATACAAAAGATTTCAAAAGAGAATAACTTTGCAAATCGATTCGGGAGACAAACTTGTGAAGCATCAAAATTGCAAGAGATAAGGAAACTTTTTCAGAGTGACCTTTCACATGAGCTCCACAAAGAAAACATTACGCCAATCTAGGCCCAATTCCAAGAAAATCCAAGCGCAAAAACTGGTTTTTCGTTAAAAATTGATAAAAGATGATAGAAAGGAATTGATGACTAAACAGATTGTTTTGAAAATTTGCCTTTTTGATCATCGGCGGGAGTTTTTTCGAAGACGAGATTTCGTAGATCATTTGGAAATTTGAGAAGTTGAGTCATTTTTGAAAGATTAAATAGATTACAAAGAATACAAAAGATTTCAAAAGAGAATAACTTTGCAAATCGATTTGGGAGACAAACTTGTGAAGCATCAAAATTGCAAGAGATAAGGAAACTTTTTCAGAGTGACCTTTCACATGAGCTCCACAAAGAAAATATTACGCCAATCTAGGCCCAATTCCAAGAAAATCCAAGCGCAAAAACTGGTTTTTCGCCAAAAATTGATAAAAGATGATAGAAAGGAATTGATGACTAAACAGATTGTTTTGAAAATTTGCCTGTAAACCTAACTCTTTGCGCTCTTTCTTTTTTCTATTGACACAAAAATCGGTTTCTTTAACTCAAAGTGTCTATCGCGTAATCGAATCGTCTTTTTAACTGCCCGAGTTCACACAAAAGTCCAGAAACAAAACATTTCTTAAAATTTCAACGATCTTTTATACATCTCGCTATAGATCTCGCTCGCCCGAACACGCTGCCGCTTAAGCTCAAGGATCGATTGTCGATGTGAAGACGATCGATCGATTGTCGATGAGGGGACGATCGATCGATTGTCGATGAGGAGACGATCGATCGATTGTCGATGAGGAGACGATCGATCGATGTGGAGACGCCTTCACCATTCCTGAAAACAACCATACTAATGTATTGAAAGTTACTAATCATATCATAAAATATGAAAAATACACAAAAACCATAAAAACAGGTAAGCAAAAAGTGAAATGGAGTTCATAACATAATACGACGTTGTTGAGGTAATTCTTGGTCACCCTATAGTATTGAATTCGTTACTTTTTACATTACAATACCCTATAGTACCTTGAAGTACCTTGAAATATCATAAAGTTTACTTAAAGTTTAGTTTATTTACCTTAAAGTTAACTAATAACTCTGGAGATGAGCCGATTTCGCAAAAAAAGTGGTAAAATGATGTATGTTCGATGAAAGAACGAAATTTTGGTTTCGAGAAATCGAGAAATGAATAAGGACAAAGAAGAAATTGTTGACATTTTCGCAATAAAAGTCTTCAGAGTTTCACAATACAGAATGTTAATTTCCATTCCATTTGTAGCCCGTGTTGACGTTCCTTTGCCAATTGCCGAGGGAATTTCTGATCGGATTCTGATTTTAAAATTCAAAATTATTTGTCTAAATTAGTAGTTGCAATTGTAGTGCTAAAGTTGGCGAAGCTGTGCGAAATAATCTGCAGTAGCAAGAGTTGGATAACCCATTCTTTTGGATGCACATTCTTTCAATCAATCTTTGGATTATCCTCTGAAAGTGCCGGTATTTTGGAAGGAAATTAGATGGTGTGTGCCCAATTTAGGTATCTGATATTTTGCAGGTTCAGTACGAAACGAGTGCCCAATGCAAGTGTTGAGCCCAATGCAAGCTGAGCCCACAAAAATCCAAAGTACAGATCAGAGTCTGAATTTAGACAAAACGAGCATTCCTGACTGTGAAAACAAAGTTTTATTGGGGAGATTAAAGTCTAGGACAGTTCATAGCTGAGGTTCTCAAACTAGAAGAAAATCAAACGTGATTCGTGAAGCTAGCCACCAGATGTGCACACAAAACACATTTGCAATGTACGAGCACTGGAATTTGACCACTTTGCGTAGGAGAGAATTCGAGTATTTAAGGGAAAACTAATAGGAAAGTCAGAAAAACTCAAATTCAATTTTTCGTTGTCCCTTAAAATTATAAATTTATTGCCTATAATGTTCTAGTTGCTTCCCAAAACTTTAATAATTAATAAAAAAGAGGCAAAGGGGTACATTGATCCTAATTGCCATTTCAGCTTTGAACCATTATAAGCCATTCTCAGCGATCGCACAGACATCAGATTTAGTCTAATGGTTAGCGTTCTTGCTTAAGAAAAAACCGTAAAGGGTTCAAATCATGCTCATTGAATCACGTTGTTTATCCCTTTGCTTCTCATTGGACTTAAAAAGAATGAGTTTAGCCATTCGATAAATGTTCAACTTGTTCTGTTTTCTTAAATAAAAACTTTATTTTTCGATAGAGGGTCAAAGTATCTTTCTGAAATTGAAAGAAATTGAATTTTAGATGTTGCTTAAACTTGGAGTAGCACTCTTCATTATCGGGTTCTGCTTGGTGGAAGCAAGGGGCTGGCAGAAAGATGGAAAGCAACGAAGAAAGCACAAATTTGGAAATATGACAGATGATCAAGTGAAAGGATTCAAGAACGTTTGAGTTATTCAATTGATCAATTAACAATCGATTTTTAGTCTCTTCGAAAGACGAATGTCGATCGATTTGTGGCTGCTTTGGATCGACTGGCCGATAAAAATGGAACAGATATCGAGCCATCAGCAAATGAGAAAGCCGCTATGAAAGAAAGAATTAAGGTTTGTGAGCAGGGACCAAAAGAAAAAGAAAACTTCAACCTTGGTCTAAAAAAGTTAAAAAGTCGCTAGAATCTTATTTACGTGCGGTTTAAAGGGACTGGTGCAAAACCGGCGCGGCGCGCTTTCTAAGGCCTGGATACGCTACCGTACCTGCAAAAGTTCTCCTTCTGTTATTCTTTTCATTTTTCGGCATTCCATGGTGTAGTCGTGAATGTTGTCCGGCTTTTATGCCGAGTCCCGCTAAGTTTTCTTCTCCTTTCGTAAAATCTTTGTTCTTGTAGCGCGTTTTTAACTCCCTCTCCCCTCGTTTGTTCCTTCCTTTTTTATATTGTTCCGCCCATGTTTCCTGTTTAAGTTTCTAAAATGGTTTTGTTTCGTTTCTCTCGCCTTCTTTCTACTCTGCCTTCTTTCTCTTTTCTGTCTTCGAATCTTTTTGTACGTGCCGTATAAACCTAACCAATTACTTTTAACTAAACGCAAATCTAAATAACTTGTCACTTCACGGTCTTCTTGTTACTTCGTCTTGGGTTTTGTGTCGAATTATTTTAGAGCAGAGTTGATAAGTCTAAAGGTGTTAGGTAAGGGAATTAGTTACTAACTAAGCAATTTTTTCAGAGGTACAATACGCCTGGTCATGGCGTTGCTTAGCCTAGACGTAAAAATTCTTCTAATTATTATCTTTCTGCTTTAGCACCTCCGCAAACACGTTCGGTCACCGAAAATCCACGAAGATGGAGATGATATGACTGAGGTATGACTTTCTCTTTAATTTGGCTTATATTTAATCCACTTTAGGTGAACGAGAAGGCTGGAGTGGCTGAGAGTCTCTATCAAGGCGATATGGCCCTTGACGAGTTGGTTTTTATACAAATTTTGGATTCACTGTTTAAAATTAATCTCATTTCATTCAACAAACATGTCAAGTTAGTGTCGTTCCATGGATACGACAGAACAAGCACAGAACACTTTTTGGCAATGTTGATTTGCTAGCAAAATACTTGATTTGCTTTATTAGTCTTTAGATTTCTCTAACATTTATGTCTTTTTCAGCTCACAAGTGGATGCGATTCTCGGCGAATTTGTCGATGGTCCAGCTGATGCAAGAAAGAAACGACAGGTTTGATCTTGAATGTGATTTTTTCAATCAGCAATTCAGGCCTTCTACAACAGCAGATACCCGAGAAATCTCTGGGGAAACACTTTTTATTATTACTTTGATCCGTCACTCACCGATGAAGCAAAAGCCATTTCCCAAGTGGCGATCGCTTTCTGGCAGAATTCGACTTGTGTTAATTTTGAAGAGAACAGCACAGCACCGTTAGTTGTATTTTGCAATACAACATCTCAGCAAAGCTTTAGGAATCGTGTTCGTTTTTTCAAGGGACAAGGCTGTTACTCGTATGTGGGAATGATTGGCGGGGAACAGGATCTTTCGTTGGGCAGTGGATGTCAATATGTGGGTGATTTGGTGGATACCGGATTTTTCCTAGTGACAAAAAAATGATGAAATGCCTGAGCGACCTGCGCGATACTCAACTGAACGATAAAAAGTTCCACCAACTTGCGAGTTTTCAACTAAAATCGCTGAAATTTTGCCATAACATGCATATTCCATAGACATAACTATAGAAACAAACCGTTGAATTTCATTCACTCAACCGAAAAACTGTAAAATAAAATGACGCGTAAAGTTTTTTTTACAGTTTTTCGGTTTTCTCGGCGATGAGTGAATGAAATTCAATTTGGTTTATTTTCATAGTTTTGTCTATGGGATACCGTATTTTCTGTAATAGTAGTGCGCACTACTATTTTTTCAACCCCCCTCCAGCCTGCACTACTATTATAGACTGCACTACTATTACAGAAAATACGGTATACATTTCATGGCAAAGTTTCGGAGATTTTAGTTGAAAACTCGCCAGTTGGTGCAACTTTTTATCGCTCAAGTGAGGCTTCACCATTTTTTTTGTCATTACTATTAGGGAAAATACGATAGCTGGGCTGTTTATTTCTCAAAGTCTTTGAGCACTAAGTGACTTTTTCAAAGTAGGCGCAAGGATTAATTGATTGATTGATTTCAGTTCCGTCAAGCGGCTCACGAGATTGCTCATGCTCTCGGCTTTTTCCACGAACAAAGCCGATATGACAGGGACACGGCCATCACCGTGAACACCGAAAATGTGAAGCCAGAGTCAGTGGGCAACTATCGCGTGGTTTGAGATAAGTGCTCGTTATATATCGGTATATTCCAGGAGACGGAGACCAGAAACAATAACTACAATATGCCCTATGATTATGGAAGTATCATGCAGTACGCGGACACGAGTTTCACTGCAAATGGTGGCAAGACGATGATCTCGAAGGTTTACTTGAAAGATCTTTTAAAGATGAGTATTTTTAGGTACCTGTCTATCAGGATAATATGGGCTCACAAAGTGTTTCCTTCTACGATATTTCGATGATGAATGAGCATTATCAATGCAAACGTTTGTTTAATTGAGCTCACAAAGCAAATAGAATCGAAGAGGTTTTGTGGAATTTATAGGTATTGGTGTTTATTTGTGATTGCAAATTTTAACTACAAGGCTGGGAATAATTACGGCGACAAATAAATTCATGGCTTTTAAATCTATTTAGTGTTGAGACAAATAAAATTTATAACAATTTATTTTTTTTATGATTAAAAATGAGAAATTCCAGAGAAATGCACTTCTGGAGCAACGTGTGTCAATGGAGGATTTAGAAATTCTCGAAACTGCAATACATGCATCTGCCCAAGTGGATATGGTGGAGCAACTTGTTCGGATAGGGTACAGCATTATGGTCAAGCTTTTAGAATGGGTTTTATGGGAATTCTTTGTCCGATATTTTTTGATACAACCATCTAAAGTTTAATATAAGACTGATAACTGTAGGTGCTCTTTTGTAAACTCTAGATCCAACTTATCTTTGACTACAAAAATGTTTAGGCACCAGGCTGTGGAGCCACATTGACCGCAACGAGCGCCACCCAAACACTCAACATCACAATTGGAGTTCGAACTTCTGTCGACTACCCGACTTTTGAGACATGCAATTATTTGATCAAAGTAAAGAAAATGAAACTTGAAACTTAGCAGAAATTTATGTATTAGATCTAGTATAAATCCTAGTTCATTTAGCCAATTAGGAGCCCTATCTTCCTAATTTCGCTCCTAAAGGTCAACCCTGTTAGTTTTAGAGAACTTCATATTTTTAGAAGTTTTAAAGAACTCAAAGACGTTCCGATGCCAATCTAATTGAGTGCTGTTGTTACTGTTAAAGTTAATTTAGGCCCCAGCCAGTAACAAAGTGGAGGTAGTGCTGAGAGCGATTGCTGGCAATGTCCAATGCCGAGCTGGTTGTATCTACAAAGGAATCGAAGTGAAGGCTACAAATGATCATCGATACACTGGAATACGGTTGGCCAAAGATCTTTAACCAAAGCAAAACAATTTTAGGTATTGTTGTTCGGATGATGTAGGCACCACGATTGTCTCTGAGGGAAACATTGTGCCGGTGATCGCCTTCAATCGCTATCACCAAAGCAATTACACGGTCACCTATCGAAGCGGTGAGTGTATAGTTTTGGGGTTAATTGTCGTCACTTTCTCGAGTTACGTGACCTCTTTTAAAGCTTTTTTTTGTCAGCTTAATACAGAGCCTCTGCAAGAGAACTACCCGAAGTTATTTTGGGACCCACAGGATGAGTTCTTGTTGCTGATCCTGCACTCGATTGCAAAATCTAATTACAATACATATAGATTAGATTCGCTTTAAGTTGAGCTAGATTTTGGAGAAACGATTACGGTACTTTGACCAACAGTAACTGATACAGGACCTGTCCTATTTTTTTCCTAGCAACAAGGACTTTTTTTTGGACTACTATAAACGCCTCCAATTTCCTAACTAGTAAAACAGTATAAATTGGAGTTTAAGAGAGTCAAATGAATAAATATACTTTCAAAATTCCTTTCCAGTACCATCATCGACTGCCTCGACCATTCTAGCGATCCAGCTTCCGATGTCGAAGCCAACTCTTTAATGAATCGCTTACGATATAAAATAAAACTTTCTTCAAGTGATCTCACATTTCATTCTTTGAGTTATAATGAATTTTGGTAGCTACCTAAAAATTGCTTTGCTTTTTTTCGAAGCTTGAGCCAATTGACGTTCAAAATATTTTCAATTGATTTCAGAGTTAGATGGCGTTTCATTAATTTCTGACTTAAAAGTTGGTAAAAGTAGTTAATGGAATTAATTTTTCAGTTTCGTTAAACTAAAACTTTCAGTTTTTTCAGTAATTTTTCAGTTTCGCTCAAACGTAAAGAAAATTTGCAATGGCTGTTGCAATCTGGTCTGTTTACTCCTAGAATTGGTGAACCAATTCTACAAAACTTTATTGAAAAATCGAAAAAAATACCAATGAGCGTGATTCAGCGTAAAGAGTGATGCTTTCTCTGATTGGTCATTGTTCACAAATATGGCTCTCGATGAGATCAGAAAGTCGGCAAGAGAGTGCTCGTATATGAAAGGAAACTTGTGATTATTGACTCACTTGATGAGGTTCCAAAAAGAAAATCGATACCTTTCAATAAAGTAGTTATAAAGTGCAGAAATAGCCACTGGTGATCTTCGATTTCAACCTTTGTATCCAGAAGCAGTGTCTCTCGATTTTGATTATCTCGGGGAACCAATCGACATTTCTGTGCAAAATTTGTGCAAAATGGACTCTTCTTCAGTTTTGAAACTCTTTTATAGGTCTCCCTTTTGACATTATATAATTTGGCAGCTTTCTCTAATCATCAATCAATAGAAAGCACAAGAAAAGAGCTCTTTTCGTGAATTTTGGAGAAATTTGGAATTAAAAAGCGAAAACGCATTTTTTTTTGCCTTTCCTTGGCATTACAATTGATCTCTTATTCATAAAATACATCTCTTTTTAACACTAACGATTGTCATAGCTTTGTTGTGAATTTGTTAATACTTTTAGAAAAACAAAGTTATTCCTATGTGAGTTAGATTCATTTGAATAAACTTTTCTAAATGATTTGGCCTGTTTTGTGAACAAGCAATAGATCTACAGATTTGTCATTAGAAAATAGCTTCGTTGTGAATTTGTCAATACTTTTATTTAGAAAAACAAGTTATTCCTGTGTGAAGTGTTGTGCTCCACATTTGTTGAGTCCGATGTGGACATGGTCGTCGTGTGGATGTTTCCCTCCATAGTGACGTTCACTTCCCGATTGAGTCCAGATTCGGCGGTTGAAGATCACTTCTTGAATCCCCGAATTGCATGCAATTGTGACCGCATGATCAAATGCCTATTTGATAACAGAGATATATTAAAATTTGTGAACATTTTGAATCTGATTTGGAAATAATATCAGCTATTTTGAAAGTTGATAGCCAAACAGCAGTTATTTTTAAATACCGTATTCTCTCTAATAGTAGTGCACCTTGAGCGTCGCCTAAATTGCTCGAAATCTCGAGAACCGCTTATCAAAACCTATCGATGCATCGATAGGTTTTGATAAGCGATGTGGGGTCGGAAAATGTAGCCGACGATTTGATCTAGCGGGGGATTAGAGTGTTGAGCTTCTGCAAAAGCTTGGAAACCGTAAAATAGTCACCAACTCGGCTCGGCTGGGTGCACTACTATTAGAGAGAATACAGTATTTGGTTGGAAAGAAAGTTCTCTGGAAAAAGTTTGATAGGAATTTCTTAAAAATGAATCTCCACCAATTCAAAAACATTTGATTCTATTATCTACAAGTCGACTCCAAGAAATTACTCATAAAAAATGAGTGTAGCTTTCCATTAAAATTTTAGAGATTTTTAAAAAAACTATTATTTTTCAGGTTAAATTCAGCTCACTTTTTGCACCAGAAAAACGATTCCTTATGATGTAAAGCTAGCATAAATGAGCAATACGCTCTAAAATCTCTATTTTTACCCTAAAATTTTTTACAGAGAAGCTTTCAAAAAAAAAATAATTTTTGCGTGTCATCTTTTTGATACTTGAGTGTTTACTAAAATAGGTGATTCTGAAAAATTAAAGCATTAGATAAAATTTGCCTTTATCACAAATTTCCCCCTATTTTAAGTACTTCATTTTAGGCTTTGAATGGGAGCTATTGCCTATCCATTAACCCATTAAAAACTTGTCTAAAGGCTGGTCACTCAAAAAGTAACCAAGTCACTTCAGCTGAAGAAATCTCTTATTTTTTGTCAAAAAAACTTTTTGAAATATAGTCATTTATGAAAAAATCTGGAAAGAATTCATAGCTTGGCTTTTGAGAAATCACTGTGCAAACTTTTTCTTCGCACTTTCTTGCCTTGCACTTGCACTTGCAAGAAAGAACTTGCACACTGGCAAGAAAGAGCTTGCAAACTTTCTTGCTAACCTAATAAAAACCCATCACTTAAACATATACACATAGCCAAGTTTAGCTTTGTTTTATTCAGTCAACTTTATCAACTCACCTTTTTACCAGTTTCTCCAGAGACATACAAATCGACGGCTCTTCCCTCAGCATGCAGTGAGAGACTTTTCCCGCCTCGAACATTCCGATTGTTGTAGATTTCAGTTCTTCCACCGAACTTTTCCTTGAAGTAATTGGCAGCACTAAGTAAATCAAATAGAAAATAGCCAAATTGTTGATACTTAAAACCCTTTACCCAAATCTAGCTCTTTTTCCCAACCTTATCGCTCCTGGAGCCGGTCCATCGGTTGGCTTCGAAGCGCTATCAGATTCACATCCACATGCACTCACCAATATTTCACTGTTTACAAAAAGAAGAATAAATCCAAGGCTAGCAGTCTCATAGAACTTCATAATTGTTAGCTTTGAGAAAATGTTGACTGTGTTCAGTTAGATATCAAAGCTTTTATAGAAATTTTATCTCTAATCCCGTCACTTTAATGGTGTTTATTTGCGATAGTAAATGTTTTTCAATTTGAGATTTTTAAAAACAAATTTCAAAGGGAAGCGCTTAAAATTTTTTGATAAATGCAAAGGCTGTTGTGTCAGCTTAAAAGTAAAAAAACTGATAAAGCAATGGGTTTGTGCAAAAAATAACCGGTACTTGCCGGTGATATATCCTACTCAACTCGGTTAAGCAAGGAGCTGACAACTTGTGAAGGATGATTATTTTGAGTGAAGTAGAGTGCTCGCCTGAAGTGATCAGTCGATCAGTCGAACGAAAATCGATAACCGAGAAGACTCGCATGGGGATGCTTAACAGAGAAGGGTCTTTGTGGATGTATAGCTGACAAGTACCAAAGCTAGTTTGTAAAGCCTGATGTCAGTCTAGAACTGAGACTTCTATGATACTTCTATGGTTGACTTTACAATACTTAAAATTAATATTCAATTTCAGGATGCAGGCCGAACATCTAATGAAGGCTATGGTCCAGGAGGAATTTAGTTTAGTTCAAGCTTTATTTTGGGTACTTGTCGGTTATACATCCACACAGACTCAACTCGGTTAAGCAAGGAGCTGACAACTTGTGAGGGATGGTTATTTTGAGTGAAGTAGAGTGCTCGCCTGAAGTGATCAGTCGATCAGTCGAACGAAAATCGATAACCGAGAAGACTCGCATGGGGATGCTTAACCGAGATGAGCCTTTGTGGATGTATAACCGACAAGTACATACAAATAATCACCAAATTCACTCATAAACCATATATTTCTCTTTCTCTTTTGATCAATCTAAAATGTCAATTCACAAAAATGAAAACTTTTGGAGAAATATCAATCAATGTGGAACAAAAAAAAAATTTATAAAAAGTCATTTCTCTTTAAAACTTATCAAGGCTTCAACTTTTTGATGATAACATCAAACTATAGAAAACTTTAGTGACTAGTTAAAGTTAGTGATTAGTTGGTCAAAAAGATCCATTTAGGGCTGGGGCTCGGCTCAGGTGGACGCCGGGATTCAAACTTGCAACCTATCGCTTACCGGGCAAACGCTCGACCAATGAGCTACAACGACACTCATCACAAGCACTAGGGTAGGGCTATACCAGGAAAAACATAATTTACGTTTTGAATTTTAGTTTAGCCATTCGTCTCATTGATTTCAAGGAGCTTCTCTTAATCCTGCTGTATCTTGTTGATGTTCTCCGGAGTTGTTACTGTCGCTGGGCGTCCTTTTCTTTTACGGTCAACATTTTACGGACACCAGTTTCCTCGTAACGTATCACGGTGTTTACATTCTCGTTCTCAGCTAAACAGCTGAAAATTGGACGTGAATCAGTTCGAATGAATCCTTTTTTGTATCCCAGACCTGCAATGATTTCTTGTGGATTCTTTCCAGCTTTGTGCAACTCTATCACGGCAATACGAGGCAATACGAGAATTCTTGTGGATTCTTTCCAGCTATGTGCAACTCTATCTCTCTCGTTTCTCCTTTGTATTCATGTCACCGAATCTATAAAAAAAACAAAGTTACAACTTTAAAAAAAGAATTGTATTGAACAAAAGCGTGAAAACTTCACAAATAACTAAGTGCAAAAGAAAAATTGCACGTATTTTCTGGTCACCGTTGAACTTGTGACTGGGAAACTTGAGGCTTTTTTTGTTAAAACTTTAACAGTAATCTTTCAAAATCCAAATGATACTTAATTTTTGATAGATTTAGAGTAATTCTTGTGGGTTTTCAATTGAATAAAGACTCAATCTTTTCAAACTAAACTGCAAGTTTTAAAGTTTCATAAATTGACTTGAAAAGTCCCTCTTTTTTTTGCTTAAATCCATCTAGTTGATCTTTTTGAAGAAAATCTTGGGGTCGATAATGGTGTGGGCGGATGAGGCTGGCAGGAGATGTGAAAAAAAAAGAAGAGAAGACCGTTGAGTGTCCCTTTTTCTATTGAAAAAATCTTTCTTCCTATTTTCTCTAATTTCTATCCCTGAATGCACACAATCTTCATGATCTCCTTTTCCCAATGTCCGCCCCCACTTCTTCTTTCTAGAGATTGAAGATATTGAGAGAAAATAGAGCCTAAGATTTGCAGAATAGCTTGATCCACTTTTCTTTTAGAGACTGTGAAGATACAGGGCTCGCAGAGGCCAAAAGTCTAGTCTTGAAGAAAGAGTGAAAGATTTCAAGGAAAAGAATGGGATTTTAGTAGATATAGAAGTTGGGAAAGAGAAAAGATTACCAGAATCAAGGAGATGCGTGAGATTGACAGAGATGCCGATCGGCCCTTTCCGTTGATTTGTCCCTTCAGCGCTTCTCATCTCATTCTTCTGTGCGCCCTCCCTCCAGGTCGGCCCAAGCCTTCTCTCCTTCCCTTCAACAGTCAGAAGAGAATCTCACTCACAGGTCGGTTCTCACAGACACTCTCACAATCAGATCAACCACTTCCCACCCTCATTTTCCGTCATTACCTTAGTCAGTTCTCACAATTGGTTATCAGTTTTGCAGCTTAGCTTTAGGCTTTGACTTTCTTGATCTGGTAACTTCTTTACGTCTTCCTTTCTTACTTACTTACTTACTTACTTCTTTATCTTCCTAGCTTACTGCAGTTGCACAATTTTAAGATTTACGTTATCTGGTACACTATTTTCATTGATATATTCACTTTTTGCCAAAAATAAACCTGACAATTACCTATTTCTTTTATGAATTTCAGAACTATTTCTTTAAACTTAACCAAAATTTACAAGATCATTTCTATCATTTCCATTTAGGGTACCCTATATTGGTTAGCCGTCCGCTATGGGAGATTACGAGAACGATCCAGGATGGCAATACTTGCGTCGCTCCAGAGAGCAGATCATCGAGGTTTGGGGGAAATTCTCAGGCTAACATAAACTTTCTTAAGCAATAGAAATGCTTGACACAAAAGAAATCAAATGGAAAACCATTTACAGCTAAAAATGAATGATTTCAGGACCAGTCCAGGCCCTATGACTCCAAGAAAAACTGTTGGATTCCTGATGAGGAGGAAGGGTGAGTGAGATTTGAGTAAAAAAATATTGATTTGAAGTTTGGTTTGGAGTTAAAGAGCAAGTTTATACGTAGAAGCTGTAAATTTTCAAATAGTTTAAGGCAAAAGCCTTTTAGATACCTGGAGGCTATCATCCTTAAGACCGAAGGTGACAATGTTCGCGTCGAAATCGGGCGTGGCAATGAGGTGCTGTCAGATTTTGGCTATTTTATTGCTAAATCTTATATAAGACTTGTATAAAACTGATTTTCTTCTAGAAAACCTTCAAAAAGGATCAAATCCAAGAAATGAACCCGCCAAAATTCGAGAAAACTGAAGACATGTCGAACTTGACTTTCCTCAATGACGCCTCCGTCTTGTACAATCTTCGAGCTCGTTACGCGAATATGCTTATCTACGTGAGTGCTGATCTATTAACAATTAAATCTATAGATTCAACTAACTAAAGGTACTCTTCAGTAATGAGAGCTAATTTCTCTTCCTCATTTCCGTTATGAGAGTCCAAATTACCATACATTCAAATTTAAATTGTTCCCTCCTTGCTCCCTTATTTCCATTATAAGGGCCCATTTATTGTATTTAAAAAAAAACTTTCTAAATAAATCATAAAACATTTACTGGTGGTTTAAACAATTTGAGGCGGACAAGCACTTGAAATAAGCGATAAGATCCAATAACGGTTGTCTTCAACTTCTTGTCGCACCATAAACTTGACCAAATAGATTGAAAGGAAGTGCCTGGCAGTACCTCTGTGCTTTTTTCCTCCACTTTGCAAAGCCCCAGAGGAAAGTATGAGAAATGGGCCCTCATAACTGAAAAGTACCCTAACAAATGTTCGATAAAGATGGAAAAGTTAGCCTCAACCTACAATCAGACTTTCGTTAGCTAAAACTGGTGAATAAAGTAAATTTTGAAGCTCTGTTAAACAGTTTTAGTCTATTCAAGCCCCATAAAAATCTGCATTAATTTCTCAAAACCTATTTTTAGAGAATCAACAAGCTTTGCCGGTGATAAGAACTTGAGTACCTTGTAGCCAACCGTTTTTACTTCTAACTACAGCTCTATCGATTTTTCCTTTTCAAACTTTCAAACTTTAAAATCCAAGTCGACCCCCATCCATTTGATTTTATCAATCTGAACTTGAGCATTCAAGAGTTTCAACAATTTTCTCGGAAAACTCCCATGCCAAACCCAGAGGGATTGAGAAGGCTCTCGAGATCTCCACTTCTTAGCCTTCAGAAAAAAATTCAAGTAGAAAAAGAACCTAGATCTTAGAAAGGGGAAAGATGAAGAGATTTGAGAGATCTAAAATGAAAAGGTGAAAAGGGGATGGCCGTGTGGATGTGTGCGTGCGCGTTTTCTCTGTTTGCCCTCGAATCTCGAGACCGATGGGGCCCACTGTTGCACAGTTTAAAGCATCTATGCATAGGTCGAATGTGGGAAAAGGCACAAAAAAGAGGGAAGAGTTAGTTTTTCGTCTTTCTTGGAGTTGAATGAAGCTGAACTAAAGCAGTTGAATGGGTGGGAGGATTTGCATTAGTTGAATGAAATCACTTAATGAAATCACTGGATCGAGTCACTGAATCGATAGATCTGCCGGGTTTTTTAGGAGCAAACTAGCAGTAAGCAGCAGTAAGCCGCAGCAAGCAAGCAAGCAACTCAAAAGTGAAGTGAAATGTGAAGCTTATTACCCAAACCAAAGCTGTGATTTGAAAAGGAAATTTCAATGAAATAAAAACAAAACAAGACAACGAGCTAGTGAAACCAAATACATTTCCCAACTTTAGACTTATTCGGGTCTTTTCTGTGTCGTCATCAACCCATACAAGCGTCTTCCTATCTACACGGACAGTGTCGCTCGAATGTTTATGAACAAACGCCGTACCGAGATGCCACCTCATCTCTTTGCTGTCTCCGGTTCGTCTGAAATCAGCTTAAAGCTTGAGCAAAGCAAGCAAAGCAAAGCAAAGATTTGTAGAAATTTATAGTAATCAACCTTTCTTTTGATCTAATTACAGTATGAATTATTGATGGAATCTCTTATTCTATGTTTCTAAAACGTGTAAACTTGAGAAAGCTATCGTAATCTTGCAACTAATCTGTCCACGATTGATCTAACGGTTTGCACAAAAGGATAGCAAAAGGATTGGATAAAATATAACCAATATTATGGTACATTTTACGTTTAGAAGGTAGAAAATTTGAAATGATTAAAGTCAAAAATGGCCTTAAAGTCAAATCATCAAAATTTCAATTGCTATATTCAGATGAGGCCTACCGTAACATGCTTCAAAATCACGAGAATCAATCTATGCTCATCACTGGAGAATCGGGAGCTGGAAAGACTGAGAATACCAAGAAGGTAAAGAAAAGGAAATTCGAAACTATTTGAGAAATACTATTGAAATTATAGGTAATTGCTTATTTCGCTGCTGTCGGCGCCGCTCAAATGGAGCAATTCGGAGTCCGAGAGAGTCACGATCCAAACCAGAAACAAGTCACCCTTGAGGATCAAATCGTGCAGACAAATCCTGTGCTTGAAGCTTTCGGTTAAATAAAAATTGATAATGATTAATTCAAATGAATTTAGGTAACGCAAAGACTGTCCGAAACAACAACTCATCTCGCTTCGGAAAGTTTATCCGTATTCACTTCTCCAAGCAGGTAAAATTTTGAATCCAATGAAATTGTAAATCTAAATTTTACAGGGACGTGTCGCCTCTTGTGACATTGAGCATTATCTTCTTGAGAAATCTCGTGTGATCCGTCAAGCTCCAGGAGAGAGATGTTATCACATCTTCTACCAGGTTCCTTAAATAACTTTTTTTATTTTATTATCATTTACCTCATTAAATTATTGAAATCAAACAATTTCTAGATCTTCTCTGGATTTGTTCCCACTTTGACTAAGGATCTCTTGTTGGATAAACCAGTCAAGGACTATTGGTTCGTCGCTCAAGCCGAGTTGAAGATTGATGGTGTCAATGACAAAGAAGAGCATCAACTTACCGATGGTTTTTAACTTTTATCTAACTTCAAACAACTTCTTGCAGAGGCCTTCGACATCTTGAAGTTCTCGCCTCAAGAAAAACTCGATTGCTACAAGGTCATTTCGGCCATGATGCACATGGGTAACATGAAGTTCAAGCAAAGACCCCGTGAGGAACAGGCTGAGCCTGATGGCACAGATGGTGGGTTTTTTTGAGGCAATAATTGAGGCATTGTTAAGGTTTCAAGTGGTTATTGCTAAGTTCGAGTTTTTAGAGGCTGACAGGGCATCGAAAATGTACGGAATCGACACCGAGGAGTTCTTGAAGGCGCTCACTCGACCCCGTGTGAAGGTCGGAAATGAGTGGGTGAACAAAGGACAGAACGTTGATCAAGTCAACTGGGCCGTTGGAGCTATGGCCAAGGGTGAGTCGATTAGCCTATGCATTTAAAATATTCATTTAAACAGCTGTAATATTGCTCATTCACTAGAAATGGGAAAATTCCAAGCCAAACCTAATTCCATCTTCGTTTTCTCTGTTTCTTGACCGATTGCTCTGAAATTTTGTCTACAAGTTGGAAATGTTGATTTCTAACTGTAGATAAAATTTCAGAGTAATCGGTCAAGAAAACAAAAGTGGAATAGATTCGAGTTGAATTTTCCTACCGTAAATACTGTAATAGTACCCCCCCCCCCGTACAGTCGCGTCGTCGCAAAAGTTTTTTAGTATTTCATTTTGTTCAAAGCGCCCGTACTTTCAAAAAATGCGTCTTTGGTACCAAAAGATAGCCCTGAATTTCAGCTATTTTTTGATACCTAAGCGCGCATTGTAGCCTAAACCAGTGTCGAGAAAAACTCGTTCAAAGCTAGACTACGCAACACTCCGCACCGTCATTATGGGGGAAGGGGTACTATTACAGTATTTACGGTAGCTCAACAAGGTCAAGATTTGGCTAAAAGAAAGGCTTTCAAATATAGATTTTATAGATCTAGACATCTCGAAATCAGCAATTCATAGATATTAGATATTTTTAACATAATCTTTAGTATCTTCTTGGTAATGCTTACCATAATTAGACTTATTTTGATATAATACCTCTATAAGATGTTACCCAGTCAACTAATTTAGGTATCTACAATCGCCTCTTTGGTTGGCTTGTCAAAATCTGCAACAAAACCCTTGATCAACAGGGTATCTCTCGCGATCACTTCATTGGTCAGTTTTTACTTTTTCTTGAACTCTATGGACTAAATCATCAAATTACAGGAGTGTTGGATATCGCCGGTTTCGAAATTTTCGACTTCAACTCTTTTGAGCAGTTGTGGATCAACTTTGTGAATGAGAGACTCCAGCAATTCTTCAACCATCACATGTTCGTTCTCGAGCAGGAGGAGTACGCCCGAGAGGGAATCCAATGGACTTTCATCGATTTCGGACTCGATCTTGCCGCCTGTATTGAGTTGATTGAGAGGCCTATGGGTGAGTGTCTCTGGGAGATTTGTTTCTATTATAAACTTAGGTATTATCGCTATGTTGGACGAGGAGTGCATCGTGCCAAAAGCCACCGATCTAACTCTTGCACAGAAGTTGAACGAGACTCATCTCGGCAAACATCCCAACTTCGAGAAGCCCAAGCCACCAAAGGGAAAACAAGTAAGAGACATGGAATTTTAATAATATTCCTGTATTACCAAGCTAAGACAAAGTCAAACCAATCAATGCTAAGGTTTTTAGCTGACGATAAGGTTAGACTTCTAAGTCTTGGCGGTTTTGACTTGGCTAGCTCAGGGATTTCCTTCTCTTTCTTCCTTTCTTTCTTCCTTTCTTTCTTTCTTCCTTTCTTTCTTCCTTTCTTTCTCTTCCTTGTCTTTCCTATTTCTTGGGCAAAGAAGGCGACGATAGCTCAGTGGTAGAGCATCTGCCCGGTAAGTGTTTGTAAGTGGTAAGCGGTCGAGGGTTCAATTCCCCTTGGTTCCAAATTCTTTGCCATTTCTTTACTTTACTACCCTTTTCTGTAACCCGTGATTTGTCTCTACACGAGTTTTCCATTTTAGGCCGAGGCTCACTTCGCCATGCGGCACTATGCCGGAACTGTGCGCTACAATGTGACAAACTGGCTGGAGAAGAACAAAGATCCCCTCAATGACACCGTTGTGCAATGCATGAAATTGTCGAAGGGAAATGTGCTTCTTCTCGAGATTTGGGGCGACTACACCACTCAGGAGGAGGCTGCCGTCATCGCCGCTAAAGGAGGTCAGCTTTTTGAAGATTTATAGAAATTTACAGTAAATAACATTTCTTTTGATCTAGTATTGATTATTGAAATGAAATTTTTGATTCTAGGTGGTGGTGCAAAGAAGAAGGGTAAATCGGGCTCGTTCATGACTGTTTCTATGCTTTACCGTGAGTCGCTCAACAACTTGATGACCATGTTGAACGCGACGCATCCTCATTTCATTCGTTGCATCATTCCCAATGAGAAGAAAGCCTCTGGTAAGAAGATAGACGAAAATCTTGACTTGAATTCTTTTAGGAGTCATTGATGCGAGTCTTGTGCTCAACCAGCTCACTTGTAACGGTGTGCTTGAGGGTATCCGCATTTGTCGCAAGGGTTTCCCCAACAGAACTCAACATCCTGATTTCGTGCAACGTTACGCAATCCTGGCTGCTGACGAGTCCAAGTGAGATTAAGAAATTTTATTAAATTCTCGAGTTTACCAGAAACCAAAGCTCTTACAGTCTGCGGGATAGTGTTGCGCTTTACAAAAAGATGATTTTCTCAAAAACCAAAAGGGTTAACAGTTTCTTCGTTAGATATTTAAAATCTAAGAACATTTTTTCACTAGATTCATTAATTTTTGTCTGTTTATTATCTTAGAAAGCAAAAAAAGATGCATTAAGCGCAATAGATATGCCTGTATTAACTATTAAAACTTACCATTTTTAGCAAAAAGCATGAAATATTGCTGAGCGGCTTTATACAATAAAATATATTTAGAGCAACTGAAGACCCGAAAGCCGCAGCGGCCGCTATGCTTGCTCGCATGGTGAAAGAGAACAAGATTGGTGAAGAGAACTTCCGTGTCGGTCTCACCAAGGTAATTGTTTTATTACACTTTGTATAGTTGATAAAGATACTCTTAAAGATAAAGCTCATTGTCAGTAATTTAACTAACTTCTAGGTGTTCTTCAAAGCCGGTATTGTGGCTGCCCTTGAAGATCATCGTGATGCTCGACTCTTCGAACTCATCGGAGGCTTCCAGGCTCAGATTCGTTTCTTCTACAGTCAGATCGAAGTCAAGGTTTGTCTTTGATTTCTTTTTCAAGTACTATATGACTATTTCAGCAACGTCGTGCTCGCTGGGAAGCTTTGGCGATGATCCAGAGAAACGTTCGAAACTGGATCCAACTCCGCACTTGGGAATGGTTCCGACTTCTCGGAAAGGTTTGATGAACTTATGAAAGCTATTTTTCACAACAACAATATAATCTCAGTCTTTTAACCCGTTTTTAGGTCAAACCCCTTGCCAAGATGGGACAAATCCAAGAGCAAATCGACTCGATGGCCACTGCTTGCGAGACAATGTCTACACAGCTTGCCGATGACATCGAGACCAAGGTTTGAAGCTGAAATTGAAGAAACTATTTCCTTAACTTGTTGCTTTATCAGAATTAAGTCAGAAAATTTCAGGAGAGACTGAAGGAGGACGGAGTCCGAGTCCAGAAGGAGACTCAAGATCTTCTTATCCAACTCGAAAGCACCAAAGGTAGGAGTAGGAAAGTTGCTTAAAATTCTCCATTTTCAGGATCCAACAAAGAAGTTGAGTCTCGTATTGAGCAACTCACCGACATGAAAGCGGCTCTAGAGGGAAAATTGGGAGATGCTACCAAGCGTCTTGAGGGTGAAGAACAACAAGCTCAAGAGCTTCTCAAGCAAAAGAAGAATATTGAGGGACATTGTGCTGAGCTTAAGAAGAATCAATTGGTTTGTTGAATTAGAAGTGCTAATAAAAGAAAATTTAGGATCTTGACTTGACCCTTCGCAAGTCTGATGCTGAAAAGCAAAACAAGGAGCACCAAATCCGTGCCCTTCAAGATGAAATGCGCCAACAAGATGAGAATATCTCCAAGTTGAACAAGGTAAGAATCTTTGAAAACTTATTATTTATTATTTAGCAAACTTTGAAAGCTTATTATTATTTCAGGAGCGCAAGCATCAGGAGGAGAACAATCGCAAATTGAACGAGGATCTCCAGGCTGCTGAGGAGCAGAACATGGCCGCCAACAAACTCAAGCAAAAACTCTTGGCCACGATTGAGGATGCTGAACAAAGCTTGGATCGTGAGAAGAGAAATCGAGCTGATATGGATAAGAGCAAGAGGAAGGCTGAGGGAGAGCTCAAGATTGCTGCGGAAGAGCTCGAAGAGTTGAACAAACAGAAATCTGATATTGAGAACAGTTTGAGGAGAAAGGAGAACGAGTTGCACTCGTTGGGAATGAAACTCGAGGATGAGCAGAATACCGTCGCCAAGATGCAGAAATCGATCAAGGATGATGAGGCAAAGATGAACGATGTTCAAGATCAACTTGGAGAGGAGAAAGAAGCCCGTCAAAAGGCTGACCGATCTAGGCTCGAGTTGCAATCCGAGTACGACAATATTTTGGATGCTCTTGAGGATCAACGATCGGCTGTTCAGACTCAAATTGAGGCTTCAAAGAAGAAGGATGCTGAGTTAGCCAAATTCCGTCGTGATCACGAGGAAGCTGGATTGAAATTCGGAGAGCAATTGGCTGCTTTGAAGAAGAAGGGAACTGATGCTGTTCAAGAGTTGACTGATCAAATCGAGCAATTGAACAAGGTCAAGCAAAGAACTGAGAAGGAAAAGAATGCTATTCAAAGAGAGTATGATGAGGCTTCATCTCAATTGGACCAAGTCTCGAAGGAACGAGTTGAGCACGAGCGTGTCGCTAAGAACCACGAAGTGCGATTGTTGGAGTTGAAGTTAAAGGCTGATGAGCAAGCTCGTCAACTTAAGGACTTCATGTTGTCGAAGGGACGCCTTAATCACGAGAACTCTGACTTGGCTCGCCAGGTTTGTCTCGAAAAACTTAACTTACAATATTGTTTTTAGGTTGAAGAGCTTGAGGCTAAGATTCAAACCACTAACAAACTTCGTCTCCAATTCTCGGCTCAACTCGATGAGGCAAAGAGGTAACGAAAATTGGGGAAAGCAGTGAATTTGACTATGATATGAAGATGAATATGAAAGAATATGACTATATTGTTTAGATATGGAGAGGAGGAGTCACGCGAGCGCCAAAACTTCTCGACTTTGTGCCGAAACTTGCAACGCGAGCTTGAACAACTCAAAGTCGGTGTGGAGGATGAGGTTGCCGGAAAGGTAAACTAACAAAAGAAAATGAAATTCAAAACGACTTTAGGGAGAAGCTGCCCGTCAACTCCAGAAAGCCCAAGTTGAGCTTGAGGCCTGGAAGACCAAGTTCGAGTCTGAGGGACTCATCGGAGCTGACGAGTTCGACGAGGTCAAGAAGAGACAAAACAGCAAGGCTTTCGAGCTCCAAGTACGCTAAAATCTAGAAATGAGAGTTTATTTGGAACAGGATCAACTCGATGCATGCAATGCCAAGATTGTGGCCCTTGAAAATGCTCGTGGACGTCTCTCGGCTGAGGCTGAATCCAACAGAATTGAGGCCGAACATCACGGACAAATCGTCGCCTCGCTTGAGAAGAAACAAAAGGCCTTTGACCGTGTAAGTAGAAATTCAATAATGAAAGCTCTATAGAAAGTCTGTAAAATAGTCTATAGAAGGCGGCTAGTCTATAGAAAACAATTCTTAATTTCTAGGTGATCGACGAATGGAAACGCAAAGTCGATGACTTGTACAGCGAGCTCGACTGTGCCCAACGTGATGCCCGTTCACTCTCGGCTGAAGCTCACAAACTCCGTGGAGGTCACGATGCTCTCCTTGATCAAACCGAGGGACTCAGACGTGAGAACAAGTCTCTCTCGGATGAGGTGAGTAAAGATTTCAATGTTATCCAGTAAGTAAGCTGTTTCACTGTTACATAACATTTTTAGGTCCGCGAGTTGACCGACTCGTTGGGAGAGGGTGGCCGTAACATCCATGCTCTCCAGAAGACCCTTCGTCGTCTTGAGATTGAGAAGGATGAGCTCCAACGAGCTCTTGATGAGGCAGAGGCTGCTCTTGAGTCAGAGGAAGCCAAGTCTCTCCGATGCTCGGTTGAAGTTGCTCAGGTACTGTAATTGATAATTATTATTTTGCAAGTATAGTATATTTTCCAAGTATCCAATACTGTATTCTAGATTCGTGCTGAGATTGAGAAGCGCTTGTGTGAGAAGGAGGAGGAATTCGAAAACACCCGTAAAGTGCACCAACAAACCATCGAATCGATTCAGGCCACGCTTGATGCCGAATCGAAGGCCAAGGTTTGATCTTAATACAGTACTTTAGTCTAATTTCTAGTTGAAAGCAAAAATTCGAAGAAATTACTTTTAGGGCGACCTATTGCGCATCAAGAAGAAGCTCGAATCGGACATCAACGAGTTGGAAATTGCCCTCGACCACGCGAATAAGGCGAACGAAGACGCGCAGAAGAACATCAAGCGATACAATGATCAAATCAGAGAATTGCAAGTATGAGAACAGAATTTTAAGTTATTTACATTCAAAACTGTTAAGGTTACTGTTGACGAGGAGCAAAAGCGAAAGGAGGAGTTCCGCGAGTCATTGGCCGTTGCTGAACGCAAATTGGCCGCCGCCAAACAAGAACAAGAAGAACTTATCATCAAGCTTGAGGCTGTAAGTAATGAATTCCTAATCCAAGATAAATTTTTGACCCTGTAAAGGCTATTCAGAAGTTAACTTAACAATTATGATTCCAGATCGAACGCACTCGTCGCCAGATCGAAGGATCCGTGCACGAGCAACAAGAGCTCAACAACGAACTCAACTCGCAAAACGTTGTGCTCACCGCCGCCAGAAATCAATTGGAGAGCGAATACACTCTTCTCAAATCAGACATCGCTGAAGCACAACAAGAGCTCGCCGCCTCCGAGGAACGCGGACGTCGTGCTGCTGCTGAGGCTGCCAAATTGTCCGAGGATCTCCGTCATGAACAGGTTTGATAAAGCTGGATTTCTAGGCTAAATCGGAAGACTCCAAATTCAAATGAAATTAAAAAAGAACAAGTCTAGGAAACCGCCTCCACTTTGGAACGTCTCCGCAAGAACCTCGAGAACCAAGCCAAGGACATGCAAGAGAGAGCCGACACTGCTGAGGCTTCGGTCTTGAAGGGAGGCACCAAGGCTGTGCAAAAGGCTGAACAACGATTGAAGACCTTGCAAGCTGATTACGAGAGCGAGACCCGTCGGGCTCAAGAAGCTGTCAAAGCCTTTGGAAGAGCTGACAGACGAGTCAGAGAGTTGGATTTCCAGGTAAAAGAGATGGCGTGTTTTGAGAACAAGCTGTTCAGGTTACTGAGGACAAGAAGAACTACGACAAATTGCAAGAGCTGGTCGAGAAGTTGAACTCGAAGTTGAAACTCCAGAAGAAACAACTCGATGAAGCGGTAGGAGATGTTGTTTACAGTTTAACAGACAGAAACTAAAATTTTCCGGTTACAGTAAAAAGGTACCGTGATTCTTATAGATTGAAACTGTAATTGAAAACTAATTAAGGCATACTGTAGTATTCAGAGCTAACTATAATATATTATGCTGCCCGGAAAATCTTTTCCTTTACTTTTCATACTTTCGTTGAAAAATCACAAATTAACCTATAGTTTTCTTTAAATAAAAGTGTTTATTTTTTAATTTCCAATCTTTTTAAGTCAATTTTGGTTCACTTTCAAGTAAATTTGAGAGTAAAAGGCATGTTTTTTGTAAAAAAAATCTATAAAAACCTCGACGAAGAAATTGGCTGAATGAATTTCTCTGAAAATTCAGCTATTTACCTAACTTTTTATGCTCTATCTTTTATCTATTGACACCAAGATAGGTTTCCTTAGCTAAAAGTGTCTAAACCACATCATCGAACCGTCTTTTTGACTACCCGACTTCATGCTCGCAAAAAATCCAAACATAAGACATTTTAAAACCGTTTTAATATTATTTGGCGGAAAAATAAGTGGATTTTCTAGTGAAAAAAACCATATTCAATTAGTGGTTTTAAACAAAAGTATGAAAAGAAACGAAAAGACTTTCTGGACAGCCAAATATCATTAAACATTTAGGAAGAGGGAGCTAACGGAAATCTACAAAAGTACCGACAAATGCAAGTGCAATTGGAGACCGCAGAGGAGAGAGCTGATTCAGCCGAGAATACCCTCGTTCGTATCCGATCTCGTTCTCGCATCACAATCGATAAACAATAAACGCCACTTAAATCATCAAATCCGCTTTCCATTGCTGCTTGTTTTTGTGTGACTTGCTTTTATCTCTTTCTCTCTTCTGTTTGTCATCGATTGAATTATGCCTTTTAAGAATTTTCTAATTTTTCTAGTTCAAGGTGATGGCTTGGTGAAGAGTCACTTTTTTTTGAATCTTCATAAAGTAATCGCCGTTCAGATAAACCTCGTAGTTTCCCTTGATTAGATGTGGTCCTTCTGATTGTGTTAATAAAAAAATTTAAACATAAACACAAGAAAGACAACTGTTAGCCAAAGACTCACTGTTTTAAAAGCAATTTTTTTTGCACAGTTTGAGGTCAGAATTCTCACCAAAGAAGTTACAACTACTGAAAAGCATGATATTCGTACCAAACATAACACAACATCGTACCAAACACAACATTGTTTGTAATTAAGAACAGCTTCTCCAAAAACAGTTGTGTACAAATGTTCTGATGGCATTCCATAGCTTTCTTGTTTAACTTGAATTCAAAGAATATGGCAGCCCTGATTTTAAATTTTTGCTCATCCATCTTTGTCGAGCTGAAACAATACAAATACTATTCAAAACAAAAAAGTTTTTGCAAAAAAAACCTAAGCACCTTTTGAAATAAACTGTGGTGCAAAAGTCTTGTCCGACTTACTTTTCTAAAAAGTTTCATCAATTTTCTTTGATAAAGTTCATGGCGCTCTTTAAGCCATTAATAGTTTTAATTACACAAACGTTATCGCTATACAACACTTATTCATTGAGAAAAAAATATACCGTATTCTCTTTTTTTTTTTTTTTTTTAAAATTTTTTTTTTTTTTTTTTTTTTTTTTAAAAAAAAAAAAAAAAAAAAAAAAAAAAAAATTTTTTTTTATAAAAAAAATTTTTTTTTTTTATATTTTTTTTTTAAATAAATTTTTTTTTTTTTTTAAAAAAAAAAAATAAAAAAAAAAGATTTTTTTTAAAAAAAAAAAAAAAAAAAAAAAAAAAAAAAAGTAAAAAAAAAAATTTTAAATTTTTTTTATTATAAAAAAAAAAAATTTTTTTTTTTTTTTTTTTTTAATAAAAAAAAATTTTTTTTTTTTTTTTTTAAAAATTTTAAACAAATATTTTTTTTTTTTTTTTTTTTTTTCCCATTCCATAAAAAAAAAAAAAAAAAAAAAAAAAAAATTTTTAAAATTTTTTTTTTTTTTTTATTTTTTAATTTTTTTTTTTTTTTTTTTAAAATAAATATGTGTTTTTTTTGTTGTTTTGGTGGGGGGGGGGGGGGGGAGGGGGAGAAGGGGGGCTAATAGTAGTGCGCACTACTATTTTTTGAACCCCCTCCTGGACCGCAATATTAGAGAGTGCACTACTATTAAAGAGTTTTATCATTTACCAAAGTAAGACAGATATAAGATTTGTTCCAAAAATTCTTGCAACTCTTTCACGTACTCCTTTGGCTCCTTTTGACATACAGTTGTGGGCCGGCGAGTTGACAATTTGTGTCTTGACAAACAACAAAAAGATGTTTTTGCCCTTTTGGACAACAATTTTAGATTTTTTACTAACTTTTTCATGTGAAGAATAGTTAATAAATGAATAAAAAAAAGCCTCACTTTTGCTTGCTTGAATAGCTTTAGAATGTCACATAAACATAAAGTCAAAAAGGTTTAGATGAAAAAGAAGCAAACAGAAATTCAAATTTTCGTGGGTGCACTACTATTTTTTGAACCCCCTCTCGGACCGCAATACTATTAGAGAGTGCACTACTATTAAAGAGTGCACTATTATTAGAGAGAATACGGAAATTGTCAAAACTCCCCTGAAAATCGTGGTGCAAAAGTCTTTTCACACAAAACGAAATTAAGCTTTAATCAACATTTAGTCGCTCCTCCTTTCGCCATTCAAACAATATGGCAGCCCTGATTTTAAATTTTTGCTCATCCATCTTTGTCGAGCTGAAACAATACAAATACTATTCAAAACAAAAAAGTTTTTTACAAAAAAAACCTAAGCACCTTTTGACATATTATTGAGAAAAATCCTAGACAGCGAATGTTCTTCGTAACGACAGGGCAATATTTTTTGTAAAAAAATAACCTTTCCTATTTACCAAGCTAATAGAAAGAAATCTGATCAATAATCCGACACAAGTACTACTTTTTGCTTTGAAAATTTTGTTTAAATCTGTTTTGAATGGAACCATTAAACCTCAAGCATCCAAAAAGCCAAAGGTCAGTGGCACAATGCCCTAATTGGAATGGGGCAGTCTTGTGAAAAATATTTCAATCGGCTGATAACGCCTCGATCAGTCAGTCCGCTTACGACAGCACTCCGACTACAATTATGAGGTAATTTTTAAAGCTCTTTTAGAATTTTAACAGTTTTTAATTAAAGCTTTTAGATTCTTGATCCTTTCCGCTTTCGTGGCTGCTTGTTTGGCGACTGATGGTTGGGATGGAATTCAGGTAAGCTTAATGTCATAAACTCTAACCTTAACCTGTTTATCTAGTCAAGATTACCATAACAGCCTTTGCACAGTAATCCCAAAGTACAGGCAGTCTCCGTCTCTGGCTTCCAATGTCTGGCCAACAGTGGCTATCATTTCTTCATTGCCCGAGTCTGGACCTCGACTGGAAACTATGACAACACCGGAATCCAGAATATCAAGAATGCGAAAGCTGGTGAAACAATGAATTTTAAGTCAACAAGTTCAATCTTTTAGCTGGATGGGCCTACGCTGATGGCTACATTTTCCCCTGTTTGAAATCCTCGTGTGCCGCACCGGAGAGCCAGGTGGTTGAAGTTGAGAAACAAAATTGCATCTCTAAAAGTATCATCTAGCTTTTCAGCTTTCAATTTACTAGCATATTGTTCAATAACAGGATCTAAACACCCTATAATATAATCTACTATATATAAAAGAACTGTGTCTGTCTGTCTGTCTGTAGGCATTACTTTTCCGCACCCAATGCGTCTCTCAAACGAACGGAAGAGAGAGGTCGCAGGTTCGACTCCTCTCGTCGCCAATTCTTTTGCTTTTTACTCCAAACCCAGTGCGCCATTTCAAATGACTTATAATTAGTTTGGCTTAGTTTTCCATGTCGTTATGCAACATGTTTTTAAATTTTTAAAAAAGCAAAAGTACTGATACGGGCGGGAGTCGAACCCGAGTCGTGTGGGCTAGAGACAAGCGCGCTCCCATTGCGCCAAAGCATGGCCGAGTGGCTAACGAGTGCGTCTCTCAAATGAACGGAAGAGAGAGGTCGCGGGTTCGACTCCTCTTGCCACCAATTCTTTTGCTTTTTACTCCAAAAAATAATAATATCATATAAAAATCATGTTCTAGGTTGAAGCCACGGTGAACAAGCTGAAATCCGAAGGAGCCGCCTATGGAATGCTTTGGCTTGATATTGAGCGGTGAGCTTAGAATTTACATAAATACTTAGATTTAAAAGATAAATTTTGAACATAATACCCTAAAAGATCAACCGATTCCAATTTCTAGTTGAGTTTTTTTATTTCTTTTCAGTCTCGAGTGGCCCGCCGACACCACCCACAATCGAAACTTTATCAATGCCATGGCAAACAAGCTAAACGTTTAGGAATTTAAAAAGCTCAACATTTAAATGTATTTAGTCTATGGGAGTGAATTGGGGCATTTACACAAACTATAACAATTGGGCAGCGATTGTTGGAGCCGATTGGACACAATGGTCGAGCAAGCCTCTCTGGTGGGCCACCTACGATGGAAAGAAGGTTTATTTTGAAAAATCTAACAAGAAAAAAAGATATTTCATTTAAATTAATATATAAAGATAACAAATTCATTGTAAAAAAATGCCAGGATAACTCCGATTTCAAACCTTTTGGCGGTTGGACGAAAGTCGCCATTCATCAATGGGCTGGTGATGTGAGTGGACCCTGCGGAGTCAGCATGGATCTCAACTACTACTAAATTGATTTTAAAAATTGATAAAGCTTTAATGTTGGTTTAGTAAGCTTTCGTTGATGTTTGGTGACCAAAGAACAAGGAGAGTTTTTAAGATTCTCAATCACATTCAAACTGATAAGACAGCTAGACTCAAAAAAGCTCAAAACGAGAAAAACTATACAAAATTGTACAGTTTTTTAGTTAAAAGACAATCAAATTGGCTTGCAAAGTTCTTTTTTTAAATAAATTTGTTTAGTTGAGTTGATTGTTAATTTTTAATTGAGCTGATTGCTAACCCTTGTTGCTCAACAATCACAGACTTTTACATGCCTTTTCCTTTTTTTATTCCATCAAAAAAATCTCTGATAAGAAGCACGTGAAAGATCCGGATTCAAAGCTATTTTTGTGCAATTCAAGAATGGGAAATGAGTTGAGATTGAAGAAAATTCAAGAAAATGAGTTGAATTGTTGCATTGAAGTTGAGTTGAAGCCAAGAATTGAGTCTTTGAAATGGTAAACAGAAAACTTTTGGCTTTGACAAGTTACTGACGAGAACACTTTATGGTTTTGATTGATTTACCGGTTATGATCTCTTTTTATTGTTCTTCTGTGCTTTAAACTAATCCAACTAACAAGAGTAAAGCGCAACTTTGAATGTAAAACTGTCAAAATCAAACTGTAAAAGCTTATTTGTGTAGTTTTCTAGAAAAATACTTGCAAGATAAGGCTTTTATCAGCAAAAAAGCCTGTGAAGCAAGCGAAGAATCTTTGATTTCCACAAAAAGGATATGTTTCGATTTGGGTTGGCTGTTATTTGTTTTATCGGTGGAGGTTTAGCGTATGATGGATGGGATGGGATTCAGGTAAATGAATAAGATCTTCAAATAAAGATCTTTTGTACGATCAACTTGTGAAAGATTTTCAAATGAAGATCTTTTACAAACAATCTTTTAAGCAATTGAAAAGGATCAATCGTTTGACTTTACATTCCACTTTCACTAATTTTGAATTCTTGACAGCTAATCACTTTCAATAATCTAGAATCCAATAATCTAGAATTCAATAATCTAAAATCCAATAATCCTTTAGGCAGTGAGCGCGGATGGTTTCAAATGCTTGGCTAACAACGGATATTCATTTTTCGTTGCTCGCGTCTGGCATTCGTATGGAGGTTTTGATGAAACCGGCATTCAAAACATTAAGAACGCTAGAGCTGGTAAAGGAAAATTTGTGGTAGGCTAATTTCCGCCATTTTATTTGCGCAACAGGATCGTTTGCGCAACTCGCCATAACTCTCTTCTAATTCAGCCAATCTTTATGCTTTTGGTGTCATTTTGTTGCACTTATTGAGATCTACAAAATGACACCAAAAGCATAAAGATTGGCTGACTTCGAAGAGAGTTATGGCGAGTTGCGCAAATAAAATGGCGGAAATTAGCCTACCGCGAAAATTTGCTTCAAATTCATTTTCGATTTTAAGCCGGCTGGAAAGACGTTGATGGTTATATCTTTCCATGTGTACGATCAACTTGTGATGATGCGGGTACACAGGTTAGATTGGCTTATGGAATAGTTGCACTACAATATCACTTTATACTTTGTTGAAGATTTAAAAATCGACAAGTTTCTAGGTGCGAAACGTTGTCAATCAACTCAACGCAGAGGGAGCTCAGTTCGGAATGCTTTGGCTGGATATTGAAATGTAACTTTAGCTTTATCAAAATGTTATTAAATTCAATTTTCAATGAAGATAACTCAAAGAATTTTCAGTTGGGAGTGGGGAACCGATATGACTTGGAATCAGAACTTCATTACAGCTCTTGGAAATGAATTGGATGTAAGTGACAAGTAAAATACTTGAAAGTTAATCTATTATCAAGAAAATTCTGCTAAAATCCTTGTTTCAGGCTTTAAAGATAAACTGGGGAATCTACACAAGTCGCAACAATTGGCAATCGATCGTTGGAGTTGACTGGTCGGTTTGGTCGAGTAAACCACTCTGGTGGGCAACCTATGATGGAAAGAAGGTTAGAATGGCTTGGAAATCAATCCATAATACGGTCGAAGTTTGATATAACAAACCTCAAGCAACCAGCCCAAAAGTTCATTATATTGAAGAGCATTTTAAAGTAAAACCCTTCATTGGGACTAAAAATAATGTTCGTTATATCGAAGTTTGACTGTAATAACTATAAGGCTTGCACTCTTCATTTTATTATCTAAATAAACGACTCTTAAAGAACGAAAGACCAAGCATTATAATGTTTCTTTTTACTTTTGTCATTTTAAAACAATTTTTAGTATTATTATCGTTTTTGAATACTCGGCTTTTTGCTAATGAAAAATCTTTAAAACAAAACTTTTTTTAAACTTTCAAAAGACATTTGCAAGAGAAATGATTGAGCTATCTAATAAAATAATAAAAACTATTTTATTTGAGAATTATTCAATAGAAAATGAATTTAAGTGAAAGACTTTGTACTCGACCTAATAAGCTCCAGTGAGAATGAAAAATCAACTATTTTCAACTATTAATCAACTAGATGAAATAACTATTTCCTTTCTAATAAAAACCTTTAGGATTACTCGGATTTCAAGGCTTTCGGTGGTTGGAACAAAGTCGCCATTCATCAATGGGCTGGATCAGTGAATGGACCCTGTGGGGTGAACATGGATCTCAACTACTATCCATAGACTAAAGATGTAAACAATGTATGCAATAAAAGTTGAAATGACAAACTGGCTGACAAATAACGCAGACTCTTAACTAAACCTTACACTCATTTGAGCGACGAGCCAAATGGGAACTGAATGGGAACCGAATAGGAACTGAATAGGAACTGAATAGGAACTGAATAGGAACTGAATGGGAACTGAATGGGAACTGAATAGGAACTGAATGGGAACTGAATAGGAACCGAATAGGAACCAAATAGGGACCTAATAGGAGTTAGATATTACAGGGTGACCTCGAATTGTAGCAACTCACTTCTAAGAGTCTAACTCATCGAGAACTCAGTGAGTCCATATGAAATTTTTGAAGCTGATTTTTAAGTATCTCTCCTGTAGCCAACCCCATTTTCTAACTCATCGGTGCTTCGAGAATCTTTATATGACCTTACAAAGTTGTTAGGATCACATTTTGTTAGGGAAGTCGCAGTTTAATCAAACTCGACAACAGAAAATCGAATTTCTATGAGGTGTTTGATCTTCTGTTTGATCTGTTTGATCATTTTCGTCTTAAACGTGATCATATTCATTAAATCACTTTAAAAACGGCTCTCAAAAATCTTAAATTGGGTTTTTCGCCAGGTGTACTGCGACTTGCAACTTTGTAAGGTCATATAAAAATTCTAGAAGCGCCAATGAGTTAGAAAATGGGTTTGGCTACAGGAGATATACTCAAAAATCACCTCCAAAAATTTAATAGGGATTTATTGAGTTCTCGATGAGTTAGACTCTTAGAAGTGAGTCGCTGTAATTCGTGGTGACCTTGTATTGCATTGTTTGACAGTTAAAATGTTTAGTAAACTGAATCTGACATATTTTTTTGGTCACTTTTAAAATATCCAAGCATTTAATGAAGAGTAAATCGGTTGAATGGGGGAAAAACGAGGAAGAGATGGGGTAATGTGCGGAAAGGGAAGTGTTTGCACGTGTCAAAGCGCACTTCACCCCTCTTTTCCCTATCCCTTCTTTCCCTTTGGTGTCACTTCACTCAAAAATACTTCTAAAATTTTCAATTTCATATCTAAACTGATTCTGATTGACACATTTTATGTTTTTTAGTTTTTTTTTGAATCAATGAACTGCAAGACAAATCATTCAAAGATGACAAGCTCGTTTTCTTTATTTTTTTTGAATATAAAGCTATTTAAGACTTGATTTTAAGCAAGTTCAAACATTTTTTGATCTTCAATGCCTTTAAAAAGCTAATACAGTGAAATCCAAGCCTTTCCCTGTAAGCAATTTTCCTTTATAACAATAAAAACTTTCCCCATTTTGTGTAGCGATGATTTTCTCCCCTTTGACCCCAATTTAAAGCAATATCTAGATGGAAATCTGTTTCTTTTTATTCTTTTCTCCAATTTCTCTTATTTCTTTGATCATCTTTTCTTTTTCTCATCCACAAATGAGAGCCGTCGATCTTTCTCCGAACATTCCAGAAAGCCAGAGAAAAAGAAAAGTGACCAGTTGGTTAGTGCCACGTTGGCATAAACTCTTTCTTTTTTCCTTTTTCCTTCAAATTTTCTTTGCTTAATGTAGGAAATTAAGTGGTTAAGTGGATTAAAAGAGTTTTAAAGAACTAAAGATGGTTTAAGATTTCAGGCTTTTGATTTATTAGGGTTTGGTGTCTGCTTAGGCTTAGACTTAGACTTAGACTTAGGCTTAGGTTTAGGCTTAGGCTTAGGCTTAGGCTTAGACTCAGGCTTAGGCTTAGGCTTAGGCCCAGGCTTAGGCTTAGGCTTAGGCTCAGGCTTAGGCTCAGGCTTAGGCTTAGCTTTGATTAGCTTTGATTTAATTATAAAATTAGCTTAACCTGAACTTAGCCACCTGAGCTTTGACTTCCACTGAAAAGTACATCCAAATTTTGTCAATTGTCAATCTTTTCACCTAGACAGCCAAGGAATGGGCTACAGTTTTTTGACTAATTTTTTCAATTGGTTGAAGTAGGGCAGACTGGGGTCGAGCTGCCTATAAAGAGGGCAAGAAAGAACGGGGGAAGGGGAAGGGGAAGGAGAAGGGGAAGGGGAAGGGGAAAGGGAAGAGAGCCCCAGGCCTCCCTTTCTCTCTCTTCACCCGATCCATTGACCGCGCGCGTCCTACTAACCCTTCCCTACCCTTGCCTTCCCTTCATCCTTCACTCCTTCCACTCCCCTCCTTGCCCCATCCTTGTCCCCCTTTTGATCTCTTCAATCTTCTTTTTCTCGACCTCCTTTCTTCCATCCCCCCTTCAAGACCACAATTTAAACCACACCAATCGATTTGTGATTTTTATTTGATTATCTTCTTTCCACATTTCTCTGATCAATTGTTTCCAGAAAACTTGTTGGATTCAACCTACAATGAGGCTGATTATCGCTTGCGCTCTTGTGACTCTCTGCCTGGCTGAACATCACACCGATCCTCTTTCGGATAAACAACATTTCAAAGTAAAATTCTTGCAATAAAATTTATAGAAAATAATAGAAAATACAAAATTTAGCTTACACTTAGCTTATTCAAAAATTTCAGGGAAAAGAACATGATCCAAAGTTTGATCACGAAGCTTTCCTTGGAAAAGATGCTGCTGCCGAGTTTGATGAGTTGACTCCCGAGAAATCAAAGGAGCGATTGGGGTATTTTTATTCGATTTTTTATTATTTTTATCATTTTTATCATTTAAAGACATTAAAAACATTATTTTATACTTTTTATTTTAGAAAACTTTTCCCAAAAATGGACTCAAATGATGATGGTTTTATTGAGGAGAACGAGTTGAAAGATCACATCAATTTCATGCAAAAGAGGTGAGTTTAGATGTAATATAGTAAGCTGAATATTTAAGTAGCTTACATTTGAATACTCATCATCATCTATATCATCAGTCACTTAAATTTCACTTAAATTTTCAGATACGTTAACAACGATGTGGAGAGAACGTGGAAGAATTACAAGGCTGAGAAGATTGTTGATGGAAAAATCACATGGCCAGCTTATAGGTGAGATTGAATTGGGGATTAGAAATTAACTTTTCTTTGAACTAGTTTGAACTAGTAATTTTTGGTAAAGTATTGATAAAGTACTGTATTTTTTAAATACTTAATTTACTGTAAAGCTTACAATTACAATCAATAATTCTATCTAGGCTTTCAAAATATTATTGCAAATGCTTTAGAGAAATGGTTTACGGCCACCCAACCGGAGACAATCAAGAGATCTCCGATCAATACAAGAAAATGATCACTCGCGATGAGAAGAGGTTTGTTGAAGAGTCTAGATACTGAATTAAATATCTGAATCAGCAACTTTTGATTTTAGATGGGCTGCTGCTGACTACGATTCGTCGACAACGTTGGATCGAACTGAGTACGGATGCTTTATGCATCCAGAAGATTGCGAGCATATGCGGTGAGCTCTTTACAATATAAAGAAGTAAAGGAATTGACAATTGACAAGAGAAAGTATCTCTCTGGTTGAAGATTATTGGACAACTAGCATAGTAGAGAATTTTATATATAAAAACTTCTTGATATAAGCTTGCTTTACTAGTTGTAGTTGTAGCTTTGAAACCTTTGAAGCTTTGAAACCTTTGAAGCTTTGAAAGCTTTGAAAGCTTTGAAAGCTTTGAAACCCAATCTATTTCAGAGATGTTGTTGTTGGCGAGACTGTTGAAGACATTGACAAGAACAAGGACGGATATGTGGACCTTGAAGAGTACATTGGTGATATGTACAGACCAGAGGACTATCCAGAGTTGGCTGGAAAGGAACCCGACTGGGTCGCGTCTGAGAGGGAAATGTTCAAGGTGCAATTTTGTTGACTATTTTAAATTCAATTTCGATTATAAATCTAATCAAAAAATTTAGGAACACCGTGACAAGGACGCAGATGGAAAGTTGAATCAAAACGAGATGCGCGACTGGATCATGCCTATCGGATTCGATCATGCCGAGGCTGAGGCTCGCCATTTGATGGGAATCTCTGATGACAACAAAGTATGTTATAAAAATGATTATAAATAGTTAATCCTAAGCTTTAATAATCTAATCTCGCATCTTATTTGATTGATCATTGGCTTGTAAGCCAATGATAGTCTTGTAAGACTTTCAAAGTCTTCAAATCAATGACGAACTTAAAGTTTACTCGTAAACTGCTCAGTTTTACGAGTAAACTTTGAGCTAAATTGGATTAAAGAATTGAAGAAATCAAGAATTCTAGAAGCTATAACTTACAAGTACATTGCAGGACGGTAAGCTCTCTCGCGACGAGATCATTGCTCACTATGACACCTTTGTCGGATCCCAAGCCACCGATTATGGAGAGCAATTGCAGAAGCACGATCCTGCTGATCTCTAAGTTAAATCAAAAATTTCATCAGTCATACAAATATTGTGATTATGAGCATAACTTATTTCTAGATTTACTTAATAAATGTGCCTCTTGTTTTGTTCATTTTTTTGGGTGCTTTAGGATTCATTTGCATTTCTCTTCTTCCTCATTATACGTGCCCACAAAAGACGTGTCTTCATTGTTACCTTAATATTATTATTGATACTTAATAAATTATTTGATAAAAGGAAATGAATGCAAAGATAAATTCAGTAAATCCAGTTGATTGATTCTGCCAATCAGCTGATTGATTGAGGGAAATTAGGTCCTGTCGGTTCTACCCCCACAAGACTTATTGATCAACTAAATTAGAATCAAACTACTGTTTTACTTAGTTCAATTTTAGCTATGTCTATTGTAAGTTAGTTTAAAAGTATTCCTTGAACATCTTTAACCCTTGAACTACATATAAATATGTTAATTTGACTTGTTTGTATGGGAAATTAGGTACTAGTCAGTTCTACCCCCACAAGACTTTGATCAACTAAATTAGCATCAAACTACTATTTTACTTCGTCCAATTTTAGCTATGTCTATTGTAATTTAGTCTAGAAGTATTCCTTGAACATCTTTAACCCTTGAACTACATATAAATATGCTAATTTGACTTGTTTGTATGGTATATAAATTTTTGTGGGAGTATAACCGACAAGTATCGGAAATTGTTTAAAAAAAGTCTATTAGAATCTTTTCAAGAGATAACAATAGCAAGTTCAGTTGAAAAAGTTGATCTAATACTGGTACTTGCTACAGTTTTTGATTAAGAATTCAGTGAATTCAATGAATTTTTGCAAAACAGCTGTTACTGACTAGGACAAAATTCCCAGATTAAAGCTAGATCTATCCAAAAAAATGTACATTGAATGTTTACCTTCAAATCAAGACAATACACTTCAAATCACACATAAAAACCAGTGTCTCTTCCCCTTTCATTTACGAGTGTCTCTTCCCCTTTCTTTTATACGAGCTCCGCCCCTTTGCCATTGGCAATTTAACTTTGAGTTCAAATTTCTTGGTGTTGAGCCGTCCAATTTAAATAGTTTTTATACCAATCGATAGAGAAAGACTTGGCGCATACTAATGATCCCAAGAATATTTAAATTGAACAGTCAAACACCAAGAAATTTAAGCTCAAAGTTTGCCAATGGCAAAGGCGCGGGGCGACGGACCTTTTATACGCGCCCTTTACCATTGGCAAGCTTTGAGCTCAAATTCCTTGTTGTCGGGCCGTCCAATTTAAATAGTTTTTATACCAATCGATAGAGAAAGACTTGGCGATACTAATGATCCCAAGAATATTACCAAGAATAGAAAAAATTCTCAGATTAAAGCTAGATCTATCCGAAAAAATGTAATGAAAAAATGAAAAAATTAAGTGTTTACCTTCAAATCAAGACAATGACATAAAAACCAGTGTCTCTTCCCCTTTCATTTTCTCTTTTCCTTTCACCCAAGTCGACCCCTTTTTAAGGTGAAAGGGAGTCAAGAGGGAAAAATGGGAGATGGGGAGAAAAGATGTATCCTCCTTGCTTGATCTCCTTCTTTTTCTTCTCTAACTTCTTGATCTCTTTATTGATTATTATCCAGAAAGCTGCTGTCAATGCCTTTGATGTGCCTTGTACTCGTGAGTTTTAGCTTACCCAGAGAGTGAATCTAACAACTTCTAAATCCTTTCATTAAAGTGCTGCTTAAAGTGCTCCAACTAAGATCTAAAAATTGCTACTATCTAAACTAGGGTGTGTTCCTCGCGAGTAATACGTTTTTTTAAAACGCACACTTGGCAAAAATTACCGTACTTTTGGCGAAAATTATTGCAAAAAATTGACGCGAAAAAATCATGAGCGCTGAGTTATATACGTTTTTTTTAAAGATATTCAACTATTTCACTGATTTGGTGGCAAATTCCCTTCACAAGTAAAGATATTCAATTTACTCGCGGTGTAAAGAGGATTGACTCGTAGTTACTCGACCAAAAAACGTCAATTAATCAAGTAAAAATTAATCAGGCAAGCAGTTACTTACTCGTTACTTACTCGCGAGGATCACACCCTAGTCATCACTTGAGTGTGTTCCTCACGAGTAATGCATTTTTAAAACGCATACTTGGAAAAAAATACCATACTTCTGGCGCAAATTATTGTAAAAATTGAGGCGAAAAAAATCACGAGCGCTGACTTATATACGTTTTCTTTTAAAGATATTCAACTGTTTAACTGATTTGGTGGCAAATTCTCTTCAAATGTAAAGATATTCAATTTACTCGGCGTGTAAAGAGGATTACTCGTAGTTACTCGACCAAAAAACGTCAATTAATCAAGTAAAAATTAATCAGGCAATTTTACTCGAGTAATTATTTACTCGCAAGGAACACACTCTAATCTAAACGAGTTGAGACAACATCTAAAAGTAACATGAAAGTCAACATCATTGAGTTGAAAGTTTAATGTTTTAGAGAAACTTTAGAGAACATTTGATGTTTTAGAGAAACTCATTGGTAGTCGCTGTCTTTTTGACGAGGAATGCTATGGGATGAATACTGTTTGTAACAAAGGAAGATGTTCATGTCCAACGAATTTTGAAGAATACGATATTGATGATAAGACAACGATTTGTCGATTAGGTAGAATTTCTTTAAATCGATTGGGAAAACCTGTTTCCAGCTCCATCAAAAATCGGTGACTCATGCCAAAGGGATTGTAAACCGCCGCTATTGTGTCGAGATGGGAAATGCGAGTGTTGGGGAGGGAGTATTGTGAATGGACAATGTGTTGTTCGTGAGTTTTTTTTTTTCAAACAATGACTTGTGATTAAGCCATAAACCAATAGTAAAATGAAAATATCGATTCAGCTTGCCCAGCCGGTCTCCAGTTATACGGAGTCGAGTGCGCTCGAGTGGCTCACTGGGGTCAGAGTTGTGAGAGAGACGCGCAATGTGTTGATGTCTTCAACGCTTGTGTTGCTGGGACTTGTCAATGCGCTCCTGGAACAACCAGAGATGTACAAAGGGGATTTTGTTATGCGGGTTCGTTTTTATTACTCCAAATTGGGGTTATCAGACATTTGATAGGAGCCATTTGCCATTGGCAAACTGTGTGCTCAAATTTCTTGGTGTTTAGCTGTTCGATTTAAATATTTTTGGTATCATTAGATGCGCCAAGTCTTTCTCTGTCCATTGGTACAAAAACTATATAAATTGAACAGCCAAACACCAAGAAATTTGAGCTTAAAGTTTGCCAATGGCAAAAGGGGCGGGCGACGGACCTTTTATATGCGTCCCGCCCCTTAGCCATTGGTAATTTAACTTTGAGCTCAAATTTCTTGGTGTTGAGCCGTCCAATTTAAATATTCTTGGTATCATTAGTTTCACCAAGTCTTTCTCTATTGATTGGTATAAAAACTATTTAAATTGGACAGCTCAACACCAAGAAATTTGAACTCAAAGTTAAATTGCCAATGGCAAAGGGGCGGAGCTCGTATAAAAGGTCCGTCGCCCGGCCCCTTTTGCCATTGGCAAACTTTAAGCTCAAATTTCTTGGTGTTGAGCCGTCCAATCTAAATAGTTTTTATACCAATCGATAGAGAAAAACTTGGTGAAACTAATGATACCAAGAATATTTAAATTGAACAGCCCAACACCAAGAAATTTGAGCCCAAAGTTAGATTACCAATGACAAAGGGGCGGAGCTTGCCAAATGTTCCACAATCATTAACTAGGCTTTTCTAGTTTGCCCTGATGGAATGCATCCTCGTCAAACGTGTCGCCGGCTGTTCATCAATGATATCGATATGCTGGAATCGGCAGCGTCTACAGGTTTAGCTTGATCTCGAGAAATCTCGTTTAGAGATCTTCAACAAGTAAAATATTAATGAAAATTTTCAGATTCATGTCCTTTGGGCTATCGATGTGTCACATACGGTAGTCCTTACGTTGGCCATTGCTGCCGATTGAGATGCCCATACGGAGAGCCTGATCTAACGTGAGAACCTGAAGAAATTGATTTGATTGTACTTATATTATTTCATATATATATAATTATATTGCTTATATTATACTATTTGATTGTGCTTCTATTATTTCGCCATTATTCAGACAATCTTGTGACGCTGGAGCCTCGCCAAATGAGAAATGTCGACCACTGACGCATTTTTGCTACACAGTCACTGAACCTGGATGGAAAAGCTCTCTTTGTTGCCCAAGACCGTGCAGGTGAAATCATTCGTATTTGATTAATCTTGATTAAGAATAGCCAATTTAAGCATACCGTATTTTCGCGCACCCTAAGCGTTGCCTAAATTGGTCGAAATCTCGACAAAGGCTTATCAGAACCTATTGATGTGGGGTCGGAAAATGTAGCTAACGATGAGATCTTGCGGGGGATTAGAGTGTTGAGCTTCTGTGAAAGCTTGGAAGCTGTAAAATAGTCATCAACTCGGCTCGGCAACTATTAGGGGAAATAAATAACTTCAGAGATCCGACTCCTTTATATATCAATGGACAATGCATGTCAATCGCCCATCGAGAAGATCCATGCCAAATCGATCAGCAGGTAATAGCTGAAAGATGAAATTGTTTAAGCTTAGGCTTAGGCTCAGGTTTAGGCTTAGGCTTAGGCTTAGGCTCAGACTTAGGCTTAAGCTTAGGCTTAAGCTTAGGCTCAGGCTCAGGCTTGGGCTCAGGCTTAGGCTTAGGCTTAGGCTTAGGCTTAAGCTTAGGCTCAGGCTCAGGCTTGGGCTCAGGCTTAGGCTTAGGCTCAGGTAAAATTTGCTATTAAGTTTATTCCTTTAGTGTCAAGGCGGAATCACGATGACTTGTGTTTTGGGGACATGTCAATGCAAGTTGGGCTACACAGCGGTAACTTTTTATTATTAGTGAAATAATATTGACAAATTAACATGTAAAAAAAGCTTGAATTGCTCAAATTATGTTTAGAATAATGACGACCGTTTCCCGACTTGTGAACGAGCGTGTAGTCGAATTGAAGAAGTTCCATTGGCAGATCAATGCTTGGCGAAGGTTTGGAAAAACAAATCAAATCAAATTCGAAGAAGTACTTTGTAAAATATACTTTGAAATTGTTGTGAGCAAAAGATTTCTATTTTGTAGATGATTCTTGGTGAGCGATGCTTAGCCAATAAACAATGCCCACAATTCTCCGAATGCCGATATGGAACATGTCAATGTTTATGTGGATATAAGCAGATAAAGGTGAGATTTTTGAAATCTAGAATTAAATAGAAGATTAGATTTAGTTATAAGAAGGTTAAGGTAAGCTTTTCAAATCTGAACATTGTAAACTTCAGGACACATTTGGCGTGCGTTGCACAAATCCCGACGATCCTCTCTCGTTGAACTCGATTTTGAGCGGAGTTGAGCAACTTTTCGGAAACAAGCGATCACCAAGAGCATAATATAATTTGCAAAATGAATAAATAACTTTATTTTAAACGCAAATTTTCTTTCTTTCTTTTCTTTCACAAATTCTCACAAATGTGGCGCTCTCATGCCGAGTTTCGGCCAATCGATCCAACTCAAACGAGCGACTAGATCTGAAATTTCTGACCTTTTCAAATGAAAATATAATGCAGTAAACTCTAGAAAGTATCCTTGAATCTGTAAATTAAAAAAGTGATAATAGATCTAATCACTAACCACTTGTGCTCCATGCAGGCGCCTGGGCAAAGCCGTCTTTAGAGAATCGAACTGATTGTCTCAAGTATTCTTCGGGTGGAAAAGTTGAACTAAAATTAGTAGGACAAATTACAAACAAACTAGTAAAGAAAATTTTTAGTTTACCTCAAAATCCCATTCAACATATTGATGTAAGCGATTGCTAGGTTTAAAGTGTCGATTTTTGAGAGTCTCTTCTCAAAGGGAAACGTTGGAATGTAGTCTCGCAAGTCCTGAAAATTTGAGCTTTAGATTACTACCTTTAACTACCTTTAACTACTTTTAAACTAAAGATTTTAAACGGTTTATTCAAATGATGTGGCGAATTGCCACTGCTCTGCAGTTAGTCATGGAAATGACCATTCTGGGAAGTCTTTTTTTGCTACAATTATCTGTCGGTAGTTTGTAGATAGAACTTCAAGTACAGTTTATAAATCAATGTTTTTTACTGAACTAAACTTAATAATGAAAGTTTTATGTGCTACAGAAGCTCAATTTTTACATGACTCATCTCAAATTTATCAGATTTTCTATTCCCTAATTGTGGCGAATTGCCACTGCTCTGCAGTTAGTCAAAATTCAATACACAAGTCAAAATTCAAAGTTGATGGATAAACTACCGTAATCAACTACTAGACGATACTCAGTTGTCCCTTTGTCGTAGCTTGTGTACTTAAAAACCCATTATTTAAGCTTTGTTTTGAGTCAGTTGTGTGCTCCCTTTTCTATTTCATCCCTTTTTTCACACGCAAGTTTTGAAGTAATTGTGATAGTGCCAGGTTGCTTCAGTTTGAGCGAAGTTTGCCCTAATAAGGGAAAGTTTTGATAAATTGTGCGTTTTCAAAACATCTACCATTGAACCACACCGAGACACGGTCTCATAAGAAATTATAAAGGACAAAGTATAAATATATTTCTTACAAATCATAACAACTTTTTGTGCTTGATCAATTACCGTACTGGACAATGAAATATCATATTTGAAAAAAGACCGTCACTTTCGCGCGTCTGTAACTCCCTTGTCTTTGAGTTTAAACTATTAGTGTTATACATTTTCTGAAAGCTCTTTTCAAGGGCTACACAATGGCAATATTAATATTTAGAAATACGGTAAAGACAAGGGAGTTACAGACGGGTGAAAGTGATGATCTTTTTTCAAATATGATATTTCATTGTCCAGTAGTGTATCAGCACAATTTAGTATAAATTAAATATTCACCTGAAAAGCCGAATTGATCGAGCTCATGTTTAGCGATGAGTTGATAGCTTTTTGATTGAGAGATTTGCGAGCTTTCATGAGTTCAGAATGGTTACGAGTTGATTAGTAAATGAGTCTCAACCACTTGAAGCTGTCAGAAACATTCGAGCGGAAGAATTCAAGAGGCGGCCAATCAAAGAAAAGACTAGTTGAGAAATGGAGTTGAAATTGTTGCGAATACATATTTTCATTATACTAATAACAGAATATAACATTTGATAAGTTATCTCCATTTTCATAGTGGGTTCTCGTGTCTCTGATTCGAAGCCTGAAGCCATGAAGCACCCTGAAGCCATGAAGGATCCTGAAGCCATAAAGCATCCTGAAGCCATGAAGCATCCTAAACATTCGAATTCTGAAGCCATGAAGCATTCTACCAGAAAGATTCCAATAAAGAGAATTCTATTTAAGAATCTAAGAGAGAATTTTTGGATTTTTGGACAAAGAAATAACAATTGCTTTAATTGAAACAATTAATTTGAAACAATTCTTTCTAATTAAAAAAAAAGAAACAATAAAAGCAATTAAAGATTGGTAAAAAGAATTTACTGCCAATATATGTTTTTGAAATTTTGAATAGAGGTTAGAAATGCTGGCTTTAGTTTCAGTAGCAAACAGCAGACAAGAAAACAAGAATCGTCAGTAAACAGCAAACAGCAAGCAAGAATTGACCATTCTTGCTAGCAGACAAGAATGGTCAACGTTTTTATTTCATTGATGTCTTTTTGATTGAAATCGATCTTCTCAATTTAGAGAAAACAGGTTTTTTTTGTTGATTTACTCAGAAATCAAAAAGGTTTTCATGTTGTTGATTATATCTTCGAAAAATTAACGAAAGGAATAGCATATTCTCTCATTTCTCTCACTAAAGACGAAAAATCAAATCAAATATCTGGAATAAAGGCTTAAAATTAACTTTTGAAAAGTTTCTCATGCTGAAAACGGTTCGATCGAAGCGTAAAAGCTCAAAAAACAATGATTAGTTTTATTGATTTTTAAGGAAACTTGAGAAATAACAGGAATTTTTGCATTTGCTTTCAACCTGTTTGATAGAACAATCTTTTTAAGATTAGTTTAAACTTTAAACGTTAAACGTTAAACTTTAAACGTTAAACTTACTTTAAACGTTAAACTTTAAACTTTAAACGTTACACTTTAAACTTTAAACGTTAAATTTACTTTAAACGTTAAACTTTAAACTTTAAACTTTAAACGTTAAACTTTAAACATTTGCTTTCTATTTTTCCCAGTATAAGCTTTGAGCTCTAGAGTATTGAGAAACATAAACGACTTTTTTTTTGCGATAGTTTATTTGAACAAAATCTCTTAAAAGAAACATTGCTCATCGATTTTCAAATCATTGTGATGAAAGATATTTTGATTTTTATTTCGTTTTTTGTGGTTTCTTATCAAGTGAGTTTTCAAAAACTAACAGAACAATCAAAAAGTAGTTACCGTAAATACTGTAATAGTACCCCACCCCCCTCGTACAGTCACGTAGTCGCAAAAGTTTTTAAGTATTTCATTTTTTTCAAAGCGCCCGTACTTTCAAAAAATGCGTCTTTGGTACCAAAAGATAGCCCTGAATTTCAGCTATTTTTTGATACCTAAGCGCGCATTGTATCCTAAACCAGTGCCGAGAAAAACTCGTTCAAAGCTAGACTACGCAGCGCTCCGCACCGTCATTATTGGGGTGGGGTACTATTACAGTATTTACGGTAGATCATTAATTAAAAATCAAATATAATCATTAATCAAAAAGCATTTAGGCCACATCAACTTTCATTGACTTGTCAGTTTTTGTTACTAATTTGGATTATCAACTATAGAATTTTAGACATAAACTGGCAAAACTTTAATTCAAAAATTCTTCTTCAATTCTTTTTCATTAACAAAACTTTAAGAATTCTGTATTAAAAAGGTTTTATTGTAGTTCTATACTTTCAGTTATGTTGCCCTGATGGCACAGTTGTTTATAAAAAATCTTGCTATCATTTAATGCTCGATAAAGTCGATTGGAATTCGACTTCTATCATTTGTGCCTCAAAATTCATCAATTCAACTTTATTAAAGTTTCAAGATGAAGAAGAGTTTGTAAGTTTTTGGGACAAAATTAACAAAAAAAAGAAATCTTTTTTTTTTTTAAAGCAACATGTAAGCATTTGGCTTCCAATGCAGCAAAACGTTTGGGTTCAAGAGGATTTTCATCCACCGCAAGACGATCTTAATGGTAGAGATTTAAATTGAATTTTCACAAGTATTCTACAAGTTTATGCTTTGAAGAAGTTTTATTCTCAATTTTAGCAAAACCGAAAAAGAAGAAGATGCACAATGGACCCAAAGCGCCACCAACGCCAAAATGCCCGGCTTTTTACAACAATGCAAAGTAATTGAATGTAAAATGAATTAAAAAAACAATTAATTAAGTTTAGAAATATTAGTATAATGTAGTAGAAAGTTAGCTTTAAAGTAATAACTAATATTTAACTTAATCTTATCAAATGAATCTCCTGTTTGGATGAATTTCTATAAGATCTAATCAAAAATCAAAAATCTAAAGATCCAATTCCAGAAAAGGCATCTTCCGTCTCTACAATTGCACCAAGAAACATGCTTTCATCTGTGAACAACCAGCAAAGGAACAATGCTAAGCATGAAATTCTGAATTCGATAAAGTTTTTCTCTCATAGCAAAAGATGTTCTTGATTGTAAACCAAAGATTTTGTTGTCCAGAAAAAACTGATGAGATAGACGACCTGACGAAGTCAATTGAATTTCAAGGGATTTCTTCGTTTCGCCGACTTTTCCCCTAGCTGAGATGTGATTTGTTCGGCGGCTTCACCTCAAACCAGCCATTCTTGTCCACCAAAAGATCTTAGTTTACGTTTTCTTAGAGAGAAATCTAGAAATAATGATTGTTGCACTAGTAGTTTCGCTCTCAATTTTATAATTAGATTCTTTTCACACTTCGTTTTAGTCAAATTTGCTTAAAATTTGCATTTTATCAAGCTAACAATAGCGTTAAAATCAAAATTTATTAAATTGAACTAAAATTTGCTAATGGTAGTTGAACGAACGGACATTTTAGTCAAATTTACTTAAAATTTACATTTAATGCTAACAATAACGTCAAAATAGCGTTAAAATAGGATAATAAGTGTTAGTTGCTTACTAGAATTTACGGTAGTTGGAGCTGAAAAGAAAGTATCAAATATTAGTATTTTGTTTATACAGTATTACTTGTTCATCACTAGATAGGCTCTGAAAATCGAGTCATTGAATAAATGGGATTAAAATATCTGCTGGTATCTACGATATAAAAGAGCAGTGTTTGTCTGTTTGTCTGTCTGTTTGTATGAGCATTTACTCGGTCGTTTTTTGACCAATAAAGCTGAAACTTCTTTCGAATATATTGTAGTTGTACTAGTTAAAAAAATTTTGAAAAATGAAAGCTGGATGAAAGAGCCGGGACTCGAACCCGCGCGGTTTGCGCCGTAGATAAACGGGCTGCCCACTGCGCCACGGTAACACAGATTGCCCTGGCAGAAAAACTAGCTGTTAGGCCGCTGTTCCCCCTGCTCTAAAAGTCTGGCCGCTGAGTCTAAAAAGTAAAAAGATCATTCCCTCACATTAGTCGCCATGGCCGGCTGGTTAAGAGCCTTGTATCTTAGTCGGGAGGTCAAGGGTTCGATCCCGCCAGCTAGATTTTTGATTCTTTTTCATATATATGGGTTTTTCCCTACATTTAGGGCCTAAGCGTTGTGCTTGTGCATTGTTTGTACCACATTATTTGTGTGAATAATAATGTATACCCAAGGTTTCCTTTGGCACTGAATCCTCTAGCTTGCTAAACACCATAAGGAACCTAACTGATTCACGGGAGGAAATCAAATCTCCCCGAAATCCCGTTCATTGAATGGACGAACTTTGATGAGTTGCTCTCTTTTCCTTTCCTTTTCACCTTTCACTCCGAAAATTTCCCCCATTCTTTTCCACAAAGTGCCCAATGAATGTCATTATTGCCCACTATCCACTCTTGATGAACAAATGAAAGACTAATTAGTGAATAGAGGTCTTACTGGATAGCTTGTTACTCGACTAGGTTTTGATTTCTTTGACATACAATTTAAACGGTGTAAACCAAGGTTATCAATCTGTTCAAGTTAGCAATAGATACTTCAGTATTCCCATTGCTTTATCAACTCACTTGTAATCACATTTTGTAAGTGTTATTTTTATAGATAAACCTACTCATTTTATCTTGATCTCCGTCTAACTATCGATATTCATTCATTTTCCAACTTGTAAATACTAGGTTGTTCGGAGATAAACGAGCGTTTGCACTGCTTAACTCGTGAGGAAGCCATTTCGCGCATCATATCGTCTTTCCAATGGCTTGGAGATAGAGTAGAATTTGAAAATAGAGACTGTTAAGCAAGTTCACGTGGTGTCGTTTGACATGGATCTGATTCGATTGCAGCCCTCAAAGTATCGTTGTCTACCGTTTGAGGTCGACCAGAGTGCTCATCATCCTCGAGACTTTCATCACCATTCCGAAAGCGTTGGAACCAGGCTCGGCATCGGCTTTCGGACAATACATCATTCCCAAATGTTTTGAGCAAATCTCAATGGGATTCCGCTACTGTTTTGCCCAGTTTGAAGTCGTAAAGTAACGCAAACTTGATATATTTGAGGTCGGTCATCTAAAGCGAGAAAAAAGATCTTAAAAATAAGAGATAAACCGTTTAAAAAGATTTCAAATATGCACAAGATAGTGTACTTTTAAATACAGAAAGACATGTTTTAAAAGAAGCTTTAAAAGCTTTTCTTAAAGCTTTAAAAGCTTCTCTCACAACAATAAGTTTAGCAACGCTTGTTTATATCCGAAAAACCTAATACTAACGAAATGTAGTTTAAATCGTTCATTTTCAGTTATCTTATAGTTAATCAATAATTTGACAATCAGTTTTTATAAACTTAAGATCAGCAATACTTAAAGGCTTTTAGTTGCTGATTGAAATGATTCGTTTAATATTTCTGATCCTTTCACAAATAAACCCATTCATTGTGGCTCATCTATGCCATCTTCTTTTTCATTTTATTGTATTTTTATTTATTTGTTGATTTTCGTAATCCACTAATAATCTCTTTTTCTTTTTCTTTTTCCTCCTCCTCTTCAAATTCCTTTATTTGCCCCATTTCATTCACAGAGTTGGCCCTCCCCACCCTAATCGACTTCAAACAACTCTTTTCACACCTCTCCTTTCCCCCACTTCTCCTCGTAATTTAATGCTCAATTTTTTGTCACACCTAGTGAGATCAACTTCTTGATTTTTTCACTCCCTTTTCTCTTTATTTTAATACTCATCTATTTTTAGAAACTCTTTTAAAAGTTTCAAGCAAAATTTTCCTACGAAACCACAAATATAATCAAATTCACTCTTGAGACTCGAGTTTTGAAGTTTTTTTCGCTGAAAATTCTCAGGTTTGTTAGTGTCAAAAGTAAAAAAAAGGGGAAAATCTTTTTCCAAAATGTTTTGTATACTCTACTAATGCTTTGAATCAGTTTTTCTAATGCATTTTTGAATCATAAGCTTTCATTTTTGATTTAAAACTCTAAACATCTAATTGTAAGACTTTAAGTTTGTCTTTGGTGCTGTACTTTGTATTTAAAAGTTGAAACAAATGCTTTCTGATTTACTTTACTTTTTGATCTTTCTATTAACAGCTAGGAATTTGCACTAGCTTGAGTTTTCAATGCACTAGAAAGTCTGCGTTTGAACACTAGAATCTATGATATTATCCAATAAATCGCTTCTCAATCAGGAATCAGTTTTAGAACAATTAGTCTTCTTTCAAAGGTGAAGATTGCCGAAGAATTCAATGAATTCTGTGATTTTTTGGATGAAGTAAGGATTGGAATAGAGTCTTCTCTTTTAGATTTATGAAAAGATGAAGGTGGGAAGGGAAAAAGTCCAATCTCTAACTTTTCTATTGAACCAAACTCTTCTATTGAAATCAAAAATGGACGGAGATTTCGGTTTCGAAAAGGAAAGCTAAATCAAGAAATATAATTCAATTAAATTAAAAATAATTCTTCAAACATTTGCAATGAATTTAATGTTTGATTTTGATTATAATATCTTTTGTTTGCCCTGTTTAGATAAGAATTGGCTGGCTATAATTTTAGCAAACTTTAACACAACTTTCAACACTTATAAAACAATCGAACAACCTTTTAAAGTATAAAACACTAGGAATAATAAAGCTTTGAAGCAATTTAAATTTAAATTTAAATCAAATCTTGTATCATAAACTTTTGAATTCTGACAAAAGGTATTATAATCAAAATCAAACCTTAAAGACCAAACTTCTTTTTTTTTTGATCTGTTTTTTGCACTCAGGTGTTCCTATTTGCGCAGATCACAACCTGCTTCCACATTTCTCTATCCCTTGCTATTGTAATCATATGGTATCCCTATGTCCCGTGATTAGATCTCTCGGCCTTTGCTTGATCCCTCGATGCCGGAAGAGAGCAGGCAGGCCGTGCGGGGGACTGAGGCAGAAGTGTAGTTGTCGTAGCCGATGATACTCCGATGGCCGGGCTGGGGCGCTCGGAGGGGAACCCACAAAAGTCGAACCCACGACTATCCCGCGCCGACGTTGCTTAACTTGGCAGATCGGACGGGATAGACCGCAGGCCCGGCCTCTTCTAGGCCCGCAAAGACCAAACTCTTCTATTAAAATCAAAAATGAAAGGAGATTTCGGTTTTGAAAAGGAAAGCTAAATCAAGAAATATAATTCAATTAAATTAAAAATAATTCTTCAAACATTTGCAGTGAATTTAAGGTTTGATTTTGATTATAATATCTTTTGTTTGCCCTGTTTGGATAAGAATTGACTGGCTATGATTTTAGCAAACTTTAACTCCACTTTCAACACTTATAAAACAATGGAATAACCTTTTAAAGTATAAAACACTAGAATAATAAAGCTTTGAAGCAATTTAAATTTAAATTTAAATCAAATCTTGTATCATAAACTCATAAAATTTTGAATTCTGATAGTAAAGTCTCTTTTTGATTTGCTTTTTAATTAATTACTCGAAATTTACTTTAGCTTCTAAACTTTGTTCTTTCAAAACGATTAGTACATAGAATTGTAGTCTTTTTTTCTTTTTAAAATCATTGTTGCAATGTTTCTTTAGTTATTCAGTTTTTTGAACTCTTTTTCCTTTCCCCATTCCGACAAAATTTACATAATCTCGTTTTTGACTCAAATCGAAACAAAAATTTACTAGTTCAATCCATTTTTATTTTTCTAAATATATTATATTTATATCCAATCCAGAAATGCTCTTTATAAAATTAATTTTGACAAATTCTCCTGCTTTAGTCATTCTGAAAGATTGCAACTCTTTGGCCTTGAAACGTTACACCAACGCCGCCTTATCATCGATTTAGTGGAATGCTTTAAAATTGTTAAAGGCATTCATCCGGACCCCCTTTTTTCTGGTCTCTTTGAATTCGGCTCTCTACGGGGCGCCTCCAGAAGAGGGCCTTTTCTCATACGCCAACCTTCCGCTTCCTCTAAAAGCACCCACAGTTTCTTTTTTACGGTTCCAATACGGTTCCAATTTTGATTTAA